GGCCTGCACGTGCCATGCGTGGGCGGCGACTGGATCCTGGTGTGCGTGCGCATCCTGCCCTTCATCCTGGTGGCGCTCTTCGACACGGCGCTGTTCTACCAGTTCGTGGTGACGGCGTTCGGCATCTACCACGGCCTCATCAAGCTGGACCTGGGCGTCATCTCCAGCTGGGAGGACCTGGTGCGCGAGTTCCACAAGTCGCCGCCCAGGTGGGGGGACAGGCGGGTGGGCGGGAGCAGCAGACGCACGTGTGCGTGTCAAGAGGGGGAGACATGTATGGGGTATTGGGGTTGTCATGGTCATGCGTGCGAGGGGAGGGAGGTTCCAGTTGGCGGTCAGGGGTACTAATGTCCTAGTGTCTGTGGGGTCCGCCACATTGTCAGCATGAGGGGGTTGCGGCATCGCTACCTGGTACCGGTAACCGTCATACCTGGTTACACGTGCTCCGTGCTTGCTTTGTGCCGTATACCGGTGCCCGTATTCCCGGCGCCCTCCCCCCTCCCCCGCAGGTGGTGGATCCGCTGCATGTCCTTCACGGGCAACGAGAACCAGAAGAACCTGCTCTTCCACACCATCAGCGCTAACGCGCAGGCGGCGGCGGACGCTGACGGCGCGCCAGGAGACCCCGACGCCGCACCCAAGCAGAACGTGGCCATCAGCGACGGCCTCATGTTCAAAATCAAGATCGTGACTCCGGAGGAGATCAGGGCCAAGCAGGTACGGTGTGGTATTGGGTAGGGTAGTCTTACTCTGTCGCCGCTTCAGGCCTTGGGCTTCAGCACATGAGTCTGGCGTGTGGGTTACGCATCTAGGGTACGGTAACATGATCAAGCGGCACACGTGCTGATACGACCCACGCGGAGCTTGTAAGCGGCAACCGCGTATTGTTGTAAACCCCAGCGGCCTGCCGCGCTGGCAGCAGCCACTCACGTCCCTTCTGCCTCACCCCTCCGCAGCAGGGCCTGATGCTCAAGGAGCGGCGGATCAACATGCATGCGGGCAAGCAGGGCCCCTCCAGCGAGGTGGAGGTCAAGGCGGCGGTGAAGCCGGCAGGGGGCGACAAGGGTGCCGCGGGCAACGGCGGCGGCTCCTCCGCTGCCTCTGGAGCCGGCGGCAAGGGCGGCTCGGGCGGCAGCATGACCCACTCCGGCCACGGTGGGGGGCATGGGCATGGACATGGGGGCAAGAGCGATGGTCGCAAAAAGGAGGTGGACAATGAGCACAACTTTGCTATTCGCGGAACCCGTGCGCACGCGGCGCTTGTGGGGCAGGACTTCAAGGACGGCGGCCAGAACAAGACGTCGGGGCCCTCGGGGCTGTTCAACTGGCGCTCTCCCTCGGATGAGGGTGACGGCATCAACCCCGCGTCTGGCCCCTCCGCCAGCCTCTTCAGCAAGACGCACCTGCCCGGCGCGGCACCCCACAGCGGCTCCAGCACCAGCTTGCCGGCGGGGATAGCGGCGCGGTTCCGTTCGCGTGTCACCTCGGGATCAGGGGAACACCCGGGCTCGACTGGAAGTGGAACCAGTCGAGGTGGAGGTGGAGGAGGTGGAGGTGTGGTGGGGCTGTTTAAGACGCTTGGGAACGCGGCGCTGGGGGCGGCTGCGATGAGCGCAGCTGCACATGGGTTTCCTCGGAAGAGCAACCAGGTACGGCAGGTGACGGCACACCTTGACGAGCTTCCTGACGTTCACTTGCGCACGTTCGCTTGCGCACGCATGCACGTAGGAAGGACTGCAAACGGTCACGCCCTGGGCAGCAAAGCTCTTTCGGGCATACTATGGTCAACCTCCGCTTCTGCCCTAACTTTCCATCTCTCATATGGCCATGCGGTACGCTGATTGCGCCCTCCCTCCCTCCATGCATGCATGTATGTTTTCCCCACAGGTTCAGCCCGAGCCGGTCGCGGAGTCCACGGAGCGCTCCACCCCCGGTGACCAGCCACACGCTGCTGCTGCTGCTGGTGTCAGCGGCGGCTGCACCCGCGCCGCCTCCCCCAGGAGCGACAGCAGCGCCCCCCGCCCGCACGCCTGGGTGGCTCAGCGCCCGCGGCACCCCGCCTGGCGGCCCGAGGAGCTGCTGGGGCCCGACCATGCGGACTATGACCCGGCGCTCGCAGCCGCAACCCTAGGAGAACCCCAGCAGCAGCGGCGCTTGTGGCCTTGGCAGCAGCAGCAGCGGCAGCAGCAGCGGCAGCAGCAGCAGCCGGATGAGGAGGCAGGGGGATTGGTGGTGCCGGGGCCTGCCTCGGCATCGCTGCTGGCGCATGGATGGACGTCGCGCTGCGAGATTGAGGCGTGTGAGGATGAGGAGGGGTGCTGGAGTGGGCGCGTGGTGCAACAACAGCGATTACAGCAGCAACAGCAGCAGCAGCGACGGGGGTGGGGGCGGCGGGTGTACCAGGGGCCGCTTGGGGAGGCGGTGGTCCAGCCGCTGGAAGGGGAGAGCACGGACGGTGGCACGGATGTGGCGGACGAGGATGCGTCCGAAACACGGTGGGTGCGCGTGTCGTGCGCCGTGTGAACTTACCTGAGCTTCAGGTGCTATGGTACCGGTATTGTGGCAGGGGGGGGCATTTTAATGACTGTGCTTGCGGTTACCCACCTACTGGGATCCTTGGCATTGTTACCATTGCAGCTGCTGATGCCGCTGACCGGCACGTGGGTCTGTTTGTCGCCCCCCGCGACCCCCCACGCGCAGGCCGTCGCCATTGGTGCTGCTGTCCGAGGTGCCTGTGGTGCGGGAGGACAGCGAGGGCAACGAGCTGCCCGGGGACAGCGATGCAGAGGCTGCGCCGTAAGTTCACTCGGTTGCGCTGCAGCGCCTGGGAAGGGCTTTCTGTGATGCTGTGACTGCAGCAGTCTCTGGTTGGGACACTCTTACGACAGTGTTGGTTTAGCCGCATGGGTTAGTAAGGATGGATTGAGCTGATCACTTACCTTATGACCCGCTTGTGCAACGTCTGAAGAACCGCATGTGACTGCTGAAAGGTCCTTGCGTGTAGGACTTGAGACACCCCCTGTGACCCATGGGTCGCAGCCACACCCGAGCCCACAATGTGCTGTCCCTCTCCTACCTGTTTCCGCAGGCCGGCGCCCTTTGTGCTTCTGTCGGAGGTGCCGGTCGTAGTGGAGGACAGCGACGGGAATGAGTTGCCGGGGCCCGGCAACCCCGGGGTGGATGATGATGGGGAGGGTGCCGGCGGCCACAAGAGCCATCACCCTGAGGACGCTAGCAACAGGGGCGAGCGGCACGGCGCGGCGCATCCGTCAGCAGCAGCTGCGGGCGCCAAGGAGGACAGCGACGACAGCGACAAGGAGGTGTTTCGCAAGTCGCGGCGAGCCAGCGTGCGCTTCAACGGCAACAATGAGGAACCCTCAGGTGCGTTGGTGGCGAGGTGGGAGCTGAGGCGGGTGTGCGGATGGGCTGCCTCGCCATGGACCTGGGCTTTTCAACACCTGGACACGGCGCAAGCCGTGCTTGGGTCGCTCCATGCAGCACTGCAGGATGCCCGGTAGCCCGGACGCATGCCCAACAGCACGGCCTACATGCTCGATATCAACCAAAACGCGCGTGATGGATGTGATGCCCTCAAGGTCTTGTTAACCCTGTTCGTGACTTGACCTTGTTGGTGACTTGATTCTCCTCCTGCTGCAGAGCCGGCGGCAGCGGAGCCGGAGTCAGTGGACGACCCTATTCATCGGAATCGCAAGAGGCTGCCAAACTCAAGGTAAGGAGGGGGGGCGCGGTTTACCTCCAACCTCCCTTGACACGGCCGTCCATTGCCGACCGGCCTGTCTTGGCTTGTGTACACAAATGTTGCATAACCCGAAACGGGCTTGGCGATGATCGACCAGGCCGCCGCCCCGCAGGCTACCCTCCGCGCCCCTTCCCTCCTGACTCACCAACACTGCACCTCTTGCGTGTCCCGCAGCTCCCAGAGCCGGCCGCGTCGCAGCAGCATCCTGGCGGGCCTCTTCAAGCGCGCTCCCGAGGCCGGCGAGGAGGGCCACGAGGAGGGCATGGAGCAGTCCCTGGCCACACTCCGCAAGAGCAGCATGATCCGCGCCGCAGGGCAGCTGGGCAGTCTCAACCTGGGGCCCGCAGCCGCCGGCATGGAGGCGGGGGCGCACCCGCGGGAGCACAAGAACCGGCGCGCGTCGGTGGGGCCGGGCTCGCTGGCGCGCAAGGGCTCCTCCCTCGGGCTGCAGCGCAAGGGCTCCTCCCTCGGGCTGCAGCGCAAGGGCTCCTCCCTGGGGCTGCAGCGCAAGGGCTCCGCACTGGGGCTGCAGCGGAAGGCCTCCACGTTGGGGCTGCAGCGGGTGCGGTCCATCAGCGCCGCCAACACCACCAATTTCGAGCAGAAGCAGTTTGCCAAGAAGTGGGAGCGGCAGCACAGCATTGCGGCGCAGGCGGTGAAGCGGGACATTGCGATGCGCACCACCAGGTGGGGGGGGGTAGGGTGATGACTGATGAGGTGTGGTGTGGGCTACATGGGTGTGGACTAGGCTGCCCGGGTGAACAGCCGACTGTGATGAGCATGGTCGCCACGCATCAACGGCATAAAGGGTCCTGGAATCTTGTCGGACTGGACAAGAGAGCATGCCGGTTGCCTTCTAGCACCACAGGCATTCCATCCGCACACCCACCCCTCGCCCCCTCCTCCCCTTTACCCCGGCCTCCCTCCCTCCTGTTTCGCGCGCGAACACCCGCCCTCACACCTTCTCCACCCAAATCCCCCCCGCACCCGCAGCATGGTCCTCATGGGCACCGACGAGCTGAACGAGCTGGAGGAGGACGAGCTGGATGTGGTGTCGGAGCAGATGATGATGTGGAGCAGCTTCGCGGAGGCATGGGACGCCATCTGCGACGACCTGCGCGAGGGGGACCTCATCTCGGACAAGGAGGCGGCGCTGCTCAAGTTCGTCAGGTGGGCGGGGACACGGGCGCGTGCTGAGGGGGTTTGGTTCGTTTGCGACATCAGTGGGATTCTCCCGGAGCGACACTGGGTGTAACATCGTCTCGGCCCATCTACCGCGACGTCCATCCTAGGCCGCAGCGCCCTGTCTGCAACACCCCCCCCCCCACACACACACAAAACCCTACCTATCCCAATTGCTTGCTCTTGTCCTACTCAACTACACACAACCCTACCGGCACACAGGCTGGAGTCCTCGGGCAAGCTGTACGGTCTGCGCCCCATCCTGCTGCCCACCTTCTTCTTCGCGGGTCAGATCCGCAAGGTGGTGGACACGGGCAGGGTCACCACCGCACAGGTGAGCGGCCGGGAGGGGCAGCCGCAACTTGGCAGACACACGCCCTGGGCAGCCGTATGGTTGCTTGCACACAAGAGTGTTGGACCATGAAACGACTACGGTTCCAGACGCTTCCTCGTTGACTGCCGTGCTACCAAGCTTGCTCACCAACCTGGTTGATGATGCGTATTCTGCACACCGGGCTAACTGCTCACCCACCTCTGCTTCCTGCACGCCGCCACACCCCATGCCCAACCCAACCCCCAACCCAAATCGCCTGCCCGCACCCTCTGTCTGCTCCTCTCCTCGCCCTGCTGCCCTGCCCTCATCGCTGCTGCTGCTGCTCTCTCCTCTCCTGCCCTGCCCCCTCCAGTTGTTTGCACTTGTTATATACCCCCCCCCCTCCCTCCGCCCCAGGTGATGGTGCTCACCGAGTTCCGTGTGCTGGCCACCTGGCTGGCCTGCCAGGTGGGCATCATGTCGGGCAAGCACGCGCACGTCATCATGACCTCCAACCTGTACGGCGGCATCATCAACGTGAAGCACATCGGGCTGCGCATGAAGTCCTTCCAGGCAGCCATACAGCTGATCAACCTGGTGGAGGGGGCGATCAGGAGCAGGGAGGTGCCCTTTGACATCAAGGTGGGGGTAGGGGGAGGGGTAGGGGGAGGGAGTGGGGGGAGGGGAGTGCTGGGGAGTGAAGGGTGCTGGGTGCTGGGGTGCCGCATGCTCGTGTTCTACCCTATCCTTCATCCTCAGCCCGCGCATCGAGTGTAACCCGGCTTCTGCTTCCTCCTGCCCTCCTGCCCTCCGCCCCCCCGCACAGGAGTTTGCTGAGCACCTGAGCAGCATCATGTACGGCCTGGAGTCGGAGTGCTACGCGGTTCAGAAGATGTGGGAGGTGGGGCGCATGGACGATGACGATCTGGACGGCGCACTCACGCTGTTCGAGGTGGTGCGGGACATGCAGGAGCGGGTGAGGGGGGGGGGGGGGCGGGGTGGTTGGGGGCACAGGGGGGGGTGCACAGGGGGGCTGGGAAGGAAGAGGGGCTGGGCTGGGCTGGAATAAGCCAGTTACGGGGGAGGGGTTGCGATACCGGTACCGCGGGGTACCGCGTGTCGGTACTAGAAGAGGAAACCAACTGCCAGTGCCAGTAGAGGGGGGGTCGGGAAGGAGGAGGAGTAAAGATGGGAAGTGCCAGGACTGGGCCTGCGGGCGTGCGTGTGTGCGGTTGGGTGGTTGGGTTGTATGGTGAGGTTCTGAGGGATTGGTGATGCGGATGGATGTCATCCATCACGTGTGTTAAAATAACTGGCCGCGAGGCGAAACGCACTGTGATCACGTGTGTAGTTGAGTAGGACAAGAGCAAGCAGTTGGGATAGGTTCGCATGTGAACCGCGAGTGATCACGTGTGTGTGTGCTCATGCCCCCTCCCCCTCCTCCTCCCCCGCTGCTGTGCCCCTCCTCCCCTGCGGTTGTCAGATCCGCAAGGACCCCGAGGAGCTCAAGGTGTGTCTCAAGCGCGCGGTGGCGGCGGAGGACCTCACCAAGAACAACAACGTGCTGCTGCAGGTGCGGGGTGTGGACGGGTGGGGGTGAAGGAGGGGGGCGTGCGGGGGGCGCCCTGTGTTCTCGCCTGCAGCGGGCGCCTAGTTGCCTGCACATGGCGGCGCAACCCTGCCACAACGTCCCTGCCGCAGGGCCCACCCGCGCAGGGCTCCGGTGTGAAGCGGTGCGGAGTGTGCCGCTGCAATCTGCCCGCCTTGCCGAGCCGCTGACACCAGCTCCCCGCCCTGTTCACGCCCCTGCCCTGCTGCCCTCCCCTCCGCCCCCCTCACGCCCTCTCCCCCCCAGGTGACCACGGTGCTGCGTCAGATGCTGACCACCACCTCTGCGGACGCCACACCGCAGGGCGAGGAGGCGCAGCGCGTGCTGGGCTTTTTCATCAACAGGTGCGGCCCCCGGGGGGGCGCTGCGGTGCTTGGTGGCGCATGACAACCCGCTATACATCCTACCCTGCCTCCCCACCTCCTGCCTCCCCACCTGCTGCCTCCCCACCTCCTGCCTCCCATGCTTCCTCATTTGCTCCCTGCCCTCCCCCTCCCCCTCCCCCCTGCCCCCTCCCCCCCTGCGCCCCCCAGTCTGGGCCACCCCTCCCTTGACAAGCCCGAGAGCCTGGAGTTCATGCTGAGCTGGTCGGTGCTGACACCCGCGTACGAGGAGGACGTGTTGTACGCGGTGGAGGCGGGGCTGCTGGCGGAGGAGCTGGGGCTGCCCAAGAAGAAGAGTAGGGCGGGGGGGAGGGGGCGGGGGCATTGGAGGGGGTACGCTGGAGCCTGAAGCGAGTGGTAGCCTGCCCTGATCTGCTCTCCATACCTTTTCCGCTTCCATGCTGATACCCACCCTTCACTGCCGCGTCCTGTATCCTGGTACCTCCCCCCTCCCCTCCCCCTTCTCCCCCCCTTCAGTCACCGACCTGCTGTCCGAGACGGACGAGGGCTTCTCGCTGATGGCCTACCTGCGCGCCATGTTCGCCTTCGAGTGGGGCAACTTCAAGGAGCGCATGCGGCGGCTGGTGGCGGACGAGGTGGACATACCCGACTGGGGCCAGGTCACGGAGCTGGACTTTGGGCCGGGTGAGAGGAGGAGGGGGGGGGAGGGGCAGGGGCGGGCTGGGGGGTTAGGTGACCCTGACTGGCGTGTGCCGGACAGGGGCGGGGCGGGGACAGGAAGGGGCGTCTGCTACTGGGTGCCGGGGCTAGTGCTTGGTGTCGAGGGGGACGAGGACGTGAACGCTTGTCCTGCTAGCACCGGTTGCATGCCGCTGGGACTCACACCTCCCCCCCGCCCCCCCCTCACTCCCCCCCGCAGGCGGCCTGCTGTTCGAGTACCGCACGGAGCTGCAGCTGTGGGCCTCCTACCGCGGCCAGCTGCTGGCACGCACCGTGCGGGGTATGATGTGCTACGAGCGGGCGCTCAAGTGCCTGTGCAGGCTGGAGTACCCCACACCCTTGGGTGCGTGCCTGGCTGACCAGGCGGGGGGTGGGGGAGGGAGAGAGGAGGGGGCTAACCAACTGTGTCTGTATGTGGCGGCGCAGGGGGTGGAGGGTTGTGGTTGCGGTTACAGGGCTGCTGTTGCTGCCACAGGTACCCACATGCGCCTTGGGCCCCCTTTCACGTCCTGGCCCCCCCTCTTGCTGCCGGTATGCCTGTGTTGCAGGCATCGCGGACGCGGACTATGAGCGCTGGGTGGACGCCATGGTGGCCGCCAAGTTCGAGTACGTGGTGGCGGTGCAGACGTACGGCAGGAACGCGAGGAGCAGGGACCTGCGGCTGCGGCAGCTGTCGCAGGGGGTGGACATCCTGGTGCAGCGGTGAGGGGGGGGTTGAGAAGCACAGAACCAGGTCTCAGAAGACGGCAACGATTAAGGATACAGGCAATGGGTGAGAGCAGCAGCTATGGGACAACAACAGGACTAAGCGTGGTGGCAGCCGTCCAAACCCGTCTTCAGCCTATCTGCGCCTCCCTCTCCTTCCCACCTGCCATGCAAATCACTCCTCCTCTGCGTCCATCCTCCACCCCCCTCCCTCCCTCCTCCCCTCCCCTCCCCCCTCCAGCTTCCCCAGCCTCAAGGTGGCCTACCTGGACGACGACGCCGCCAGCTGCGACCAGCTGGGCCCCACGCAGTACTCGGTGCTCATCCGCAACCGCCGCGCAGCCGACCCCATCAACAGCGACCCCTCGCAGCCCATCAACAAGATCGTGGAGGCCTACCGCATTCGGCTGCCCAGGAACAGGTGCGGGTGGGGGGGGGAGGGGGCTGGGGGTGCGAGCGGGTTGGTGGGGGGCCGTGTTGGAGCTCTTGAGGAGAGGGAGCGGGTGCGCTATGCCTCTGTGCCTCTCTGCGCTCAGACAGCCTGCAAGGGAGTGTGCATGCAGACGCACCTCCCCTTGTGACACTCTTTGAACAATTTACCCACATGCCTCCCCCCCTTCTCCCCCCCCCCCTCCGTCACCTGCTGTCAGGTACTCCAACCGCGGAGTGGTGCTGGGCGAGGGCAAGCCGGAGAACCAGAACCACGCCGGCGTGTTCGCATTCAATGAGGGGCTGCAGGTGGGTGGGGTGCGGGGGGGGGGGGGGCAGCAGCTAGCGCGGGGGAGGGGCCAGGGAGAAGGGCCAAGCTGGTCTGCAGGGGAGCCGTTGCAGGTGGGCGGCCAGCGCACTTCGTACGAGGACCCGCCCCGATACATGTTGCCGTATTGTTGTCGTATGTCGTTAGAACTGCAAAGCAGTGCGCCCGCTTCGTGCATCTCCGCGACGCCTCCACACCCCCCCCTCTCCCCCCCTTTCAGGCTATCGACATGAACCAGGACAACTACCTGGCGGAGGCGCTCAAGATGCGCAACCTGCTCAGTGAGTGAGAGGGAGAGGGGGGAGGGGGGGCAGGGGGAGAGGGGGGAGGGGGGGAGGGTGGGAACGGGAGCGGGAGGGGAGGGGTTCATTGCCGGGAGGGGGGTTAGGTTGCGGACTGTGGATCGCACCCGCTTGCTGATGCCGAGTGTGACCCGAGGGTCGGGAACTGCTAGCACTGCACCGGCCGCTGCTGTCATATGCTGCTGGCATGCACGACATTGCTTCGCCGCACGGCCGTGGTAACGCGTCTGCTGGCCCCCCTGCGTCTGTCCCCTGTTCCCTTGCACTCCCTTACTCCTCATCATCCCTTTCTGCCCCCTCAATCCTCCCTTCCCTCTCCTCCTCCCTCACCCCACCCCCCCTCCCGCCCCCAGGCGAGCTGCACCCCAGCAACAAGGGTCAGTTCATGCTGTTCGCGGACGACACGCCCAGCCAGGTGCTCAACCCGCACATGACGGGCGCGGAGCTGCGCTTCGTCATCCTGTCGCGCATGAAGCACTCCTTCCCCACCGCCATTGTGGGATTCAGGGAGTGGATCTTCAGCGCCAACTCGGGTAGGCCAGGGGGGCGGATGGGGTGGGGGGGGACAGCACCGCCAGCGCTCGCGCCTGCAGATGCATGCCCCCGACTCCTCGCTTCACCCATCGTTACAGCATAGCAGTCCAAACCTCTGATCCCATCCTTGTTCTTCTCCTCCCCCCTCCTCAACTCCTTTCCTCGCCCCTCCCCACCCCCCCAGGCGCGCTGGGGCAGTACGCGGCCGCCACCGAGTACAGCTTCGCCACCATCCAGTCGCGCATCATGACCAAGCCGCCCCGCGTGCGCATGCACTACGGCCACCCCGACGTCTTCAACAAGACGCACATCATGACGCGCGGCGGCATGAGCAAGGGCACTCGCACGCTGCACATCTCGGAGGACTACTTCATCGGGGCAGCGCACACGCTGCGGGGGGCGAGGATCAGGTGGGGGGAGGGAAGGGGAGGGGAGGAGGTGTGGGGCGGGAGTCTCCGGGCTGCTGGGGTGCGCGATAGGACGGTGCAGCGCTATACAGCTCTGCAAAGCCACCCCTCTCCTAACCACCTCTCCCTCCACCTTGCCCCGAACCTCCCTATCCCGCCCCGCACTGCCCCCCCCCTCCCCCCAGGTACAAGGAGTACATCAGCTGCGGCAAGGGTCGCGACATGGGGTTCGACTCCATCCTGGGCTATCAGAAGAAGATCAGCGGCGGCGCGGGCGACCTGGCCACCAGCCGGGAGGTGCACCGACTGGGCACCCGGCTGGACTTCTTCAGGCTCATGAGCTTCTACCATGGAGGTGGGGGGGGGGGCAGGGGTTGGAGGGGGAGGGAGAGGGGGTGGGGGGGTTGTTGGAAGGAAAGAACTTTAACAGGCGGACTTTCCTCCGTACTCGCATTCCCTTCTGTTTTTTCTCCCTGTAACCATCCATCCATTATCCCCGTCCCTGTCCCTGGGCCTTGCTCGACCTGGTGGTGTCCCTCTCCCCGCCCCTCCCTTGTAACCGCGCCCCTCCCTCCCGCCCCCAGGCATCGGCCACTTCCTGAACAGCTTCCTGACGCTCAAGGCCGCCTGGTACAACATCTGGGCGCTGCTGCTGACCGCGCTGGCGGGCGCCATGGAGATGGGGCTGGCGGGGGACAAGGGGGAGGTCACACTCACGCAGACGTACAACGTGCAGCAGGTAGGGTGGAGACGGGGGGGCCCAGGGAGGGGGAGGTAGAAATAAGGAAACTGACGAACTGATTGACGAGGCTTCACCAGGGGTGGGAAGGGAGGGGTGCAGAGGTGGTGTATGGCGGAGGTGCATGCGGAAGCAAGTTAGGGACCGCTGAGCGAGTGAGCAAGGGAGGGCAGCGGGAAGTGCTTTTTTTGAGGTGATGAGTTACTGCCGAAACCACCCTGGTCCTCCTGCGGGCCGCAGGCGACCTGCCCCGGGGCCCTGCAGGGGGGTGCAACCTCGAGTGCTGCCCTGCTGCGATGCTCGCGTGTGACCCGCCGCCGCAACTGCCTCTTACGGGGACCTGTCACACCTGCCTCGCCCCTCTCTTGCCGGTACAACCCGTAAACCCTGTAAGCCCAGGCTCGCACTCTCCCTGCCCTGCCCCCTCACTCCTCCCCCCATCCCTCCCCTCCTCCTCCGCCCCCCCCCCCGCCCCCCAGGTTCTGCAGCTGGGCACGCTGTCCATCATCCCCTACGTGGGGCAGCTCATCCTGGAGACGGGGCTGCTGCGGACCCTCATCGTGGTGTTCGGACAGATCGTGACAGGCTCGTGAGTGCAGACGCGGCAGTGGCACAGGGACTGGCAGGGCGCCGAGACACACCACATCCAGTGTACCAGACATCTCCTCTATTAAACCTCTTTTTACTCTCCTTCCAAACCGCAAAACGCCACCTTAACTATTCCTTCCGTTGCTTTGGCAGGCAGGAGCGCCCTCCGACTGCTGCTGCTCCTGGAGTGCACACGTCCCCTTACCGCGTCCTGCTTCGCTGCCAAGCTGCTACCCACCCACACCCTTATAACACACCACTCCTTCCCGCTCTTCCCTCTTCCCCCCTCCCCCCCCCCCCCCCCCCCCCAGCCTCTTCTTCTACATCTTCCAGCAGCAAACCGTGGCCGCCTCCTTCAGCTCCGTGATGGCCTACGGCGGCATGCGCTACATCGGCACCGGCCGCGGATTCTCCATCCAGACCACCGACTTTGTCAAGATGTACACCATGTACTCGCGCAGTCACCTGTACATGGGCTTCGAGGTGCTGTTCTTCTGCGCCACCGTCTACTCGCTGCACGACTGCCAGCAGTGCAACTACGCAGCACTCACCTGGAACAGCTGGATGCTGGCGTTCGTGATGATCCTGTGTCCGCTGTGGTTCAATCCCTTCATTTTCAACCTGTCCAAGGTGCAGCGCGATTACATGAGCTGGAAGAGGTGGTTGAGCGGGGACATGGACCCGGGGACGGGGACCAACTGGTACACCTGGAACCGGGAGCAGCTGTCCAAGGCGAGGAATGATGATGGCAATGTGACGGACGCGTGGCGGAATGGGTTTGGGGAGATCGTGGGGGTGTGCCTGCCGTACCTGCTGCTGGTGCTGGCGGTGGTGTCGAGGATTGACTTCCGGATCTCGGTGAGTGTTGGGTGGTGGGTGGGTGGGGGTTCGATGGTTGTGTTGGGTTGGGCTGTACAGGGGTTTGTGGTGCATTGCTGCTTCTGTGATCCCTTTTCGGCGCCCTCCTAAACACCTCATCCTCACGCTCCCCCTCTTCCCACCCCCTCCCGGCAGCACGTGCGGGTGCTGGACAACCCCTACATGGAGTTCCTGCTCGCCACGGCGCTGCTGTGGGTGGTGACCCTGTCCATGAGCTACCTGGGACACAACCTGCTGGAGAGGGCAGCCAGCAAGGAGTGGAGGATCGTGCGGTGAGCACCGCCGCCACGCCCCTCCCCCCGAGCACCTGTCACGACCTGCCTGCACCTGCACCTGTTGCTGTCGCGGCCACCGCACCCGCCGGCATTGGATCTGCCCTGACCTGACTTGATGCTGTTGCTGCAGTTGCTGCTCTGTAGTGCTCTGTAGTGCGGTTAGGAAGCGCTACCTACCTCCGCATTCCGCCGCTCCATCTCCCCCGCGAGGTAGACCCCCCTCACCCGCCTCCCCGCTCCTCCCTCCCCCCCTCCCCTCCTCACCCGGCAGCTATGTCGCCTCCCTCACCGTCACCATGCTCTTCATCGTGTACCTGGCCGCCCTCAACCGCTTCTACACCGGCAGCGGCTTCCGCTACCTGTCGGAAGTGGGGTACGCCAACCTCATGATCCTGATCATGGTGCACAAGGCGGCGACCTACCTCTTCACACAGGTGGGCGGCTGGGGCGGGGAGCGGGGCTGGGGGGGGGTGGCGTAGCAGGATGTCGTGTGGCAGGCGTCTGCCAGCAAGGTTCGGTTGCCGCGGTCACCTTTCTCCTCTTCCCAGCTCCTGATGACTTCCTTACCTCTCCTTCCTCAACGCCCCTCCCTCACTCCCTCCTCTCCCGTGCCCCCGCCCTGCCCCCCACCCCCCTGCATCCCTATCCAGAACAACACGGTCCGCGACTTTGTCGACGCGGGCTACTACCTGATCGACGTGCTGGTGGGCTTCTTCATGTTCAGCATCCTGGCGCTGCTGTCCTTCGTGGGCTTCGTGAACCTGCTGCAGAGCAAGCTGCTCTTCAACGAGGCGTTCAGCCAGTCCGTGCAGACCGCGCGCATCCGCATGCAGGTGAAGCGAAGCGGCAAGCAGATCAAGCGCAAGACCAAGCCGGGGCTGCTCATGACGATGGAGGAGTGGATGCGCAGTCGACCGGGCAGTGCGGCCAGTGTGGCGCCCTCGGTGGCGCCCACTGCCTACGAGGGGCGATCCATCGCGCCGTCCATGGCCGCGTCCATAGGGCCCTCCGCGGCTCCCTCCCTTGCAGCCTCGGCCTTCCCCAGCCGGGCCAACAGCGTGCATGAGGGTCTGGATGACGCGGTGCGGGGGGTGTTGGAGCGGGTGAGGCAGGGACAGCGCGGGCTCGGGGACGAGGAGGCGGCAGCGGGGGAGACCGGTGGTGGTGGCGGCGGTGGTAGTGGTGATGGGGCGGGAGTGGAGGGAGCTGGGGAGAATGATGGGCTTCGGGAGCGGCGGCTGCGGCTCGGGGCGCGGTAGCAGGCCGGATTCGAATCGAAGGGTGGGGGGTGAGGGCGGGGCGCAGAGGGGTTCTTGCCAAGGCCGTTGCCGCGCCTACCACTGCTGCTGCTGCTGCAGGGTGGGAGTCGTCTGGTATGGTTGTACAGTACGCTGTGGCTCGTGATATACATGTGTTGGTTTAGGCCTTGCATTGCATCTGTTGGGAGTCGCCGAATAATAATAATAATGCTGGGAGCAAAGCCGTCCTCTCGGAGGGTGGCGGCTTTGTCGCCCCGGGCGGTGTGGTGTGAGCTCGCGCTAGCTGCGGGCGCCGCTGCAGGCCGTTGCATCAGCTGCAATTCATCGCTGGTGCATGTGTGTGTGTGTGCGTGTCACGACGTGTCCAGAAGCCCATGGAAAGGAAACCCAACCCACAGGGCAGGGCGCTAGGACCCTGGCCCTTGAATCGTGAGCATCTTAGCCACATGTACCGCATGCAATTATGGTAACCGGTAGTTGTGGGGGCTTCACATAGTAGAGGATCGTAAGTTGGTAGCGTTTCAGGCCTGTGGTTCACTTGCGAGGGCAACATAGGACACAAGCAGTTTAGCGTATACAGCTAGCAAGGCACGGGCGAAAAAGGCTATTTATTCAACGACCGAGGCGCTGCTGCTTTGCTTACGTGACCCTTTATCAATCATGAGTAGGCGAATATCTGCTTTAGTTTCGTAGCGGGGTATTTTCTCTTGTGTTTTTCTATCTGCGTTTCAAGTAGAGCCCCCTCAGTTGAGAGGTGCGGGGGCCTGCAATTATCAGCGACGTACATCCGGTGCATGCTGCCAAAGCGCGGGACTGGGTGAGAGCGGTGCCTCACCGCACGTGTGGGTTGTCTCCCCGCTGCGGTTGGGGCTGTTGCTCCCGCCTCTGTCCGTACACCCTCGTCATTCCTCTGACCGCCGCACTGACACATGCCGTGCACCAAACTGCCATGTACTGCGTCCTCTCCACATCGTGACGAACGCTTTTTGCAATAGTACGATGTATCTGACTTCATCGACGTATGCCTTGCGTTGGGCGGCGTGACCGGGCTTTTGGATAGCATAGTCTGTACTTGTTGGACTTCGGGCGCAGTATATTCAACGGCTAGGTCATGCACGTTTCCTTGTGCTGCGCTTGTGGCCTGTATGGTTGGACTATATCGGCTTCTTACAGGATTGATGCCTCACTGGACGTTGCACAAACGCTGCACGGGTCGGGGCACAGGCCGGGCAATCAGTGCACCCGTACACACGACACAGCGCTGTCACAGTGGTGGCGTGTTTCACATACGGCCGGTTTAACCTTGAGCCATATGGCACCCGGCGACCTGCTCAGCACATCGACCTCACCTCCGTCACGCAAACCACAACACTGATAACCTGTGTTGCAACCGGATGGGAATAATGAAAGCGAATCATGTCATCATGCAAAAACTTTGGACCTCATCACGAGAAATAAGCACGGCGCCGCAGATCAGTAGCGCCTCTCGCCAGCTAGCTGCTCGGCAGGCGACATCCCCTACAGCACCGTAAGGGGGATGCCACTCCATTGTCCAGGGCCACGTCCTGCAGCTTACCTCCGGACCCCGGCCCCACCCCGAGACAAGCACGCAGCATCACGATGCTAGATAGGAATTGCAAGGAGGCAACACAAAACGGGCAAGCACACGCCCCACACGTGAACAGGCCGCTGACAACACCGCATGGCACACACAAGCCTTTGCTCGACTCGTTGCCGGCGCCTCTCCATCTCTCCAATAGTAACCCATGCACTGCATGCGTTGATCTCAAGTGTCTTCTTCTCATGCATTGTGAAGGACATCCGTCTGTTGCAGCAACAATCCATGCACGTATGTTTCCTACGTGGCCACCTCGGCCCAACAAACAGGACGCCCCTCTGGCGACAGGCCCTTCCCTTTAGCTCCGCACGTCACGCAAACTCTTCGCTTGAATAGCCTCGGAGCAGTTGCCAACAGCTCCTCCTAGCTGCCCATCACACGGCCCTGGTCGCAGCCATTCACCAGGAGGAAGATAAGTAGATAACAGCCCCCGGTTTCGCACTGATCACTTCACACCTGGCTTTTGTCAGCCAACGAGCATAGGTAAGAACCGTTAAAATACCGTAGCCCCCAGAAGATCTTTGGTTAAGTCAAAATCTTCTTACGCTGCTAACCCCCTCTACCCGATTTCCCTTCTGAATGCCCCTAACAGTGTCAGGCCACACAGCAACACCACCACGAGCACATACGAACCATTTTCATCTCTCAACAGGCTTGACGCCACACATCAACAACTTCCCCACGCGCCCACCACACACTGTCTTTGCGCCCACCCCGCCCCACGCTGTCCTTCGCCGCACCACGCACGGCAGTCTGCTGCCCACCATCAAAGACTGGCTGGTTAGTCTCTTCTTCTGTCCTCTTGGCGGCGAGGCCACCCGCCAGGCCAACCCCGCATGCCGGCGGCTAGCCCTGTGCGGGCGGGCCTGCAGGATGTAGCGGAGAGCAGCCTAGCAGCCGTCCTGGCTCGCAACCATGTTCCCCCCAAAGAGCCCATAACGAACATGGAAGGCGCATTCAACAGCTCGGGTACATGAGCATGCCCAGTTCGCCCGGGGCAGACGTGCAAGCAACACTCTCACAGCTTCATAACATGGGTAAGACTCGAATACGAACGCATGGAGGTTGCGAACCGCATGGCAGCTGCCTTGACATGGGCAGCAGGTGCATGCGCATTGTTAGGAGTGCGTAACCTTCCACGCTATCACCGCAAGCGTCAGATGCCGCACCTGTGCGGGGATGATCGCATGTCGTTGTGATCAGCCCATGAGCGCGCACATATGCACATTGAATACACATTGAAGGAAAGGGCCAGAACCTATGCTATGCCTTCGCTGCCGGTGTTCCACCAACCCCTTGGAAAGAACCCAGCCATTATCCACACCTAAAGCCTCTCCCAAGGCACGGAGGCTGTGGGGTGCATCCAACCGGAAGTCCGAAGACTCGACATCCCCTTGCCCCCCGGATGACCATGCCCCCGTGCAAGGAGGACACACACGGTTCCCTTACATTGCCCCATGCCCGGAGGCGCTCGCTGCGGTGCCGTCTAAAAGTAGTTGTGCACGCCCGCTAGCGCCACATCTGCGAAGCTCTGCAGCGAGGTGCTGCTGGCCGCCGTGACCTGCGACACGGCCGTGACAGCAGAGCCAGCCTGCGGGGTGGGGGGGCAGCAGCAGCAGTGCAACATGCACACATCAGCATGAAGCACGTCGCATCGGAAACGGAGTGGGCTGGCCTTACAGTTGAGGCAGCCCTGTATGGAGGGAAGCATGCTGCGGAGCGCAATGACCCCACACCAAGGCTTTTCTCCTCCTCCCGGCATCCCTGCCCCTCACCGCCACCACCACCTGCCACCCAAGCTGACCCATGCAACCCACCACGGACGCGCGCTGCACCTCCCGCCCAGCTGCCCCCAGCGCCCCAGCAGCGCCCGCCGCCGCCACCACCGCTGCCACCGCCGGCGGCCCGCCGCTGCCTCGCACACCGAACGGCGCCCCCGCTGCAGCCGCAGCCGCTGCCGCAGCCGCCCGCACCGCCTTTCCGTCCTGGCTGAGGCGGCTGGGCACGTACTCCAGGGGACCTCCCGTGCTGCGCCGGCGGCCGCGTGACCGGGGGGTTCTGGCAGGGGAAGCCAGGCGGGCAGTGACCATCTGGGGGAGGAGGTGGAGTGAAAGGCGGTGCGCAGGTGGAGCCAGGAGGAGGAGCAGACGGACGGGTCAACCACCCGTCAACCAGGCGCACGTGCAGAGTTAGCTTGCCTTGAGTACAGCGGCGCCGCTGTACAATGGCTGACTAGCAGGTGCACATGCCGCCGCGCCCAAGCAGCCGTCCGAAAAGTCGCCAGTCCCCTGCTCCCCAGTCCCGCGGGGCCACCCCTGCTCACAGCAGCTCACACACTTCCACCCTCGCAGCCTCCCCTGCCCCCCTCCCCGCCGTACCTGCTTGAACAGCCCCTCGTCCAGCGACGCCCGCCGGAATGGCGGCCGCCGCACCAGCTGCCCCTCCGCCGGGTAGCCGGGAGCCGCCGCCTTCGACCACGCCAGCCCATGCCCCGGGCCGCCGAAGCCGCCGCCACCGCCCTCCTCCTGCTCCTCCTCCTCTCCTCCCTGGCCCCCCACCACACTGCCTCGCAGGCTGCTGAATGGCAGCTCAGCCGCCAGCAGCGCCTGACTCACCCGCATGGGAGGCAGGTGGCCGTACCCCTCCGGCAGAGAGACCAGCCCCCCGTGGAAAGCAGTCCCAGGGTGACCCGCGGGTCTCGAGCCGCTGTAGGGCCCCATGCGGTCTGCTGCCGTGGCGGGGTCGAGCATGGGGTAGCCCCCCGACAGGCTGCGTGGCAACAGGCGCAAGGCGGGGGAGGGGTTGCCCCCCGTCGGTGGGAGCTGCTGTTGCTGGCCTGAGCTGGAGGTGGCTGCGGTGGATGGGGAGCCGGCATTGGAGGCGGGAGGGCCGGAGGGGGTTGCGACGGAGCGGGTGGAGGAGGTGGAGGCAATGCTGCCGAGGCGGCTGGGTCCTGCAGAGGGGGCGGGGGGAAAGGAAACGGGGGTGGGAGGTAGGGTTGGAGGTCTCCAGCGGGGCAATCCCCCGAGGGGTGCGCGCCCCTCGCGGTGCAACATGGCCGGTATTCTTGAGACGGGGCCAGGGCAGCAGGCGGCAGGTGGCAGTGCCCTAGTTCCCCTCGTGCATGTGAGGGAGGGGGGATGTCCAGCTGTCTACAGGCATGCTCCGCGATCCACCTGCTGCCTTGAGCTCGCTGGATGCCCGCCCACCAGTGCTGCTAGACTACCGCAGCGGCCCACATACCGTACAACCCAGCGCTGCAGGAAGCCCTGGTGCTTCCGCGCCCCTCCTGCCCCGCCCCGCACCCACCTGCTGAGCTCGTACGGCGGACACCCCCGTGCAGCTGCGGCCTGCCAGCCGCCGGCCGCTGCCCCGGCAGCCCCAGGTTGGGCACGGAGGGGGAGCGCAGCGGCGGGGACGGGGAGGCATACCTGCCGCCGCCGCCGTCTCCCGCGAACGTGCCGCCCATCAGGAGCTGCGACTCCGAGGCGCCGCCCGAGGAGGAGGGCTGCAGCGCCGGCTCTAGCTCCAGCCCTAGCGCCGACTGCAGCAGTGAGTAGGAGTGTGCGGCCGCCGACATGCCGGCAAGGTGACCCTCCTCGCCGCCGCCGTCCGTGCCGGAGCGCCCAGCGCCGAACGCCTGCACGGAAAGCCCCGACGGACCCGCGCCGCTGCCGCCGCGACGTACTCCGCTCAAGCCCGACAACGTGCGCTGCGGCATGCGCGGCGCTGCCTGAGACGCGACCCCCATGGCGGAGCCCGTCGCCTCCGACGCCGCCGTCGCCAGGTCTTTATCCCCAGCGCCATGCCCGTACATGGGCCGCGACGGCGGCCGCCGCGGCAGCGACTGCGACCGCGACGCCGCCAGTGTCGTCGGCGCCGCCGGGGCCGCCCGCAACGCGAAGGAGCGCCGACCGGAGCTCGACCCGGGCACCGCTGGCGGCGGCTCCCCGCCCGGCGGCGGCCCCAGCAACATGGCTGCCAGGTCGTCCGCTGTGGCCCAGTTGTCGAAGGACATGACGGTGGAGGCGCCGCCGGGGGTAGAGCCCACACTGCCGCCAGCCGCCACCGCCGCCGACACAGCCGTCACGGCGGCGATGCTGCTAAAGCCGCCAGCGCCAGCAGCCAGCCCGCTGCTGCCGCCGCCGCCGCTGCCGCCGGCCAGGGCATCTGGCCCTAGCTGCGCCAGGCCCAGGGCTGCCGGTGTCGCACCCGCCGCCATCCCGACTGCTGCTGTTGCTGCGGCTGCTTCCGTGGGGTGCTGCAGCTGCAGCTGCGAGCGGCTATTCGAGCGGGCCGGGCTCGGCGACACGGTGCCTGCCAGGTTGAGCACGTGGCTCAGCCGCCGCTGCCGGGTGCTGACGCGCCGCTGTTCCAGCAGCGCCCGCCGGGCTACATCCGCCGCGCCGCTGCCGCCAGCCAGCGCCAAGCCGGCAGTCATGGCAGACACCTCCTGAATCGCAGCCATGATGCGACCAGCACTGCCGCCACTGTCCAAACCTCCCGCCGCCGCCGGCGATGGTACGCGGCTGCCGTAGGAGGACTGCAGCACCCCTCCGGCGCCGCCCGCAGCAGCGGAGGACAGCGTGTTGGAGGTGTGGTGGTTCACGAAGGGGCTGGGGTCGCCCATGCTGCTGCTGGTCCACATGACCGCCACCTCCCGCGCCGCTCGCGCCTGCTCCTGCTCCGCCGCCGCGAAGGCTTCCGAGCTGCTGCGGGAGGTGCGCGGCCAGCAGAGGTCCGACGCCGGGACCGCGCTCCACAGCGGGTACTGCCGGCCGCCGCCGCCGCTGGCGCCGCTGGAGAATGGACCTGTTGCAGCGCTAGTCGTGGCAGAGTCCACAGCCGCAGCAGGAGGAACAGCAGCAGCAGTAGCCCCAGTTGCGATACCAGCGGCAGCCTTATGGGGAGTGGCGGAGGTGGTAACGACGGCGGCGGCGGTGGCGGAGGCGCTGGTGTTGGTACGGACATCCGGGACAGTGCACGGCGCCCGCGACTGGCTGTGAGGTCTGGCGGCGGGCACCTCCTCCGACGAGGTCCGCTGCGGCTGCTGCTGCGACGGCGACCGAGACGGCAGCTCGCCGCCGCCAGCAGTGCTCCCTCCGCCGCCGGGGCGCACACCGCCACTGCCGTCAGCGGCGGTGCAGCCGTACCTTGCGGCTTGCGGTGACGCCGGGCTCCCGCTGGACTGCCGCCAGAGCACTGGGGTGGGCGGCGCAGCTGCTCGCAGGCTATCCGGGTTGGTGGAGGAGCGGGGCAGCGGCTGGCGGTGCGAGGGGGGCACCTGGGGACCCGTCCGGGCAAGCGCCGCAGCACCGCCCATGGACGCGACCTGCGTGTGCCGTACGGACCGTACAGTTACGGGTACGACAGCCTCCATGAGCTCTGAAGCCAGCATGGCGTCGCTCAGGTAGTCGATGTGGCGGGCGGCGACGGCATGTGCGGCGGGTGCGTCAGGGTGCAGCGCGTTGGCTCCGCTGACTTGGGTGCTGGCGGCGGGGGAGGTGAGGTAGGGGTGGCTGCTGCCGCCAATCATGATCAGGTCCTGACCTGCAGCGGCGGGGAGGCAGCAGCGGCGGGGAGGTGACGCGAGGGGGGCAAGTGGACGGTCGGAAGACAACGCAGTTGGGGAGGATGGCTTGGCGGCAGGCAGGTAAGGGACCGGGGGGCCCGTCAAGTCAGTGGGCTCCGAGGAGGGGGAGGGCACAGCAGCTCTCCCCAGCCGCTCCCAAGTCCCTACATTCAAGGCCGCTGGAAACACGGCCGAACATGACAACAACCCAACCAACACCGGCAGCTCTCCCCGGCCCCTCCCGCCACCCACCTAGCAGGGCCAGACCGGTGCTGTCCAACAGGGGCGAGTGCTGTCTCGACGCCGGCCGCGAGGGAGGGCGCCGCGAGGGAGCGGCACCCCGCTCGCCGGCCGCTGACGTCACCGCCCCTGCGGCGGCGGTGGCAGTAGGCGCCGTCAGCGCCCCTGCGGCGACAGGCATGCGCTGCGGCGGGGCAGCCCTTGCCGCCACGCCGGCGCCGCCATGAGCAGCGCTGTGGTAAGGCTGCTGCTGCTGCTGCGGCGGCTGCAACAGCTGCTGCAGGTGCTGCGGTGGCTGATGGTGGAGGTGAGGGTGGTAGTTGGGATGCTGGGCTACCCAGTCATGCACAAAGCCCGACGTCCAGGGCCCAGTGGGCCCTGCAGCGCCGGAAAACGGCGGCATTTGCGGGTGCTGACCGGACGGCGAGCCCAATGTGTTACCCAGCGGCGGGTTGGCGGAGCTGACAGCGGCGGCGGCGACGTGCTGCGCCGCCGGGACGAAGCCGCCGCCGACAGTGGTGGTGACGGTGGCGGCGGCGGCAGTAGTACGGACGCGCTGCCTCAGGTTGGACACGTCACTGGGGCTGCGGCCCGGCGCCCGCCGCTGCGGTGCGTCCTGCTGCGGCTGCCACTGTTGTCGTTGCTGCTGCTGCTGCAACTGCTGCTGCCGCCAGACGGCTGCGAGGTCGGAGCTGGCGCGTGTGGGGGCGCCGCGAAGACGTGCCACGCGGTTCCCTGGCGCCGCACCCGCAGCCGCAGCTGGTCCGAAAATGCCTGGAGGGCCGCCGCCGCCACCGCCGCCAAACACAGACGGAGCCGTCGCCATGAGCTCAAGAAAGGAGCTGCCGCCACCGCCGCCTCCGCCAGCGTTGAAGCTGCCGCCGCTGTTGGGCCCCACAGGGCCTCCGCCGCTCGGCACACTGGCCAGGGCCGAGCTGCCTGTGCCATGGGTGCCCGTGCCCGTGCCGGTGGCGGAGCTGCCGACCCATGCGCGGGCTCCCGAGGGCAGCGAGGTGCGGGCGCCGTACGAGAGCTGCGTGGAGGCCATATTGGAGAGCTCGGAGGGGCTGCGGGAGGGCGGCCCGTGGTGCAGGTACTGCTGCAGAGGGTGCTGCTGCGGGTGTGGGTGCTGCTGGTGCATGTGCATGTGCTGCTGCTGGGGGTGGTAGTGCGGCGGGGTGGGGCCGGCGGGCGACACCGCGAGGACGGGGCCGGTGTTGGCTGAGCTGCCGGTGCTGCCCAGCACCTGCAGCAGCCGGTCCAGCTCCCGACCCGCAGCAGCAGCGGCAGCAGCAGCGGCGCCCGCACCGCCGCGGCCCGCCAGCATGCTTAGCTGTGACAGAGGGGCAGGGCAAGGTGAGGATGGGCGGACGGGTGGTTGAGACGTAGCGGCAAAAGATGGCTGTGGCAGCAGAGGCACAGGTTGCATGCCTACGCGAGCACCGCCGGGGGTAGCATGAGGTGGTGTGTTCAGGCATCATGGTGGCACACGGGGGCTGTTGGCAGCAAGGTGAGCTGCTCGGGCGCCATCGCACTCAGCCACGCGAGCCACACACCCGCCCCGCCCCGCCAACACCGCAGCACGCCCCGCCCCTTCTCAAGCCGCGCCCCCCTCCTCCCACCTGGCGCGGGAAGTCTATCTTGCCGGAGATGACGTCCGCCTCGTCCAGCTCCAGCGCACTGGCCAGCAGCGAGCCGCACTCCTCATCCAGATCCAGGCTCTGGAAGAAGGGGTCGCCGCTGCGCATCAGCGCCTCCTCCAACCCCCCAGCGGGCCCAGCACCGCCTGGTGAGGACCCCAGACCCGACCCCAAGCCGGCAGCAGCAGCAGCAGCAGCTGCAGCGGCGGCGTTGGCCTCGCCGCCTCCTACAGCGGCAGGAGACGGATTCAGCGCTGTTGGCTCAGCTGGGCTAACGGGAACTTTAGCGCCGCCAAAGGCTGCATGCGTGGGTAATAAGGGTCCGCCTGGTGCGCCGGGCGGTTCCGCCACCCAACCCGGAGTTGCGGTGAAGCTGTTTGCCGCTTGCGGGGTTGCATGTGACGGAGATCTGGGCGACAACACGCCTGTCGCGTCTCGCGCCGGGGGTGACGCCGCTGCACCCGGCGGGGCCCCCACGCCCCCACTGAGAGCCGCCGGCCCCAGCCCACCAACGCCGGACCCAGTCCTCACGGCGGCTGCCCACATGGTGTCAACGGAGCCAGTCTCAGCCAGCCGGGCTTGCGCTGCTGTCAACGACGTCGCTGCTCCTGGATCGGCCAACGCGACAGTGCTGCCAGTGGCTCGCCCTCGCATGCTGCCATGCGCCGCCTCATGAACAGCTTCTGTCAACGCTGTCTGGTCGCTGCCGCCACCGCCGCCGCCGCACCTCACAAGGTCCATGACAGCGCTCAGGCTCAGGCTGCGGCGAGTCCGCTGCCGCACCCGATGCCCTCCCTGCGCTTCTCCGCCCGCCTCCCAGTCCTCCTCGCTTTCCGCTGCAGCTGCCGGCTCCGCGGTTTCTAGCCCCGGTCTCGGTACTTCCGCTGCTGATGCCGGCGTGGCAACTTGCGCAACTGCCGCGGCAAGAGCCGTGGCACGTACACGCAGGACCTCAGCAGCAGGCAGCGGTACGGCTATCCATGCACCGCCGTACGTGGCCGGTAGGTATAGCTTCCGGTACAGTCTGTACGACAGCGCGTATCGCCCGCTCGCCAAGCAGTAGTACAGCGCCACACCGGTTGCTGCGATCACCGCGTAGCAAAACACCGGCAGCCAGTCACCGGCAGGCGCCGCGGGCATGGAAGCCAGGCACTGGCCCTGTTGCTGCTGCAGGGCTGCCGCGCTCCCGGCCGACCGCGCCAGAGCTGCCATCCAGGAGGGAAGCTGAGAGTCCGGCGGAGGGGGCAGCGCCGCTGCGGACATGCTGGGAGTTGCAAGCAGCAACCCCACGCGGGGAGCAGCCGCCTCTGCCGCCACCGCCGCAGCGCCCTTCCGCGCCAGCCCGCTCACCCCACCCGCCAGCAGCGGGCCCCGCCGCACCGCACCATCCAGCACCGACACCAGGACCAGCAACCCCAGCAGCTGCGCCGCGGCAACCGGCGCTGGGTCCTCATTCCCCACCACGTTGGCCGCCAAGCCCAGCATCATCCGCACCAGCAGGCCCCGCCGCCGCGACTGCGGCTGCGTCACCAGCCTCACCAGCTGCCCGGCGGCATGCAGCAGCGTCACGGTGCTGTTGATGGCGGCGGAGTAGTCGCCGTACAGCCGCCCCGGCAGCGCCGCCAGCAGCCCGTTCAGCAGCAGCAGACTGGCGCCCGCCACACCCGCTAGCGCCCCTGCAGCTTCCTGGGCGCGGAGCAGCAGGGTCACACCAGAGGCTGCTGCTGAGGAGGAGGAGGGACTGACCCCTGCAGCAGCAGCAGCCGCCCCTGTGAGGTGCGCCAGGGTGTCGTGCGAGAGCAGCAGCAGGGCGGCGGAGGCGAGGCGCTCGCAGAGGATCTTGCGGCGGTAGGCGGCCAGCAGGCGCCGCTCGGGGTGCTGGAAGATGTCTGCAGGGGGCGGGGTGGTGTTGGTAAAGAGGTGGCAAAACATAGTTTTGGCTAGTTGACTTGGCCTTGGTGCAGGCTTGGCAGCACTTCCCACGCTTGTGTCTCCTACAGTCGTCCTTCTCTCCCCTAAGGCGATCCAGCGCTTTGCCCAGTAACCCATGCGGTGTTGCGACCCCATGCGGTCCAGCCCCCCATGCAGGACTCACCGGGCGGCAGCCCAGTCAGCTGCATGTCCAGCGCTGCCGGGTCCCCCCAGTCAGCAGCCGCCACCGCCCCACCGCCCACCCGCTGCTGCCCCTGCCCCTGCCCCTGCTGCTGTGGCGGCAGCGGCTCCTGAGGCCCCTGCTGCTGCTGTTGAGGCCCCTGCTGCTGCTGCTGCTGAGGTGCCTGCGGCTGCTGCACTGCTAGGAGTCGTGTGGTGGCGGCGACCTGCGCATGTGGCACGGCAGGTGGCGGCGGCAGCCCGGCGTACAGCGGCGCCAGGGCCACCACGGCGACGGCGGCGGCGATGCTGGACAGCAGATGCCACAGTACGGCATGGGGCGTGTCGTACCGGCCCGTGAGTACGGCGGCCAGGAAGCCCACAAAGTCCAGCGCCAAGGCGGCTCCCAGCTGCGGAAGCACCTCCCAGAAGGGGTCCTGGCGGTTGGGGAGGAAGGCAGGACAGTGGGACGAGGGAGGCGTACGTGAAGGTGTGGAAGATAGCTTGCAGTGAGTCGCTGTTGCGTTCATGGCCGACGTGACACATGCACACAGCCTGAAACAATTACAATGCACTGCAGCGCGCCGTTGGGTGTAGGTACATTGGCCTACATGCCTACAGCAGCAGCTTCACGCTTCCCCTAGCCCCTAACATGCCTGCCCGTGTGCAGTCGGAGCCCTTTCCTTCACATGTACATAGCGACGTACCCGCTGGAGGACGATGGAGGTAATCAGCAGCATCGTCAGGATCCGGCCGTACGGCAATGCAGCCGGTGGGACGCCACTCAGCAACTCCAGAACCAAGCCAGCCATGCTTAGGGGCACCACCAGCGGCTGCAGCCTAGACGTTGCGCTGCGCGCCTGCCGTCCGCCGCTGGGGACATGTAGACCGCAGGCGTGAACGCTTGTGCACTTCTGAACTTGCGAGGACTGGGATGTAGCCGTACGCTGTTTGCTCTCGCGGACAAGAAGCGCTATCGACGCTATGTGTGCAGACAGTCCCAACAACGTCCCCGTAACACAAAAGAACGAGCCCAGCCTCGTCAGGCATAGTGTATCTGCGCAAGTTCAGGGCACCGTCTTATAAACTAAAGGAAAAGCATTAGCATGAGTATGTAAAATTACATACCCGCGTGCGAGACGAATGCCTCAAAGCGAAGGACAAGGAGCCCGAGGTAAATTAACCTGTGTGAAGAGAAAAATAGTCACATCACCCTGAAAAGGAATCAAGGCACGCAGCAGCCCATTACCGTGAAACCGCAAGGCTTTGGTAGCAGTCCTTCGTGCTTCGCCTCGAGCCATTTACCGACGAGTCCATACGCCGCATTGGTCAACACATACCTAACTACAGAGTCCTGCTATCCTCCTAGCAGATATAAACTGTTGCAGAGCATTCCTTTGTTATAGGCAACGGCTGAAATGCAAAGTAGCAGGGTGTGTTCCCTCGGTTGGTTGCATCATAGGGACGTAAAGCTGCAATGCCGACTGCACCACAACGTGGTAATTTCACAAACCGACAAGCACGATGTTGGCTAGCCATGCTTTGCGCGTGCCACCGGTATTGTAACCTGTACTGCTCCGTATGGACACTTTACCCGCCGCACTACATAGTGCCTCTTCAAGTTCATTGTTTGCACAGACCTCCAGCCCAAGCAAAACTAGTCCGATGAAAGACGCTGGCCCGTCGTGACAAGTTCATCGTGCTTACGGCATACAGCGGCTAACCACGGTTTTTAAGGACATTCAGGTTTAACACAGTACTGTCAAGCATAATAAACCATTAGCTATGTCCCTAGGACGCTGGGAGCGGCCATCCATTCCTATTACCGTACTGTACCTTATCGAATGCAGTACCGATTTGCACATGGCCACCGTCGGCCCCCGTGCCCGCAATCACAACTGGCATGGGCAGTTAGTAATGCGCTTGGACAGTTAGTAGCTACATGTAATGAAGTTATCCAGCGTTGCTGTATGAGCTTGGCAATAAGGCATCGGCGTCGATTCGGCCCTTGTACTGCTCATTGATTGTTGCACAGATCCAATACACTAGTAGCATAGCTTTCGGCAATACGTTGCCCTACTCTGGCCTTCCCACATCGTCAGACCCCCAATAGCAAGACTCTGCGCCGCTCCCTCGTTATAAGAGGTACTCTGCATCGGCTAATTTGTTCGGCTCCGAATGCATCTTGTGGCGTGTGGGGGAAGGGGCCCCTTCCCCCATCCCCCTGCTCTCTGGGAGTACATACGCGTGGGCATCCAAATGATTTCCCAGCCAAACCCAACTTTCGTTGTTTCGCCTCGTGTTTTTAAACGCCCTAGCATCCGGCCTGGCTCTTAAGAGTCCTCTGATTGCCGCAGATGCATAGCCTGCTAGCTACCTGACTGTTCTTGCCACGTCATGCCCATGTTAAGAGGCATATGGCTACCGGTAGAAGAAGAGCTGTTTATGGGGCCGCATGTTGAACACAATGCATTGAACTCACCGGATTGCTAGCTCACCCTTCAGAGTCGCCCCCCTAACGTCAGTAACGTCAACACAAGGTCAGCGCACATGTCAATAAGTGGTGTACGCCGCCAGCCACAAACACAGCTGAGCAACCCGTCCTGGCAGGGCCATCCGCCCCCACCCGGATGTCACCAACACCCTCCTCAACCCGAACCTCAACAACCCCAACCTGCCCACCGGCTGTAGGCCACTCTCACAACAACCCCCTCACCGCCAACCACTGCCTCCTCCTCCTCCTCCTCCTAATCATCCTCATCCTCGTCTCCAAACAAGTCCCGGTGCAGGTTCTGCTGGTGCACGTCCCCCTCACCGCCACCACCTCCCACCCGCGCCCCGCCCTCCTCCTCCTCGTCCTCCTCCTCAAACGCCGCCGCCCCCCGCCGTCCTCGCCTGCCGTACGCCCCCACGTGTCCGTTGGCGTCCTGCAGCTCCTCATCCTCCACCCCGGCGCCCGCACCCGCCTGCGGGCACAGGACGAGGTACGACAAGACGGGCAAGGTACGACACATAGGTAGTTAGTGGCGGGTTCAGGATAACTCTCTTTACGGTGCCAGTATTGAGACTTTGTGAGTTGGCCCCATGTTGCAATCTAGGGGCACGTGATCCCCATCGTGTCCCAACCCGCCCCACCCACCCCCCCAGCAGCGCTCACCGCCTCCACGTCCTCCAGCCCGGCAGCCGCCGCGTCATCCTCCTCCCCGCCCGCGCCCGCCCCGGCTCGCAGCCGCTGGCGCCGGCGCTTGGTGGTGCGGCCGCCTGCCCCGCCCTCTCCGTCGCTGCCCGCCCCCCCTGCCGCCAGCCCCGCACCCTCCTCATCCGGGTCCTCACTGCCCAGGCCGCCACCGCGCTGTGGAGCGAGGGGGAGGAGAGGAGCAGAGGGGGAAGGGGGCGGGTTAGGGCTCTCAGCAGCCACGGTACGGAATACCGGTAGTGGAACCGGTAAGCATCTAATGCAAACGTGCACGGCCCAACCCTCCCAGTCGCCTCTCCTTACTTGTGCCACCCGGTTCAAGATTGCCCCGCCCGCCCTCACCCTGTCCTCCTCGTACTCGGGCTCCTCCTCCTCGCTGCCGCCCACCACCGCCTCCTCCTCGTCGTCGCCGAACGAGTCGCCGCGACCGCCCTTGCCGCCGCCGCCGCTGCGGCCGCCCTTCTCCCCTGCGGACCATGGATGGCGCAAACAGGCCGATCAGCGAGGCTGAGAGGGGATTCCAGACATAAAACGAAGCACCGGCCGCTTGTGGCAGCAGCGCATGATAGCACCCGGCACCCCCCGGCAGCACACGACACACACACACACCCGCTTCTTGCCGGGGGTCGGGATGTCTCTCACACCCACCCACCACTGCACCCACCCTCACCTTTGCGCTTCTTCCCTGCGCCCGCCTCCCCTCTGCGGCGCTTGCGGCCTCCCTCGCCCCCCGCGCCGCCCTCCGCCTCCGCCTCCAGCTCCGCCCGGTGCCGCCACTCCGCCTTGCGGGCCTCCAGCCTGCAGGGGGGAGGGGGGAGGGAGGAAGGAGCGGGTGAGGGCTTCGTGTAAGGAGGGCAGGGGACGAGATTAAGGGTGCTAAGGTTTCAGCAACCCATAGCTACAAGACAACCCCCACCCCCCGCCAGGACCCCGGTACCCTAGCAGGCGCTGCCACCCTAACACCCCCAGCCCCACCCACTTTTCCTGCGCCGCCCTCGCCAGCGCGTCCCTCCTCCGCTTCTCCTCCTCCACCGCCGCCTGCTTGCGCAGCTCCTCCGCCTGCCGCTCCGCCTCCGCCGCCTCGCGCATCTTGACCTGCTCGTGCCGCCGCAGCCGCGCCTCGTAGTCCTCCTTCACGGCGGCGTCAAGCAGGTCGGGGGTCTGCGGGGGGGAGGGGAAGGGGGAGTGGGGAGGAGAATACCCAACGTGTTGAATGGGCACGCGTTAATTTGTGGGAGGGGGATTAGGTAAACTGTGCCGCGGGGAGAAGGGGGGGGGCAATCAGCATGTGGGGTGGGGGCGGGGACGTGCGAGTTGTGCCTTCCTTCCTGGATGAGGGAAGGACAGGGGAACCGCGGGACGCGGTGCGCCACTATGCCGACACTGCCCGAGGTCAGAAGGTGGGCGCCAGGAGGGAGCACGTCCCCAAGTTCCCGCATCTCACACCCTGCTCCTCCATGCGGACAAAGAGCCCCTCGCCCGGGGTCCTGCCTGCCCTCTCCCTCCCGGTCCCCCTCTCCTTTACCTATATAGTTCGCCACCACCCACCTTTTGCAGCTGCGCATGGCAGAAGTTGACGTGCGCATTGAGCTTCACGTCGTCCAGCCCGCTGCGCTCGCGACCCAACACCTTGAGGTGCTCGTAGTGGCGGTGCGCCTGGGGAGGAGAGAGGGGTGTGGGTGAAGTAGGAGGGGGAGGGGGGGGGACCATGCGTTGAATGATAACGACATAATGGGCCTTGTCACACGGTTAGCTGCATCCTTCCTCTTTAACCCCCCCCCCACACACACCAAGCCACCCTCGCATCATCCCCCAGCACTGCCACCTGCGCCACCCAGCTCAAGCCCCTCTATCTCCTTCCGGGAGTCGTGGCATCTTGCCAGACCCTGCCGCTCCTACCCCCGCTGTCTTGCCCCAACCTGTGGTTTCCTATGGTTTGGTATGGTGTTTGATCCCAGTGTTTCCGCGGCTCAGTTTATCTACCCCCCCCCCACACACACACCTCCTTGAGCAGCAGCTCCGCCCGCTGCAGGTCCGCCAGCTTGGAGGGGTCCCCCGGCGGCCGCTCCCGCCTGAAGGCGCGCACCGCCCACTCCTGCAGCGTGAGTGCGAAGTTGAATCGCAGCTTGTAGTCGGTGGGCGCCAGGTGGATGGCGCGCTTGAGGCACACCTGCGCCTCGCCCAGCTTGTTGCTGTCGTACAGGGCGCGGGCGAGGTAGAGCAGCACCTGGGGGGGGGAAGGGGGGGAGGGGTGAAGAGGAAGAAACTAAGCGGGTGGGAAGGAGGGTTAATAGGGATGAAGATTCCGCATAAGGCTGGATTGTGGGAAGGAGGGTGGGGAGCTCACGGCGCTCACACCCTCATGTGCACCCTCAACACCACCACCCACTTGGAAAGCGCCGCACCAGGTTCGCGGAACGACTCCGCGGATAAAGACGGTGCAATCCGACCATATCAGAGCACAGAAAACCCCCATAACACCCCGCCCCCCGCCTCCCCCTGGTGAAGCCTCGTCATACAGCTCGTCCGTTTCCTAATCTTACCTTCCTATCCTTACCCCGCCTCCCCCGCTCCATAGTTGGTAAGTTCGGTAAGTTTAGCTCGCAACGCTTCAGTCACCAGTTCGGCTCGACTCACGGATCTTCCATCAGCGCTTGTCAGCTGGTTTACCACTATCACACACCACACTTGGAATTTCTTTATCCCGCCCCCTCCCTCCCCTCCCCTTCCAGGCTCACCTGCGGGTGGTGTTTGTGCTCCAGCTTGTCCAGTGCGGTGCGGTAGAGGTGCACCGCGTCCGGGTAGTCGCCTCGCGCCAGGTGCACGTTGGCCAGATTGATGAGCACGTCGGGGATGGTGAGGAAGCCGGAGGAGAGCGCCATGGAGGCGTACACCTCGGAGAAGATGGACTGGGGGGGTGGGTGGGAAGGGGGAAGGGGGGTGGGTGGGAGGGGGGAAGGGGGGTGGGTGGGAGGGGGGAGTATAGGGTTAGTAGCCACAATGGCCACAATGAGGGGAGGTGGGGAGGAGGGGCTGGAGTAACAAAGAAAGGAGACACCCGAACCCCCGGAACCACCGTGAGGCCCCAGCCACGACCGTCTACCCCTCCCCCTCCTCCTAGAGTGCGCCTAGAGTCCGCGAGTCCGCTAATGCGCTCAACACCTGAGTCACCTTTCTCCCCTCCTCCTCCCCCGCCCCCCACCTGCGCCGCATCCAGGTATCCCAGCTCCGCCAGTGCGGCTCCGCAGCCGTTGGCGGCCCACACGTTGCGCGGGTCGGCATCCAGCACGGAGCGGTACTCGTCCAGGGCCTGCGGACAGGGGGAGGGGTTAAGGAGTGAGAGAAGGACATGGGTGGGGAGGTGGCTGACTGGGGGTAACGCGGAGGGGTCGAAGGGGTCTGCACTCTGGAGGGGACGCCGTGCCAACACAACCGTGCCATCAATGTTTTTACCTTCCCCTCTACCTCTTACCTCCCAATCCCCCCCCTACCTTGCTGAACCTCGCCTCCGCCTTGCGAGTCGCCTCCTCGCGCCGGTCCTTGGGCGCCGTGTAGAGGTAGGTGTTGGCGTACCCGATGCGGCCGTACACGTCGCGCTTGCTGCTGCTGTCCTGGATGAGCTGGATCAGGGTCTGGGGGGGGGGGCAGGGGGCCGGGGGCAGGGGGGGAAGGGGAGGGGTCAAGGCTTTAAGGATTGGTAAGTGACAGAGCAATGAGCTGAAACTACTAGAAACATAAAGGAGGGTGAAGGTGCAAGAGCGGGGAGTGAGGAGGACAAGCAGGTAAGACCATGTTTCCATGTGACAGGGCCTGCCTGCTAACCTCACCACCTCCCAACGCCCCAGCTCACCCACACACCCCGCCGCCTTCCCGCTGCAGTCCTTGGCCCCCCCGCTTGCATTCGCAACCCTGTCATGTGGGTCAGCTCCCTCCCTGCTCCCTCCGTTCCCACTCCTCCCTTACACCCCCCCGCCCCCCTCACCCTGCCCGCCGCCTCGTAGTCCCTCCGTTCCATGTGCAGCTGACTCAGCAGCGCCAGCGCGTCAGCATGGCCGCCCTCCACGTCGAGAGCGGACTGGGGAGGAGGATGGGGAGGGATGGGGGGGGGGTATTTAATAGGAGATTACTGTATTGTTAGCTGTCCAGAGCAGGCAGTCCAGGCTAGCCAACCAACCGAATAGGACGCCCGGGAGGGGTAGGGAAAGGAGGCAACGGGTGTAGGGAGGAGGAGGGCCGGGAGATGGCGGCATGGGGGGGGGGGGTATGAAGAGAGGCTGCGACCATGCAAACACCGCTACTGTTTGTGCTGCTTTCGGCATGGAAGGAGGCATGATAGGGCAGCAGGTCAAGCCTCAGCTCCTGCCGCCCTGCCATCAAGCCACTCATCACCCCCACAGCCCATGCAGCGCTCCCCCCCTGCCGCCCCACCTGTGCGAACTGCAGCGCCTCCTTGTGGTTCCCCTTGGCCCGGGCCATGCAGGCCAGGCGCAGGTGGCAGTCGATGTAGGTGGGGTGCTCGGACAGCACGTCCTGGGGGCGGGAAGAGAAATTCCAATGTGTGTTGTGATAATGATACAACACAGAGGGTGGGGCAGGGGTGGGTGGAGGTAAAGAGGGGATGGGGTAGGGTTAGCACAGCCAGCCACACAGCCGCGCTGTTGCAAGCCTATTGTGTTGGAAGGTCCAGAGCGGGTGTTCAGGGCAGCCACAGGGCGGCAAGACAGGACCCCAAGCATGCACGCACACCACCCCCACCTCCCTCCTGCCCCTCCCTCTCCTCCCCCCCTCAATCCCCACCTTGTACACCTGCGCCGCCTGCTTGAACTCCCCACTCGCCTCCAGCAGGCGCCCCCGGTTGAAGGTGAGGGTGGCGCGGTGCATGCGGCTGGCCACCCCGCCCTCCTCCTCGCCGCGGTCCATGGCCGCCACCGCCCGCTGCAGCAGCGACATGGCGGCAGCCACCTCACCCGCCCTGGGGGGAGGGAGGGAGGGAGGGATAGGGGGGTGAGGGGGGAAGGGAGTTCACGAAGGAGCCGGTGTTGAGCAGGCCGACGCAGCGCGAAGACCGCTAATACGCTTGACACCGCCGCGACGAGCCAGACGACGAATAGCGGGCTTGGTAATGCCCTAAATGTTGTCGCGATACCGTTTTGCGTTTTGTCAATTGGGGCTGAGCAGGTTTTTGGCCTCCAAGAGAGAGAGGGAGGTACCGGTAGGTAGCCCTCCCGCACATGCCCCTGCACACCCCCCGACCCGTGGGTCCCCAGCTCGCCTCCCCTCCTCCCGCACCTGTAGTGCAGCACGGCCGCGTTGTTGAGCAGGCGGGCGGGCACCACATGGTCGGGCAGGGGGGCCTCGGCCTCCTCTGTGCATGGGGGGGTGGGGGTGGGGGTGGAGCGGGAGGTTAATAGGCATGGGATTCCGCATGAAGCTGGATGGTTGGGTAAGCATATAATTGTTTGTAGTTGTTAGATAGTAAGAGGGAGAGGGGAGGACGTGAGGCGCGTGAGACACGAGGCGGGCAGGGAGAAGCACACATGCTGGGGGGAGGACTAGCCAGTTGGCAGCTAGCTGGAGGGTCACTCCTGGCGGCCGCCCACATGCATGCAATACTTTGGGCGCAGCGAACAAGAACTGGGAATGCGCGGTGCGGGAGGAGGAGGAGCCTACCCATGGAGGGAGACCCCCTGCCCTCCGCCCTGTACCCCATCCCACCACGCCATGCACACCCCTCCCCGCTCACCCTCCTCCAGCTCCTCCTCCTCCAGCTCCCTCCCCTCCTCCTCCTCCTCGTCATCATCCGACCCAAACAGGTTATCCATGTCATCCTCCTCCTCGCCCGCCTCCCGCCGCCGCTGCTTGGCTGCGCGCTTCGCCTCCTGCCGCGCCACCCGCTCCTCCTCCTGCGTCGTCCGCCGCCCCTGTCGCTCCCTCCGCCTCGCCTCCGCCGCCTCCCTGCGCGCTGCCGCCGCCGCCTCCCGCGCCGCCCGCTGCTTGAGCACCTCGGCCTGCTTGGCGGCGTGGGCCTCCAGCGCCCGCTTGTAGGCAGCAAGGGAGCCTAGGAGGGGAGTAGGGGGAAGGGGAGCAGGGTCCGGGAGTTCAGTGGGAGCGGGTAGAGGCAGGCTGCAACATGGGCCCACGTAACCCACGTCCTCACCCTCCCTGCCAAGACAGGTACCACCACCACCACCACCACCACCACCCACACCCCTATCCCCCCAACCATCTCGCACCCCCCTCCCCCTCCCGCGCCCCACCCTCCCCACCCGCCGGGTCGGTGGGCGCCAGCAGCTCCCCCAGCATCTCCCACATCTCCGTGTCGCCCGGCTGCTTGGCGGTCGCCTCCTTCAGCAGCGACACGGTGGCGGCCAGGCGGCCAGCGGGGGCGCCGCTGGGGGGGGCGGAGGGGCCGTCGCGGGCGGCAGGGGCGCCGTCGCGGTGCAGCGCGGGCAGCAGCTGGCCCAGGATCTGGGGGAGGCGAGGGAAGGAGGGGAGGAAGGGGAGAGGGGAAGGGGAGACGGATGAGGAGGAGGGGGCCCAAACGCCATGCACCGCTGCCTGCCTAATCCCTCATTAGCCTTTAATGACACTACTCCTCCTATGCCTCCTCCTCGTGCCTCGTAGACTCTCAGTTGGCTTCATCTCCCCTTCCCCGCTGCCACACCCGCCCCCTCCCCTCCCGCGCCCTACCCCACCGCTGCCTCCCCAAACCCCCAACCTTCCCCCCACCTTGAGCGCATCATAGAACGCCGGCGCCCCCTCCAGCGCCCCCTCCAGCTCCGTGGCCGCGTTCACCAGCTGCCCCGCCGCGCAGTACATCTGAGCCATGCCCAGACGCGGCAGCGGGGCGCGCTTGTCCAGGGCGCATGCCTGAGGAGGGGGGGGTGTGGGGGGGGGTGTTAAGATAACTGGTGTGTAGTTAAGCGGAAACAAGAGCAAGCAGTTGGGATAGTTGGTGTGTGTAGAGGGGGTCAGACGCAGGCGGATGCAGGAGGTACGGTGGAGGATTAACAGGACGAGAGCGGTGGGCTAGATGGGGTCCGTTCGGAGGATATACGACCCCCTGCCGTACCTACCCTCCGTCAATCCTTACCACGCACCCAGCACCCCCGCCCCCACCCCCACTCCCCACCTTGGCATACTCCGCCCTGGCCTCATCTAGCCGCCCCTGCGCGTGGTACGCCCGCGCCAGCAGCGACAGCGCCTCCGCCCGCGGCCCCTCCGCCGCCCCCCCCGGCAGCGCCTCCGCGCCCTCCAGCGCCGCCCTCGCCAGCTCCTCCGCGTGCTGCGGCCTGCCCTGCAGCAGGCAGTAGTGCGCCAGGTGCGCCAGCACGCCCACGTGGGTGGGCTGCAGCTGGTAGGCGGTCAGCAGGTGGCGCAGGCAGTCGGCCAGGCCCTGGTTGGGGAACGGGGGGGCCCCAGGGAGGAAGGGTGGAAGGGTCTGTAGGTTCAGGTAGCTGGAGATGCGGAGGAAAGAAGGTGCAAGGGCTTATCCACGGTAGGTGGAGCGGCAGCACCCATGTACTTCTCCTCCTAGGTTCCTCACTCACTCATCCTTCTTCACCCCCCTCCTGCCTCCCCCCCACCTGCTGCACATTCGCGTCCGACGCCGCCAGCAGCGCCAGCCCCAGGTACGCGTCCGCGCAGTCGGGGTCCAGCGCCAGCACGCGGCGGTAGGCGGCCCGCGCAGTGGGCAGCTCGCCCAGCCGCAGGCAGCAGGCCCCGATGCCCAGCCGCACCTCCGCGGGGCAGCGGGCGCCGGGGAACTCACGCAGCGCGGCGCGGTAGCTGGAGGGTGGGAGGCGGGAACATTACATGGAAAGTGGTGAAAGTGGAGTCCCAAGCCCATACCATGACTCATGCTGGTCATGCATTTGAGAGCATACGAAGGAGGTGGGAAGGGGTTGGAGGAGGAGGAGGGTGTGAGGAAAGCGGGAGGGAACGCGGCTTGGAGCGTGGATTGCAGTTGGCGGCGTCATGCTGTGTGACGGCTTTAGATGGCCCCGATCGGCGGTGTTCCTCATCGCCTACTCTTGATTGCCCTCCTTACATTTTGATTGCCCTCCAAGCCCCGCATCCACCACTCCGCAGGCCCCGCAGCACCTCACCCAGTGCCTCCGCAGCCTTGTCCCGACCTGCCCCCTCCTTGCCCTGTACCGGTATATCCCCCCCCCTCCCCACATGGATTGGGACTTAGTTGTTTGCATTTCTTATATAATTTCCCCTCCCCACACCACACACCCTACCCCCCCCTCCCCGCACTCACTAGGACAGCGCCTCCTTGTACTGCTGCTGCTGGTAGGCCAGCCCCGCCACCGCCAGGTAGCCCACCACGTTGGGCCGCCCGTTGTTGCGGCAGGTGGAGGCGCGCTTGAAGTCGCGGGAGGCGCTCTGCAGGTCGCCCTGGACAGCGCAGCAAGAGGGGAGAGAAGGTGGAGGAGAGGACAGAGCAATGGTGATGTGGCACGGGGTTGAACCCTGGGTAGCTCCGAAAGATGGGTGCCCTGGCCCGCCAGCGTACCCTTGCCATGCTGTGGAGACCGCTAGTTAGGTGAACAAGTTGCTCGTTTTGGTCCAGCGTGCCGGCTTGCGTGATGAGCTTCCTCGCCTCTGACAGCAACCGTGCTTTGCTGTCCGGGGTTTTCTCATCGCGCGCCTGAGCAATGAATATAGCCGCCCGAGCTGTGAAGAATTGGATGCGCTCATAATTGGGCTTCTGTCCGAAGTAGCGTTCAACCTCAATTGCCGTCTCCTCGCTGGTAGCTGTCTCATAAATATGATCAAAGCAATCTATTTTACCCTGCTGAAGATACGCTCTTGCACAATCAAACCAAGTGCTTAATGGGGCCGCCTCAGATACAAGAAGATCGAGCAGCTCCTCAGAGTTTTCCGGTAACTGGGCTAAGTCAATCGCAACAACTTCATTGGAATCCACTACTGGTACATAAATGCGGTCCGACATCGTGGCCAGGTTGGCCAGGCGGCCCCGAGGGCCGCCTAGTTGTTTTGGTCAAGCACTGTCACGCCGAAGTTCCCTACAACGGTCAGTAACGCTGATAAGCCTTTCTGCTTCCTCTACAAACGTTCAGGCATATACCTATTCTTGCGACTCTTTCCTAACTGTCATGCCTGCGAAGTACATGTACGGCACATACAACCTTGAAGTTGGGCACCGATTGACCTGCGACGCACATGCCCGGAACAGGCCGCGTTCTGAGGTACTAACGCGCAGGGCCTGCTACCTATACTGGGGGAAAGGAAGAAAGAATACCACGTTGCCTACACTTGGCGGCGGGGGATCCGTGGTACAGGAACAATGGGGAAAACCTCGACCAGTCACCCTTCCTTCCATCGCAGCCTCCTTATGCCGCATCTTTACCCGTGCTGCCACGCTAACCTTGCCTCCACAAATGCCGCCATAGGCGGCAAGCCACTACCTGAAATGCAAGAGCCGTAAATAAAGCCCAACCGCTCAGCATGCCTAGCAAGCACCCGGCGATTATTCATGCATGGGCTGGGCAGTCCCACCGATTACGGGAACTCAAATCGCGCGCTAAGCCGCCAACCACAGCCCCTTGCCGCCCACGTCCAGCAGCGACAGTACAGCCAGCAGCACGCACGCTGCGAGGGCCGATCAACCCCCCCTTGCCTCCACCTCGTCCGTCCGTCCGTCCGTGTTGTTGCCCTCCTCCGCCTGCCCCCAAAGGTCAACCGTCAGGTCCGCGCACAGCGCACTCGCACCTCGCTGCCTAGCTCGCATCGGTACTCCCACGCACTGCTGCCCTTGCGCCCTGCCCCAACCTTCCATTCCTCCCATTGCAATCCCCTACTCCCGAGAAAGAAACCAGCAGCCCATCTGAGCCCATCACGCATTCCCGGCCGCCACCTGCGCATCACACATACCGGTAGCCTCCATCCACCCCCCCATTTCAACACGTTCAACGCATTGGGTACTCTCCTTCTGTACCCCCCCCCTATGGGTATCATTATCACACCACACTTTGGAATTTCTTTTTTTCCCCCTATGGTCTTTGATCCCCCTCAGTGCATGAATCGGGCCACAGGACTGGGACACGCCAGTGCTTCGTATGATCATACCCTCCTCTGTACCCCTCAGTGCGCATGCCCATGCCCATGCGCCTCCCCCTCCCCACCCCCATGCCCATGTCCCAGCCAGTAATCCAGCACATACAGGTTGCCCGACATCACCGCCATGCCCACAAACAGCGCCGCCACCGCCGCCTGCCGCCCCGCGTGCTCCGAAGCCAGCGGCATCAGCTCACTCAGCGCCAGCCACGCCATGATGCCGCCCACCGCAGCCAACAGCTTCTCCACCAGCTGCCGGTCCAAGTGACCCATGGGACAGCACAGCGCCAGAACCACCACCGCCAGCGGCTCCGCTAGCCCCGACACAGCGGCGTACAGGAAACCGCGCCAGCGACTGCCCGTTGCGAAGTAGACGGGCAGCGCGACGGCGACGCCCTCGGGTACGTTATGTAGGGCGATGGCGAAGGCCAGGGAGGCGCCCACTGCATTAGATTTCATGGAGGCCAGGAACACGGCCACCCCCTCGGGGAAGTTGTGCAGCGCGATGCCGATTGCGGTGATGAGGCCGGAGAGCAGCACGCGGCGCTTGGCCTCGCGTCGGGAGGTGAGGGCGGCGGAGGTGGAGGAGGGGGTGGTGTTGGGGGAGGGGGTGGTGAGGGCGGGGGAGGAGGCGGGCGGGGCGTCCGAGGTGTCGGTGTCGGACTTGCCAGGGCTGGGGAAGGGGGGGGCCGACGGGAGGGAGGGGATGCGGAGGACTTGCAACCAGGACAGAGCAGTGTTGGGTGGAGTGTGGGTTCAAGGAGGCATGCGGCCAAGAGCACCCGGCCAGGCGCCTCAGCAGCTCTGCCAGGTGGCTTCCCAGCAGCTAGCGAGGGGACCCGTGCTCTGGTAGCCCTCCCCCTTACCTGCTCGCGGCTCAACACCATCCCTTCCCAGCAGCAGCTGCATTTCCAATGCCCCCCCCTCTCCCCATGCATCCCTTCCATGCCGCAACCCACGCCACCCACCGCTTGACCGCCTTCTTCCCCGGCGACCGCACCGCCCCCTCCTGCTTCTTAGCCGCCGCTGCCGCATCCGCTGCTGGCCCCGCCGCCGCTCCTCCCTTGCCCCCCTTGCTCCCCTTGCCCCCCTGCTCCCCGCCGCTGCCGCCCTCGTCACCCGCCTCATCCAGCACCAGCCCCTCGGAGGAGGGCTCGGGAATGAAGTGTACGACAGCCGCGAAGAACGCCACGCCAGCGAAGAACCAGCAGTTGGCGGCTCCGAAACCTACCTCCTCCACGGCGGCGGGCATGAGGTCCAACATGGAGATGCACAGCATGAGGCCCGCGGCAAGGCCCTGCCCAGGGGAGAGGGTGAGGGAGGTTCGGTAGCGGAGGGTTAGGGGCCCGAGGCGGAAGAAATGGCGAGGAAAATGGGCGAGAGAGAGAGAGGAGGCAACGCCTGCCCGTGATGGGTTATTTAAGAGGGTTGCGAGGAGTAGGGAGCCCGGGTGTAAGGGTTCTGGCGTTGGGTGTGCCTGTGGGATTGGAGTTGACCTTGCAATGTGATGGGTTTAAGCAGCTGTGGACAATCCTGCCCAAAAGCAGACCCGACCAGGACCTCGACGGTTACAGGCCGTTGACCATTTCCCGTGATCACCGAAAGAGCCAGAAACTTGCTTTCACAACATGTTTTCCTTATCGATGCTTTTGGGTTCATAAAGTCTGCTGTGCCGCTTCGCCTGGTTGTCGACATGTGCGCGCCCGACATGACTCGACAGCGCGCTTGGCGGAAGACTTCTAAAAGCCCACCAAACAATGTAGTTTCTCCGATATGTCTAACAAATTTACCTGTAATAACCCAAGTCGCTTAAATTGCATCTTTGGCTGCGCGACGACCATTAGCCCGCCCAGTGCGGTTCCCGCTGCTCCAAGCCCCGTAAGGAGCAGGGCGCGCATAACGCGCTCGTCTATCATTGTTGTAATGTAGTGTCAAGGAGTTTGCCAAAAATGGCGTGCCCCAGTGGGGCCCTGCTGCCTGTTGAAGTCCCGCCCGTCAATAGTCTTCCGTCTCGTTATACTCCATACATCGAAGGTAGTTTAAGAGGAACGCACATCACCATTTCCAGTAAAGGGTTTCTAACTTACGTTTGGCTTTTCCTCTGCTCCGTAACCGAACTGTCATTCAACCGCACTGGTTGCGTGGATGCATTACGCGCTGCTTCAGTCCTTGCGATAACACATGATCTGGCAACACCTGTTATAAGGCCGGCCCAAGATGGGTCTTCGGCTGAAGGATGCATGAGTGCAGCCACGTGGTCCCAACCGGCCGCGCAACTTCCTCTGTGGCAATTGGGTTATGGTCCTAGCCATGGTGGGGATGGCCAGGCCTCCGCATACGGTGTCTTACCCGATAAATACGTCCGTCGACAAGGCATCGGCCTCGTGGCAAAGGTACTTGCATCCATCCAGGGTGCCTCACCACACGTCCTATCCTCCGGCAGCCCTGCCAAAGCACTCCTCGGCACCGCAGCCCTGCCAGCTGTAACCTGCCCTCTTCTCACGCCACCAAAGCGCCCCACAGCAGCCCCCAGCCAGTACACCTTCCTGCGCCAGGACACAGCAGAAGACTTCACCTACAGGGACCCGCAGCTCCAAGCAGCATTGTGCTCCATACCGGTACGGATACAGGTTGCCATGCGCCATCGTACGACAGAATTCCCGCTTGCGCAACATGCTACATGCCACATCCCTCAACCGCACGCACCCTCAACCGCACGCAAAGGGGGCTGTCACCGCACGGACAGTCCTCCATTCGTCCTCTGTCGGACGATGTACCGGACCGGTACGCATCGCTGCCTCAAACACGTTAGGATTCCGCACCGCTGCGCGCACCGGCACTCCTACAGGACTCCTAAACCTGCGCTCGCCCAACCTCCATGCACCCTCTATCTACACCCCGGCGCCAAACCCAAACACCACTCGCCACGTCAAACCAGCCCGAGGCGCTGCAGCCTGCAGGCACCACCGGGCGGGCAGGAGTGCAGCAGGACGCCCGTGTGTAGCCCGAATGCGCCCCTGCGAGCGGCAAAGCCAGCCACCGCATGCGTCCACCCTGCCGCCCCCAACGCTGCTCCCCTACGCCCTGCCTGGCGTGCGTGGGTGACATCGCCGGCCTTGGTTCGAGCGACATGCAGCTGATGTCGTCGCACACCCGAGGGCTTAGGCCTCCGTCCGCCAAGGCCCGTCCAGCTTGGTCGCAGCCTCCTCCAGACTCGCGGGCAGGCCGGCTGGCAGGGGGTTGAAACATGGGAGGGAACCGAGTTGGTGGCAGGGGTGAGCCGGAAGGTTGGGCATATACTGCATGCTCTCGCACTACCCACGTGCCTCCTACTGTCCACCCCTTGCCAGGCCGCTCTTCCGCTTCTATCACCCCGAGTGCTCCGAAACCCATTATCTCACCCGCCTCCTGCGCCTCCCTGCTTGCCGCGAGGTGCCTCAGCGCGGACCGCACCACCAGCTTGTGGTCGAAGGCAAGCGGCGGCAGCGAGCCAACCGGGAACCACCGGGCGTCCTTGGCGTCGTCCTGGAGGGGGTGGGGGACGGGGGGTAAGGGGAGGGCAAGATAGGTGGGAAGGCAAAGCTGGGCATGAAGCCAGGCATCCCTCAGGCCGGCGCCCCTCCATTACGAAAGCGCATCCCCTTCTCCCGCTCCTTCCCCAGCTCTCACCGCCGCCTTCACTCCCAGCTGCGTGGACGGCACCAGCGCCGCATACGCCACCGTGACCGTCCAGCCGCGCGGGTCGCGCCCCGGGTCCCCGAACGCGCCGACCTGCGTGAGCGCCACCTGGGCCGGGTCCACCGAGGTCTCCTCCTGCAGCTCGCGACCCGCGGCGGAGTCAAGCGACTCGCCCTCGTCCACAAAGCCGCCGGGCAGGGCCCAGCAATCCTGGGCGGAGCAGGACGGGGGCGGGCGGGAGGAGGAAGCTGGTGGCGCCGAAAGACACATGAAAGGAGGGTCCCTAAATGTCGGTGGGTAGTTGCTTGCACTCATCCTAATGCCAATGCCAACGTGCAATGCACAGTTGCTTCGCGGTATCCAACACACCTTAAAGGGCGGGAACTTGCGCTTGATGAGCAGAAGCTGCGCTGGCTGGTCCTCAGTAGGCCGCGCAACAATGATCGTATCAACCGTAAGTGCTGGTCGCGGGTACCTGGCACATGGCAATCGCACCCCAGGAACGTGCTCTAAGTTTGCAGCTTGATTACATTCCGGTATCTGTGTCGTGTCTGGTGGTGTTCGGGGCTTCCATCGTGAAGGCTTCCCCGAATGCAGGGATGCCGGAGTGAAAAGGCAACATATAGGGTATCTGCTGTTCCTGTTACAACGTGAACTTACTGATAAGTGTGTCCTTTAGGAGCAGGGTCCTCCTTAGGCTTTGCAGTGCAAGCTGTCTGGCATTGCCGGCAACGCATGGAAATTAGCGCGCCCAAGATCGCACCGATGCCGGAAGCAACTAATCCTCCCAATAGCTTCATAGCGATAAAATCGTTTGGCCGTAACGGCGGAGGTTGACGGACTATGTGAAGTAACTACGCAGCTAGGTATCACCTGGTAACACCAGAATTTCTAAATATGCACATGTAAGATGTACAGAGCAGAAAGAAAGTGCGAGGTTGTTTGTATCCGTTATAGTAACCCGCGTACGGCGTGGCGTACCTGCAGTGATCACCTGCCTCCAACGAACGCTTAGTTCATTTTTCATCAGGCGAAGCAAAGGATGCAAGTAGGCAACACCCGGCTGGGACGGAGGCGTAAGCTTACTTGCGAAGTACATACCCAGGTGTGGGGCTTGAGGGGGTAAGAGGATATCGCACCAGACGCCGTACCATGACCTTTGCAGCGCACAACCGCAAACTCTTGGTAGTAGACGTGACTGGCCCGCTAAGCCTTGAATATTTGAATTCTGGAAAGTGTATTCTGTAGTGTATAAGTGTATTCTGTAGTGCTATTTCACGCACTTCATGTCCTGCCCCAGAGCAACCCGGTTGGCATTCGTAGTGGCAACGCGGAATGGAAATCCCCCGGGTGGCCTGCAGGTACCGGTATTCTTTTGCTGGTAACTGGAGCGCCCCCCACTGACATGGCCCGAGGGGGGCCTGACTGAGACCCATGGGACAGCCTGGTAGCGTGCGGCTGTTCCAAGGACTGCATTTGTCGTACGACATGCCGTCCTGCCTTGTACAACAAGAAAGCCACATCTTAGGAGCTGTCTGTGAGTGTGGTTGCTTCCGTAATGACCCACATCGCCACATGGCCCTCGCCCAAACACGATAACCGCGACACCCGCTGATGACAGGGAGGGCTGTCCATCCTATTTCGACTCCTCCGGCAGTGCGGCAGTACGGCACAAACACGCACCAGCCAATAACGCTGGGCAACAAAGCAGGAGAGAGTTGTCAAAACCGCCAAATGCACGCATATGCACATGCCTTGCGGCTGGGTGTGGCTCCGGAAGAGCGAGCCCTGCACAACACCCTGCTAACTGGAACTCGGTAAGCATTAAGTTCAAACTGGGTATGTGCCGTACATGCTAGGTACACACCACCCCCAACCACCACCAACCATATGGGTCATGGGTGGGCCATCATCGCACGTACGTCCCAGTACGTTTCAACCAGCCCTGTCATGTTTACACTGCTGTACACCGCAACTGATGCCGCCAAACCCGTGCGCCGTCTGCCCATCCTTCATGGGATTTCTTTGAAGTAGCCTTCTTGGATTTCAGCCGTGTGCTGGCCAGCGGGCGGAACAGGGTCAGGCGTACCAGCTGGCATTTAGGCGCGCAAAGGGCGCTTGTCCAAAAAGACTGGGCGGAAGGACAGAGGTAACTGACTGATACATGGTAACTGTTTACGTCGCTAGTACCGGTATTGCAAATTATACTAGTTGTGTTGGCGTACAGCACAAGGATTATTTGTAATGCCCACTCACGTCAAGTTTCCAGAGTCGAAGCAACAAGGTACAGGTGCTCAGCTTCAGGGTGCAACTACCGTAATGTTAGGTAGCCGCAGATTTGTCGGGTTCGCGCGCGCTTTGTCCATGCCGCTCCGAACCCCTTTCCAACCTCCGCAACGTGGGCCGCCGGCCCGCAGCAAACGCCCCATGGGTCTTTTTAACATAATTACATAAAGCATCCAATCCCAACCGCTCATCATTATTTGGCACGTTTTACTTTGACATTTGGTGCACGCGCGAGCAACCCTCAGGACAGTCCGAGCTGTCTGCGCGGGCTGACCCTCCCCTGGGCCCTTTCGACTGCGCTTTTCGGCTGCCATTGCGATCTCGTGGCATAGTATCACGCGGCCACAACACAGCACAGCACAGGACATGGCTACTGCGGCTGGCACAGCGTTAGAGGAAGAGCGCGCTGCGGTCGTCGACAACGCTTCTCCAAGGGGCGATAACTGTGCAGGTTATGATCGCAATCCCGGCCCTGGTGACTTGGGTAGCCAGGTTGGTGCTGAGACAGCTGAAGGACAAGGCAGGCAGGGCCGCCTGAGCGAAGCTATCGCGAGCCGCAGTGCTTCCCGCGGTAACTTTTCCACTCCACCACATCGCGAAGCAAACCAGCAGCAGCGGCTTGGGCCTGCTTATGATTACAGCATTGCAAGCATTTCAGGACAAATTGCGCCAGGAGGACCTAGCAGTCGCACCCAACCCGAGGCGGCTGCTTCCGTCTCGTTCGCAGCAGGAGCCTCCTCATCCGCCACCTCCTCCTCGCGCCTCCCGCCCGCCGCCCGTCGCGTCTGGCAGCCCCCACAACCGCGGGAAGCGGTTCAGCACGATAGCGACGTGCACGGGGCGCAAGGGCATTTGGGTCGTGAGGGTCCCGAGGCGAGCCAAAACGACCCATGGGTCGTTACCCCACCTAGCCGCCACGGCAACACCGCCGACGGTGGCACTCCTGCTGTCCATGCTGTTGCCGCTCATCTGCCGCAGCTGACACCCCAGCAATCCTCCAACCCACGGGGCTTCGGCAGCCCCTGTCCCAGCCCTCCGGCTGGCCCGGGCCTCCACAATGAGCGCACCGGCGAGCGCACCGGTGACGGCGGGGGAGGAGGCAGTGGCGACATTGCGGCGGCTGCCATTGACGCACTGCCTGCCATCGGTGATTTGAGGCGGCCTGTGGCGGCTGAGGTGGCGAATACGGAGCGTGAGCTGCAGGTGGGGAATGGGGCGGCGCCTCGGGGCGAGGTTGTGAGTGTTAGGCGGGTAGGTGAGTTGTTGTAGATACCTTGTATGGGGTGACGGCGGGAGGTGTCGGCATTTGTGCAGTTTGCTGTTATGGATTGTCCTTATTGGCGGCTATCTGCGGTGTGCTGTGGGGCTGACCGGGCTGCCCCCAACTACCCGGCTGGCAACGCTGGCAGGCCCAGGACTCCCCCCCCCCGTGCCTAGCTGCCCGCTGGTACTCCACACCGTGCCTGCTGCCTGCCTGCCTGCCTGCCTTGCTGGCATGTGCGCCCCCGGCCAGGTTGCTGAGCTGGAGCGGGCGCTGCGGGCGAAGGAGGAGCAGCGGGTCGCGGCGGTGGCGCGCGCGGAGGCGGCGGAGCGGCGGCGGGAGGAGATGCGGGAGGAGATACGGGAGGAGATGGAAGGTGGGTTCGAATGGTAGTAGTATGGGTTTAGAGCGCTTCGAGAGGTAGGGGGGATAGTACTGGGATGGGCGAGGCGGGAGGGCGGAAGAAGGGTCGCCGTCTCGCGGTTGGTGTGTTTGGTGGTGGTTCTGCCCTCCCTCCTTCCCACTCTTGCTATTGGATTCCTGCATCCTACCCCAATGGTTCAGCATGTTCTACCCATTTCCTCAGCTTCTCTGGCGGCTGAGAGGCAGCGCGCGGACGTGGCGGAGGCGGCGGCGCGGGAGGCGGAGCGGGAGGCGGTGTGGGTGGCAGCGCGGGAGGCGGTGCGGGTGGCGGTGTGGATGGCAGCGCGGGAGGAGGAGCGGGAGGCGGTGTGGATGGCAGCGCGGGAGGCGGAGCGGGTGGCAGCGCGGGAGGCGGAGCAGCGGGCGGTGCAGGTATGTGCTAGTGTGGTGCGGGTGGGAGGAGCCGGAGGAGGAGGAGGAGAAAGGATCCGGGGGCGGCGTTGGGCGCACATGGGGGCAGGCAGGGCGCAGTCGAGCAATGAACAACACACGGTGGGCGGTCGCTTATGCAGTGCGGTCAGGCGGGGGGGGGGGCGCCGCCTCGCCTCGGAGGCGCCCACAGACACGATGTGAGCAGCGGGAGCGGGCAGCGGAGGCAAGGCAGAGGGTGGCGGAGGCGGAGCAGCGGAGGCGGAGCGGCGGAGCCGGGCCGCGAGAGCATGGCATGGGGTTGGTATGGGTGTGCAGTTTGTGTCAGGGATACAGCGCTTCCTCCTCATCCGCTCACTCCAGCCCCTCGCCTACACGCGCTCCCTCCTGCTGGGGCTGCTGCTCCTTCTCTTGGCGGCGGCGGCGCGGCAGGCGGCGGCGCAGAGACAGCTGGCGGGGGCGGTGCGGGAGGCGGCGCGGGAGGCGGCGCGGGTGAGGGCAGCGTGGGAGGCCGCGCGGGAGGCGGAGCAGGAGGCGGCGCGGGAGAGGGCAGCGTTGGAGGCCGCGCGGGAGGCGGAGCAGGAGGCGGCGCGGGAGAGGGCAGCGTTGGAGGCGGCGCGGGAGGCGGTGCGGGAGGCGGAGCAGGAGGTGGAGCGGGTGAGGGCAGCGTTGGAGGCGGCACGGGAGGCGGAGCAGGAGGCGGCGCGGGAGAGGGCAGCGTTGGAGGCGGCGCGGGAGGCGGTGCGGGAGGCGGAGCGGGAGGCGGAGCAGGAGGTGGAGCGGGTGAGGGCAGCGTTGGAGGCGGCACGGGAGGCGGAGCAGGATGCGTCTTTGGAGGCGATGATGCTGGCGTTTTCAAGGCTTCTGCCCGGGGTAGGTGCCTGGCGGCTGCCAGGTGCGTTGCCTTGTGTGAGCTGTGCCATGCCGCCTCTGTTGAGTGCTGCATACCGGCATGTCGGTCTCTCTTCTACTCCGTCGCCTCCCGCACTGCGCCACCCGCTCAGGCGGCGGCGGAGATATCCCATGCACGGGCGCCCGCGGAGGCTCTGCGCGGGCGGCTGGCGGGCATGCAGGCGGACCCGACGGGGAATGCGAGGGCGGCTGGCGGCGGCGGGCAGCTGCAGCGGGGCAGCGAGGACATGAGCGGACAGGTGGAGGTGAGGCGGGGGGGGCGAGGGGGAGCGGCCAGTTTTGGAACGTACTGTGGGTGCTGGAACATGAAGTCCGCACAGAAACGCAACAGGAGCCGAGGAGTATGGTGGAGCATGAGAATTATAAATCCAGCACTGGCGCCCTGCAGGCGCGGGTAGTAAGCAGGACGTGAGAAGCACTCTCATATAACGACCATACCCGCTCCCGCAGGTGGCGGCGGTGCGAGCGGGCGCTGCGGAGTGCGCGGTGTGCCTGGAGGCGGGGCGCGACACGGTGCTGGATTGCGGTGAGGGAGGGGGCGGGCTCGCTTTGGCGTGTGGCTCCTACCCGCCGAGAGTAGGTGTGTGCGCTGTCGGGGTGTATCCTCACAACGGCGCCGCACCTCTCTCATGCCGCGCACTTAACACCCGCCCGCCACTTCGCAGCGCCGCTGCAGCATGTGCCGCACCCGTGGCAATAGGTCCTCAAGCCGCATCCCTCTGCCCGCGTCCAGTTCGGGAGCAGCTGCATGTCCGTACAGGAGCTGGCCGTACCGTGTAGCCGCGAGCTGCTCGCGCCGTACCGTGTGAAGGAATGCACGGTGTGTGTGTGTATGCATTCCTTCACACGCACTCACAGCTTTGTTCTACTCAACTACGCACTCACAGCTTTTGTACCACACCTTCCGAGCACTTGTCCCAGGCACCGCTGCAACGGTTGCCCCCTCTTCCCCTGTCACAGGCCACATCTTCTGCCGGGGCTGTGCGGAACGGCTGGTGCACTGCCCCCTGTGTCGTGCGCGGATCACCTACCGGCTCCGCGCCTTCGTGTGACGAGGGCTGCTGCCACGCCGGGCTGACAAGCAGGGCGTGCGGTTGGGGTGACCGGGGGCTGTGATTGGCGGGGGGGGGGCGGTAGGCGTGCGTGGATGGCTTGTGGAGGCTTCCTAATAACTTCCTCCTAGTGCTGCACAGCGGAAGATGTGGGGTAGGATCACGGCGGGTCAAAGACCATATTGAACCATAGGAGGCCCCGCAATGCGCGACATGTTAGTGCAGAGCAATGGGGATAGGAGGCGTCAGTGTGCCACACTACAAAGTGTTGGTTGGTATTCCCTATCGATACCGAGTCCGCGGTGGCGTTGATCGGGGGGGGAGGCAATCGTGCACGGGGTTGCAGCTCCTTGCTGCCTTTGCTTACAATGATGTAATTGAACCACTTGTGTATGCTACCCGTGCACCATAGGATGTTGTACATACATGATGTAAAGTTTTGTACATGACTTGTACCGTACAGCCAGGACAAGGACATCGTCGTCTTTTCTTCTTTCGTGTGCCGCACCGCACCAGTTCTACACAGTTGGACTGCTGCTGCATGACTTCCCTTCACATCGCCAACGTGCGCACAACCTGCATGCCCGCAACAAACCCGCCAAACAGGCGCGCATAGCTTTTGCCAGATAGCAGCCTAGCCCCTGGCAACCCACACCACTTTTGCACTGCCATGGTCATGTAGCCAGTAGAACCTGCACTGCGAAAAGGAACCCAAGGCCCTAACGCCCGGCTTGCTGCGCTGCTGCTGCAAGTCCTGGGTGCCTGGCTCCAGCCCAATTAAGGCCTCCAAGGCTAAGCTGCACACCTGGTAAGACACCTAGGCAGCACAGAATGAAACACACACCGATGCACACATGCAAGCCAATAGCGCAGCTGGGCGCATGAACGACTTCAAAAGTCGGCAGAACGACCTCCTTAAGCAGTACCTATGCCACATGAAACCCAGTTCGGGCAGCATGCAGTTCCCCCTCCCTTGTGGACGACAGGAGGGCCCTTTCCCCCCAACATTCCAGCCTTCAGCCCCATGCCGCCTGGCTCCCTGCACCACCACCCCCTGCGGTGGCCCCACTTTGCCTCCTCGCCACGTGCACGCGTGCCCCTTCCACCTCCCTGCAGCACTCGACACCCACATGCTTGCCCCATGCATCTGCGTTGACGTGCCCGTATCCACCAGATCGCAGCCTACCTAGTCCTCGGCAAACCGCGCCATTGAACACGCCGGCGGTTGTACTGCCATGTAAGGATAGGAGGAGCACTTTGAGCACTTCGGGACCCCCGGCTCAAGGCCCTACCACCGCGCCTGGCTGCGCCGCCGCCGCTGCTGTGCTGCTGCAGGTCCCGGGTGCCTCTGGCTTCAGCCCGCCACTGCCGGATGCGTCAGAACACCGTGCCGCATGCCCCGACAAGCCCTACCCCGGGGCCTACCTAGCCGCCGTGCTGCCCCTTTGTCCGGCGGGGCGGGTGGTGCTCCTCCGTCCTCCAAGGTCCGTCCAGCTTGGTCGCAGCCTCCTCCAGACTGGCGGGCAGGCCGGCTGGCAGGGGGTGAAGGGAAGGCAGGACGGTGTTGGAAAGGTGAGGATAGGAGGAAGGCGCTGGAAGGGTCAACATGAATAGCTTGTGGGAGACGCAGCCAGACAAGGGGAGTGAATGGAGGCTGTCAAGGCTAGACGCACGAAAGTGGCAGTCCATAAGCGTTTTAAAGGTAGCGGGTACTGGCCATGGGTTCCTAAGACGGGGCAGCTCGCACGTGATGATTCATCCGCCCCTTCCATGCCCAGTTGCCCACTCCCTGCCCCCCTCCCACACCCACTCCCCTCTCCCGCTTAGGGCATTCGGGTCGCTAGACTTCTTCCTTTCCGCCCAGCCACTTCCTCACCCTCCGCCTGCTGCGCCTCGCTGCTTGCCGCGAGGTGCCTCAGCGCGGACCGCACCACCAGCTTGTGGTCGAAGGCAAGCGGCGGCAGCGAGCCAACCGGGAACCACCGGGCGTCCTTGGCGTCGTCCTGGAGGGGAGAGATCGGAGGGGACGGAGACGGTGATGCGTGTGCCGCGCGATCAAGGAAAGGCTTGAAGCCAGCATGCTTCGCTTGTCTTGTACCGCCATCATCCACTTACCGCCGCCTTCACTCCCAGCTGCGTGGACGGCACCAGCGCCGCATACGCCACCGTGACCGTCCAGCCGCGCGGGTCGCGCCCCGGGTCCCCGAACGCGCCGACCTGCGTGAGCGCCACCTGGCCCGGGTCCACCGAGGTCTCCTCCTGCAGCTCGCGACCCGCGGCGGAGTCAAGCGACTCGCCCTCGTCTACGAAACCGCCGGGCAGGGCCCAGCAATCCTGGGCGGAGCAGGACGGGGGCGGGCGGGAGGAAGGAGAATGGGAAAACGCGTAGCTGGGCTGTAGGCATTAGGTCTGTATGGAGAGCTGCATTGTGCATGTGTTTTGCCCTTGCAACTGTCGCCCTCAAGGGAGGCACATACTGTTGCCCCTAACTGGTGGTTCCCTTCCAACCCTTCCAACTTGTCCAACTGCCGTTCGATATCGGGTCCGCCGCTAGCGCACCTTGAATGGTGGGTTCTTTCGTTTAATCAGCAGCAGCTGCGCTGGTGTGCCCCCGTTGGGCCTGGACACGATAACAGTGTCCACTGTAAGGGCGGGGCGCGGATATCTGCGGACCGGAGGACAAGGAGCTGTTAGCTGGCCCCCAATTCTAGCAAGACTGTGAGTGAGTGTACGAAGCATTTGGGTACCGGTACGAAAAGCGAAAATTAGCGCACGTCGATGGGACCCGAAACCAGGTGGTTTTAGAAGGAGGAGAGGCAAATGTCATCCTAACGCGCATGGCACAACGCCATCAGCTTACTGGTACGTGTACTGGCCGGCCATGCACGCTGTATTAGCAACCCGACGGTTGCAGCGGGAGCTGACCAGCGTACGGGCCCCGGCGGAAAGCATGTGGAGGAGAGCGTGAAGAAATTCCAGGATCTGTTTGCTTTAAGTATGGACCGGTTAGGTTGTAGCCGGGCACCGAGCAGAGCACTATGGTTGATAACAACAACACTTCGGCACGAATTGGGCTGTCAAGACGTAACGCTATAAGACGTTTGGAAGACCATCCAAAACAATGGAAGTTTGGCCGCGGAAGGTTGTCATCGGTCGAACAGTATGCCGTTGCCGTACCGGCAGTTCCCGCACCAGTCGCTCTGCTACAATGTCTAGTGAGTACTACAACCTCTTCCTTTTCTAAGAGCTTTTAGAGCTCAGCTGCAAGCCCTACTTTAGCTAGGGACCAGATTCACACCGAACGTGGCCTAAAGGAACAAAATGCTCGATATCAACCTATTTAGGACTGGTAGGACCTGCCTTACGTGAAACGCTGCCGTCAAACAGTTCTCTACCTAGCCGTCGATCACATGTCGGCTTGTTGCGCTTGCAGAGAAGGGCGGCGACCCTGAGGTTGTGAGGGAGTCCCAGCGGAGGCGCTTCGCAGATGTGACTCTCGTAGACAAGGTTATTGAGCTGGATTCGGAGTGGCGGCAAGGCGAGTTACATGGCGACAATTGCCGCACTTTTCACTTGGGTTCGCTTGGGCGTGTCAAAATGCCTATGTATCCTGATATTCCTCACTGCGTTTGTGCGCAGTTCGGTTCCAACTGGACCAGCTGAACAAGGATTTCAATGCTCTTAACAAGGAGATCGCCACCGTCCGCAAGGTGAGATAGTCTGAGCTTACCTCCAGCATCCCCTCCGGTCGTTCCCCTCTTGCTGTGCTCCCCTGCCATTCCCCCTTACCCTTTCCTCCTCCTGCTCCCCTTGCCTGCCAGTCCGGCGGCAACTCCGATGAGCTGCAGGAGCGCAGCAAGGAGATGAAGAAGCGCATCCAGGAGACCGAGGAGCGCGAGAAGGAGGTCATCCGCGCCCGCGACAGCAAGCTGGTCGCCATCGGCAACATCGTGCACGACAGCGTGCCCGTCAGCCAGGACGAGGTGAGTGGGCCGCCCGGGGGGAGGGAGAGGGCACGAATGGGGGACCGGGTGCAGTGGGGTTATAGACACCGAACTGGGACCGGGAATGTCTGTTGGAGTAGGTGCATCAGTCTGTATGGCACAAGTAGCAAGGCAGCACGGGGTGGTGAGCTGGTGATGTGGGTCGCCGTTTCGGGGCGGCGGGGCTGGAGGCAGGGGCTGTAAGGGGCGGGGAAACGGCGCGAAGGTGATCAGCGGAGTCCCGAGCAGGCACTCTTGGGGGCTAACTGGCATTGCCGACGCTACCTCTTCCGAAGCACGCAGCTACCAGAGAAGGAGCAGTGCAGGCGACTGCAGGCACCTCCACCCGCTCACTCCCCTTCTCACTGCTCCAACCCACTGCTCCTTTCCTTCCTCCTCCTTCCTCCCTTCCCTCGCCCTCCCTGCTGCGGGTGACCCACATGGCATCCTCGCCTCCCTCCTCTCCCCTCACCCGCTCCCTCCTTCCTTCCTCCCCTCCCACCTTCCCCTCAGACCAACAACGCGGTTGTGAAGACTTTCGGCGAGCCGCGTCCCTCCGTGGACCCCTCCAGCGGCAAGAAGCTGTACAACCACGTGGACCTGGTGCAGCTGCTGGGCATCGTCAACCTGGAGGCGGGGCAGGAGGTGGGGCCGGGGGGGGAAGGGGGTTGGGCTGGGGGTTCTGGGCAGCGGCTCCCGGGCGCTGCGTGGAATCGGATAAGGGCTATATTCATAGGGATGAGAGCTTGGGCCTGTGAATGGTGTGGGCTGGGATGTATAGGCTGGGAAAGTGGAGGATGGATGAGGGTGCTCAGGGAAGGGGAAGGGCATTGCCCGCGGGTAGGAGGGGTAGCAGGGGGCGGTTGGGACTGGGTCGGAGGCAGGAGGCGGGCGGGTTGGAAGGAAGGCGAGGCATGGTGGTGGTGGTGAAAGCGGGTGTGGGGTGCAGGAACGGGGGTCGAGCGGCTCATGTCGGGGTGAGGGAGGGAGGTCATGGCGAGGGTGGGCGGAGAGTTGGGCGGGGGGAGAGCAGGGGAGCGCTTGTCTTGACTGCCAGTCAGCCTGCAGCCCGCTGCTCCCTGTGCTTCCAGAGCCGCAGTTCACGCGGAGGGTATGACCAGCGCACGTGGACGGGTGACAGGCAGGGGTGGTGCGGGGCAGGGGTAGGGAGTTGCCATGGGGCCACCCGGGTCGCCAGCGCGGGGAACACGCAGGTGGCAGCAGCGGTTCATCCCACCGGAGAGGAGGGGGGGTTCGGAAGGAGGGATGAAGGATGCCGGGGCAGCATGATTCCCGTGGGCCCATTGATCGCTGCTGGACAAGCGGTGCAGGACAGCGGGCTCAGCCGGGCTACCAGCGGAAGTGCTCACTATCCCCCTCCCTCCCTCCTCCCAAACCTCCCCAAACCCCACCACCCTGCCCCCCCCTGCCTGCCCCAGGTTGCCGGCGGCCGCGGCTACTACCTGACCCACGAGGGTGTGCTGCTGAACCAGGCGCTCATCAACGCGGCGGTGCACTTTGCGTACAAGCGCGGCTTCGCGCCGGTGCACACGCCCTTCTTCATGCGGCAGGAGATCATGGCGGAGTGCGCGCAGCTGAGCCAGTTCGACGAGGAGCTGTACAAGGTCACGGGTGAGGGGGGGGAAGGGGGGGGAGGACCTCCCAGGGTGGAGGGGTGGAGGGGAGGTGGGGAGACCAGGGTGCAGGCCATAGCGTCCAGGGGAAAGCACCGGTTGGGGCGCAGCAGTAGGGATAGGAGGCGACAGGATGGGTGGGATGGAGTGGGCAATCGGACGGCGGTTGTCCAGGGGGTGATGCGGGGGGGAGGGTGCCACGGGGCTGCACCGTGTGGGGAGCGGACGTGCCATCCTGGGGAAAGACCCCACGTCAGGTCAGGCCCCGGGGCCTCACGGCGTAGAAGTGAACCCCTCAACCCTACCTTTCGCGCACCTCTTCCACCCTCCCGGCATCCTGCTCTTACCCCTCAACCCCGCATCCTAGCCGAACTTGTCACCTGGTTGCCACTGCATACCAACGCATGGTCCTTCGTCCCCACTGCTCCCCCCCCAAAAGGCGAGGGCGACGACAAGTACCTGATCGCCACCAGCGAGCAGACGCTGTGCGCCATGCACCGCAAGGGCTGGTTCGAGAAGGCGGAGCTGCCTGTCAAGTACGTGGGCTACTCCACCTGCTTCCGCAAGGAGGTGGGCAGCCACGGCAGGGACACGCTGGGCATCTTCAGGTGAGGGAGGGGGCCGGGGGAGGGAGGAGAGGCGGGTGGAGGGGAGGAAGGGCGCAGCGGGCGGGAAGCAGCGGGAGGGAAGTGCATGGAAGAGCACAGGGAGGAAGGTAAAGAGGAGAAATTGCATTAACCCTATGTATGGCAAGGGGAGGGGAATGAAAGCGGGGGCGCTGCTTGGAGCTGCGAGGAGTACGGACGGGGCCGGCACTCAGGGTGTAACATCCCGCTCCCCCCCCCCCCCTCCACTCCACCCCCCCCCTCAGGATCCACCAGTTTGAGAAGGTGGAGCAGTTTGTGATCGCCTCCCCCGAGGGCAACTCCAGCTGGGAGGCCATGGAGGAGATGCTGGCCAACGCGGAGGACTTCTACCAGGTGGGGGGGTAGGGCTGGGGAGCTGGGAGAGGAGCTGGGGAGGTAGGGGGTTGGGTGGGAAAGTGGATTGCAGGAGATCAGGAGGCCAGAACAGGCGTAGGGACATGATGTGATAGGGTGAAGCGGGTGTCCGGGGATTGCGTGGGGGCCTAGACAGCACAACCCTAACCCTCCTCTCTCTCTCCGCCCTCCTCCCTCCCTCCCCCCCAGTCCCTGGGCCTGCCCTACCGCGTGGTCAACATCGTGTCTGGCGAGCTGAACAACGCCGCCAGCAAGAAGTACGACCTGGAGGCCTGGTTCCCCGCCTCCGCCACCTTCAGGGAGCTGGTCTCCTGCTCCAACTGCCTAGACTACCAGGTGGGAGGTAGTGGGGGGGGTGGGGTGGGGAGGATTCTGTCACCAGGCTGGGGGACAGCTGGGGGAGGGCAGTAGGGCAGGGATGCTGGAGGGATAGTAGTGGATGCATTCCCGGAGTTGTCAGTGTTACCCGGCTAGATAAGCCGCAGCCTCGCAATACCGGTACCATGCACCACAACACCCCGCCCTCCAGCTCTCCCTGCCGACCCCCTCCCTCCCTTCCTGCCTCCATCCCCCCCCTTCCACCTCCCCCCCCTTTGCAGTCCCGCCGCCTGGACATCCGGCTGCGCACCCCCAAGGGCGCCGCGGGCGAGGCCAGCAAGGCCTACGTGCACATGCTCAACAGCACCCTCACCGCCACCGAGCGCACGCTGTGCTGCGTGCTGGAGAACTACCAGACGCCCGACGGAGTGCGGGTACCCGAGGCGCTGCGCCCCTTCATGATGGGCATGGAGTTCATCCCCTTCCGCAAGCAGTTTGACGCCAAGGGAAAGCTGGTGGACCGGCCCAAGCCAGCTGCGGCCCCAGCGGCTGCGGCTGCTGAGGCGAGCTCGTGAAGGTGCGGGCCCCCGCGGATGCAACAACCGGCGGCAGCAGCGGCTGCAGCAGCCGGTGGTGGTGGTGGTGATGGTGGTGATGGTGCAGCGCTGGCGAAGGAGTGCAAGCCGCTGCGGGCGGTTGCTGGGTCAGAGACGACCGCTTGGCCGCAGCAGCCTGCGTCGACGGCGGCGTGGCCGGCGGGCGGCTTGCGGGCCTGGCAGCTGGGGCGGGCAGGCGAGGCGTGGAGCGGTGTGGTGACGCCGGCGGCAGTGGCGGTGGTTGCTGCGGGTGGTTGCGGGGAGGCGGAGCGCCTGGTGCCGTGGAGGCAGCGGATGGAGTGGCTGCGGCTGCGGCGGCAGCAGCCAGCAGGAGGAGGAGGAGCGGCCAGGGTAGCGGCTTCCCAGCCGCTGCTACAGCTCTTGCCAAAGCAGCAGCAGCAGCAGCAGGTGGGGTCCCGGGCGCTTCCTCGTCAGCCTGTGTGGGTGGGCGCTGGGCAGGGCTGCGGCGCGACTGCAGCGGCGCCGACACCATCACAGCTAGCCACTGGAACAGCACCGCCGCCCTGGTTGCGGCGGGAGGCGGCGCACGTGCCTGTCGTACAGCCGCCGACACTGGTGCGCACGTTGTTTGCTGGCCGGGGGGTAGTAGATCCTGCGGGGGCGGGTAGCTTGTTGCGGGAGGGGGTGCTTGCGGGCTGGAGGGGGCTGCCGCGTGGAGGAGGTGGTGCAACAGCGGCGGCAGCAGCAGCTGTTGCGGCGGCGCTAGCAGCTGGGAGCTTGTGGTGCTAAATGCGTGCGGTCATTAGGAGCGGTCATTAGCACGACGTGTAAGCTACATAAAAAGAGGGTATGGATGTCGCGGTGTCGCATGGAGTGGCGGCGGAATGTGGTGTGTGCTCATGTCGCCTATAGTGCGTTTCTGGGGAGGTCGGCTTAGCAGGCTGTGCGCAGGAGAGGTGCACCCTGCGCATACGGGGAGCTGCAGGTAGAGGATCAGACAACAGCAGCACAGCTATGTAAGGCGGACTTCTCGCAGCTTGAACGGTACCACGCGTATACCTCCCCGCATCTGGACCATTCCGGGTAGCCGAAGTCCGGTCACAGGCCCTTGCACTGCGAACAGAACCGTGGGAGGCATTACTGCTGCGGCACTGGATGCTAAAACAGTTTCGAGCTTAAGAGCTGTAGCACAGTCAGCGCCTTCTTCAACTTCCTCCGCCAGTTCAGTCGCCCAGCTTATATAGACACATGCCATCAAGGAAAGCCTGAAGGCGGTTGCGCTTTGCACCTTTCAATCGCTTTCTGAAGGACGCGCTCACATGGGCAAGCACCCCATGCTGGAGCCTCCGGCATCCGTCACATGGACTTGCTGTAAGCATGTACATTTAATGTATGCGGCCCTTTGGGCCACCCTAGCTGACTAGCCCGATTGCTGCCGTACGGGAACAGTGCCAAGGCAAATAACTCAATACGCTTAAAGGCTCATCATTGCGTATAGTAAAGATCCTTAGCTTGAGGCTTGCTGTAGCGAGCACGGTTGGCCTAGGTAGCATGGATGTTACAATGCCAAATGCTGATAATGCTTTCCTTTATCATTCTGTTAACCAGCAGAGCTCCACATTCTAACCCGTACATTGCTTTAATACGCCGCGATCCAGTCGTCCATCAGCGACTCCTTACAGCGAGATGTTAGTCCATCCAAATCCACGTCGGCGCTTCATCCATGAATACCAGCGGACCTATGCACAGCTCGGAGTCACAGGCAGTCTAGCTACCCACTTGCACAAATACCTCAATGAAGACGTCGAACTCCCTCCACCGGCTCGCAATGCTTTGCAAGCCAACCCCCGCGCAAGGCACCTGATCCAGCGAACTCAACAGGCAAGCGGGCAAGAAACTCGCCACAGAGCGACAAACGTATACCACCGGTGATCATCCTCACCGCTTGTATGGCCATCATGGCATTGCTGCCGTCCATCTTCTGCCCCCTTACAGGATCCCACCAATGACAGCTCCGCTTCCGGAGCCCTGCCCTGCCCGGCCGCCGCCAACCGCCCCCGAGGAGATGCGGCTAGCAGCCTCCTCGCCCGCCCTGCCTCCACACCAGCACCCGCAGCTGCTGCTACTGCTGCGGATGCGCCAACCGCTGCGAACGGCAATGGCGACAAGAGGAACAGCAGCCGCAGCAGTACGAGCACTGACAGCGAGGAGGGGTGTCATACGGACAGCGCCTTTGACGAGACCGACGTCTCCAACAGCATCTACTGCTCCGACCCCGACTGGTCCGACACCCCCGACCTCCCAGCGGACTGGGGCGGGGAGGACAACGACCTCCCCTCAGCAGGCAGCAGCCGGGGAGGAGGTGGGGGCGGGGGCGGCAGCAGGGCTCTGCGGGAGGAGCAGTGGTTCCTGCGCTCTGCGGGTGCTGCGGGCGGCGCGCGCGGCGGTCTGAGCCACCTGGCTGACGGGGCGCTGGAGAGGCGGCTGGTGCCGCTGGTGAGGGCGGCGCGGGAGGCGCTGGAGGGCGGGGGTGAGACAATGGGGGGGGAGAGGGAGGGAGGGAGGCGGAGAGGGAGGGGGAGAGGGAGGCGACGGGCATGTACCAGCCTCCTCGGCGCACAGGTCACATGGCGGTCAGTAGGAGGGGGTGCAGGCAGGGGGCTTGCATGCATGCGGGTAGGCACTGCTGCCCCTGGTAGCAGTGGGGGAAGACAAGCGGGTGTGTGCTGCCCTCCTGCCCCCCGCTGGCTACCTCCCTGCCGCACCTCACTCACCGCCACCTCGCGCACCCGCCACCCCAACCGCCCGCATCTGCTTCCTCATCTGCCTCCTCATCTGCTTCTGCCCGCAGAGGCGCTGTGCGGTGGCGAGGGCCAGGACGAGGAGACGCGGCGCAGATGGGCGGCGAATGTGGCCGCACATGTGGGTCGGAGTAAAGAGGAAACTGACGCGCTGTATGACCACACGTTGTCGGTGTTGTAGGGTCTTGTTACATGTATGTGTGTGGCGGGGGGGTGTTGCCAGCGAGTACGTCTGGGAGCCGCAGCGGCAGGCGGCACCACCGCACTGCACCCCACCGCACCGCATCATTCACCTGCCGGCACAACGTCCCCCCCCAGGGCCCGTTTCCTCCCCATCCCTCCTCTCGAACCCTCCCTCCCCTCCCCTCCCCTCCCCTCCCCCCCAGCTTCGTCTGCTGGGTGGCCAGGCGCTGCGGCTGCTGCAGCTGTACGGCGGGCACTGCCTGGCGGCGGACAGCGGCGGCAGGGGGGGGCAGGAGGGCAGCAGCGGGGGGTACCGCGGCTGGGGGTACAGCGGCGGGGGCAGCGGGGGGGCCCGGGGGCTGATGGCGCTGGTGATCGGGCGGCAGGAGGGCATGCGTGACAGCAGGTGGGGGGGGCCGGAGGGTGGGGGGAGGGAGGGAGGGAGGGGGGAGGTGGGATTCTGGGTGCGGAGGGGGGCGGCGAGGGGGAGACACCACAGCTCCTGCAGTCCAGTGTACGCTTCCTCGCCCCCTCACGAACGTTCCCTTCCCCGCCTCCCTTCCTCTCAGCGACGACGAGCTAGGGCGCCCTCCTCCCCGCCCCTCCTCCTCCTCCTCCTCCTTCCGGCCGCCCCGCCCGCCTTCTCCTCCCCCTCCTGCTGCTGCTGATGCCGGAGGGAGCCCTGATGAGCGGCGGGGGGCAGCTGCCTCGCCTCCGCACCCTCCCCGCGGCGCCTCCCTCCCCCCGCCGCCTCCTCCTCCTCCCCCGCTTGTTCCCCCCTCCGACTCCGACTCCGACTCCGACGCTGAGTGCCAGGCGTTCTTGCGGGACCTGTTGCGGGGGCCCGGAGAGGTGGGGGCCCAGCAGCAGGGGCAGGGGCAGGGGCAGGGGGAGGAGACGGGGGCGCGGGAGGCTGCCGGGGCTGCGGCGAGGCAGATGGAGTCAACCACCCAGCGTACATCAGAGTCCGAGGCTGCTGCTGACCCTGCTGCCGCTGCTGCCCCTGCTGCCCCTGCTGCCCCTGTTGCGGGGCATGGCAGTGGCCGCAGCGGCCGCAGCGGCACGGCTGCTGGGCCGCTGCACCGCGCCTACCTGGCCGAGTGGCGGGCGCAGCGGGAGGCGAGGGAGGCGAGGAAGCGGCTGCAGCGGCGCATGGGGCGGCTGCTGGTGGAGGGGATGCAGGTGGGGGGCGAGGGGAGGGGGCATGGGGGGAGGAACCCAACCGCACTGATACACCATGCTAGGTAGGGGGAAGGGGGGAGGGGGGAGGGGGGAGAGGGCTTCGGGTCGGGAGGGCTGTCAGGGCCCGGCTGCGGAACCTCACATCCCCACTTGAACACCCACCATACCTCCTTCCTCGCTGCTTCTTCCAACCCCGCCGCCCCTCCTCCCCTCCCCCCCTCCCCCCATCCGCCCCAGGGCTACCGCGTGCGGCGGGTGCTGGGTGCGCACCGCATGTGGGGGCTGCATGCACTGCTGGGGGAGCTGGCGGGGGGGCTGGAGGGGCTGGAGGGGCAGGGGGGGCAGCAGGGGGAGTGGGAGGAGGAGCTGAAGGGGGAGTGGATCCTGGTGAGAAGGGGGGGGCAAGGGGCGGGGCAGGGACGGGAAATGGGCGGGGTTTAGGCTGTCTAGGCATGCTTAGCGCGGTTCCGTTGATTCCTACCCACCAGCCCCCACAACGCTTCCCCCCTGTGTTCCCCGGAACCTGCCATGCACAACCTCTTTGTCCCCTCCTAAACCCCCTCCCCCCCTCCCCACTTTGGAATTTCTTTTTTCCCCCCCCTCCCCCTCCCCTCCCCCCCAGCTGCTCACCGAGTTGCGGGAGGGGTTGCGCCAGTCGGAGCTGGCGGCCCGGCTGCGGAGGTGCATGGCGGAGGGACTGCTGGAGCCGCCTGGGGGGGAGGGGGGGGCAGGGGGAGGGGTGCGGGAGGAGTGTGTGGCGCTGGCGGAGGCGGCGGTGCGGTGGGGACTCATGCGGAGGGCGGGCGGCAGGCAGCGGGGAGGGGCGGGGGCGGGGACAGGGGCGGAGCGTGGGGAGGAGAGGGAAGAGACGGAGGAGGGACAGGGGGAGGGTGGCAGGGAGGATGGCGGCGAAGGCGGCGAGGAGGAGGCTGCGGTTGACGAGGAGGAGCAGGTGGGCTGGGGTAGGGGGGTGGTAATGGGCTGGTAGGGGGGTGGTAATGGGCTGGTAGGGGGGTGGTAGGGGGCTGGAGGTGGCGAGCAAGCCCGTGGGAACAGTGGCGGTGGGGCGACGGCTGCCAGCCAGCCCTCCCACCGCTTTCACCGGCATCCCATGCCTGCAATCCCCTCCTACCCTCCCTCCCTTACCCTCCCCCCCCCAGCTGGCCCGCTGGCTGCACTCCCACCTGGCACCCGCCTGGCTGCGAGTGGCGCACCGGGCCCTGCAGCAGCAGGGGGGGCAGCAGGGGGGGCAGTATGGGGGGCAGGGGGGGCAGCAGGGGGGGCAGCAGGGGCAGCCTCAGCGGCGGGGCCGGCCGCATGTGGAGCTGGCTCCGCTGTCCTGCGCGCCGCCCCGCACATGGCTGGGGCTGCTGCGGCGGTGGGAGGCGCGGGAGGGGGATGTGGGGGGCGCACCCCTGCTGGCGCTCACCCTGCAGCAGCAACAGCAGCAGCAGAGGGGGGTGGGGGTGGGGGAGCGGGAGGCGGTGGCGGCTATTCCAGCTGCTGGGGGTGGGGGTGAGGGTGGAGGTGGGGGTGGCAAGAAGCGCGGCTGGGGCGGGGGCGGGGGCGGTGAGGGGGGGCAGCGGTGTGTGCTGCTGGCGAGCAGTGTGGAGAGGAGCCAGGTGCTGGTCAGGAGGTTCGAGGTAGGGGGGGCGGGGGGGGGGGGGAGGGGAGGGGGGAAGGGGGGGGATGAAGACAGGGGTGCTGGACGAGGGAGGAACTTACCTCCCCGGCTGGGGGGTCCTCCCCACCCATCTGGGCGCTGTGCCGTATACTAGGCCATGCTACCCATTCCTCCCTCACCACACCCTTACTCCTCCCCTTTCCTCCCTTCTTCCCCCCCTCCGCAGTACCGCTGGCCCCTGGCGGTGCTGGGCGCCCCCGCGCTGTCGGCCCTGCTGCGGCTGCACGCGGTGTTCCGGGGGGCGGGGGGGGATGCGGGGCGGGCGGTGGCGGGCGGGCGGGGGGAGGGCGGGGGGGCGCTGCCCGCCTGGGTGCCGCTGGCGCTGCGGGGGCCGGGGGAGGGGGAGGGGGAGGGGGGGTTGCGGGTGGGCGCTGCAGCAGGAGGAGGGGAGGAGGCCGCAGGAGGGAGGGAGTGGCAGGTGGGTGGGTTTGGCGTGTGTGTATGGGTGTGTTGGGCCCCGCGCCCCGCTGCTGGGGCTGCATGCAGCGCGCAGGGTTGCGTGCCCCCCCCCTCTTGCATGTGTATCCTTATCACACCACACTTTGGAATTTCTTTTTTCCCTCTTGCATGTGTGTGTGTGTGTGTGTGTGTGTGTTCAGGGGGCAGGGCAGGGCCGCGAGTAGGAAGGTACCGTGATCGGCCCATGTGTGTGCTCTCCGCTGTGTGTGTCTCCCTCCCTCTCCCCACTCACAACATGAAGCCATGATGTATCACACGGTTAGTACGTTGTTTCCTGCTTACCCCCCCCCCCCCCCATATTTGCTATCCCAACTATCCAGCGTAATGCGGATTCTGTTTCCAAATTAACCCCCCTCCCACGCCCCCCCCCGCTCCCCCCCCAGGACCCCTTCCGCCCCGCCCCCGGCCGCCCCTGCTGTGTGGTTCTGCAGCTGCTGGGGCGGGTGCTGGGAAACCAGCTGCGGGTCGGGGAGGCGCAGCAGCTGGGGCCGGGAGCCAGCAGGTGGGGGGAGGTAGACTGTACAGGGTTAATAACCAGGGGGGGAAGAGGAAGAGGGAGGGTGTGTGTGGGAGCTGTGTTCCGGAACGGGTGCAGGACATCTACCGTAACGGTGCAGTGTGGGGCAGGAGAGGAGCTGCTGCTGCAGGTGCTGCCGCGTGTTGCATGAGGAGGAGGAGGAGGGGAGTGGGAGGGGAATGGGGTTTGGGAGGGAGGCCGCCTTCCCCGGTGCCCCTGCTGCTCGCATGCGTGCACACACCGTACCGCACCCTCAACCCTCCCTGCTGTGCTTCCCCCTCCCTCTCCCTCCTCTCGCTGCCCCTGCCCCCCCCCCCTGCCCCCAGCTTCGAGGCGTTGGTGTGCGAGCTGCAGCTGTCACTGCTCAAGCACGAGGCGGGGCAGCTGGTGTGCCGGGGTGTGCAGGTGGGGGCGCATGCAACCCCCCGCCCTCCCAATGTCGGAGTCACGACCTCAACTCCCTGACGGCGGGGTTCGAATCTCGTCATTCGCCCCATGACGCGTGAAACGTGATTCCTGCCCCGCCCTGCCCTGGAGCGCCAACTGGCCCCCCCCCGCCCCCTCTCCACCCCTACAGGATGTGGAGTTGGCGGTGCTAGCGTGCGCCAAGGTATAGGGGGGTTGCGGGGGGGGGGGTGGGGCGGGTGGTGCGGGGTGGGGGGTGGGGGGTGCGCTCGGCCGCTGGGTCAGCGAGACCCCCCGTGCTCCTATGGTTTGGTATGGTCTTTGACCCCCCCCCGTGCTCATGGACACCACAAGTGAGGGCAAAAGACAAGGGGGGGGGTGACGGCGAGATGCCCGGGGGGGGGGTTACTGCAGGTGGTTGCTGCTGCTGCTCTCCTGCCGTAGTCAGTCCTTTACCCCCCTTCCCGATCTCCCCTCCCGTTGTAGTCGCGCCCTGGGGGCCCTCCGCCGCCTCGCCTTGCTGCCTCCCCCCCTGCCGTCTGCTATCCCCATTGCTTTGCCCTAACGGTAACCTGTGGTTTCCTATGGTATGGTCTTTGGTCTTTGACCCACCCTTCTGCCTCCCGCCCCCTCTGCCACCTCCCCCTCCCTCCAGGTTCGCGAGCTGCTGCTGCGCTATCACGGGCAGGACTCCTTCTGCGTGACCCTGCTGGAGGACTGGCAGCGGCAGCAGGACGTGAGCATGGGGGGGAGGGAGGGGAGGGGGGGCCCACTGAAGGCAAGGAGGGGACTAACTGAGGAGGGAATCGCTGGAATGCCAACCCCGTGTCCCAACTCATGCAGCGAGCGCAACAACGCAAGCTACTACTACGGGCTTTACAAAATGCATACTTGTACCGGAGGCAGAGCCGACTAGGGAAGAAAGCGGGGAGCCCGGGGGGGCCTAAGCGGGAAGAGGGCTAAGACGAGAGCTAAGACAAGGGAAGAGGGGTAAGGGCGCGGGGCGATGCCCCAGCTGTTGCTTCCCTCCTTCCCCTCCTCTCCCCACCTCCAAGCCACAGCTGCCCCACCGACCCCCTTGCCCCCCCCCCCTCCCCCCTGCAGGAGTGGCCTGCCCCGGTGCTGCAGGGCGGCTGGCACCGCCTCTTCACACTGGTCGGTGAGTGGCCTGCCCCCCTCCTTCCCTCCTCCTCAGCTGCACCCCCCCCCTTGCCTCAACACCTCGTCCTTGCACCACTGCCGTGCCAGGCACTACCGTTCATGGACTTCCACCATCCCTCTCCCCTGCTCCCAACCTCCATCTCCTTCCTTCCCCTCCCCCCTCCCCTCCCCTCCCCCTCCCCCTCCCCCTTCCAGAGTCCACCAACCGCCCCCGCCTGGGCCACATGCGCATCATCATGCTCACCACCTCCCTGCACGGCGGCCGCAACGGCACCCGCGCTGTCACCCCCGCGGCGGTGACCACAACCGACACGCTGCAGCTGCTGCGGGCACTGAGCAGGGCGCGGGAGGAGGCGGCGGGAGGAGGGGGGGCGGGGGTGAGGAGGCACGGGGAGGGGCGTGGGAGGAGGCGGTGAGGGAGATGAGGACGAGGAGGAAGAGGATGGGGGTGAGCGGAGGTGGAGGGGATAAAGAGGAAACAACTAACCGGCTGAGGGATAAGGCGTCAACATGGGTTGCAACATGTGAGCCAGCCCGACCCGCCCAGCCCGAATTAGCGAAGCCAGTACGTGTAATGCACTTACAAAAAAAATGAAGACTTACCGAAGCCAAAGCGAACAGGGATAGGGAGGCATAAAGGAGCGTCGCCAGCACATCGAGGTAGCCAGCAGCCGCGCCGACGGTCCGTAGGGGCCAACTAGGTGGAGGGGAGGGGGTTCGGAGTGGGGTGGGGTGGGTGTGCTGGTAGTAGTGTGTGCATTTGAAGTGCAAAGGACGCGGAAGATGGGCTGATTGCACGACAAGCCCACTTTCCTGGCCTGACGGATGTGGTTCGCCTGAAGCCGCACTGTGTATTTGCAGGCATGGTGTCGTACTTTACATCTGCAGTGCACACTGGGCACCTAGGAAGCTGTTAAAACGGCTGTCGACCATATAGTTGGGCTGGTTCGGATGCGAGAAGTACCGACCAGTCCGTTCTTGCCAACCGTACATTCCGTACAGTCCAGCAGGGCATCGACCGCCCTAGGGTTGTTGGGTTGAAAGCATTGCGAGAGGACTGCGAGAGGAGGGAAGGCTTCACCCACTACACTGCTGCAGTTGGACGTGTGGCCCCTCCGCGTCCTAGTACCGCGCTCCCTGCTCTCACAGGGCCCACAGGGCCGCCCGGCTGAGAACGCACGGCGGTCCGCGGGTTGCGAGCGGCTGTGTGGAGGGTGACACAGCAACCCTACCCGCATGTGCCTCTTGTGTTGTACGGCAGAACCCGATCCACAGCAACCGTCCCCATGCCGCATGCTCTGCTGTGGGTGTTTGGTCCATCACATAATGTCATTAGCTCATTACATGACGGCCGCAATGCTCTCCACCCGGGATAACAAAGGAGGGGCTTGCAACTGGCCCAACACATGTCTCACGGCTGACTGCTGACCTCCGCCCGGTACCACACCGTACAACAACTGGGACAGCAGGGGCAGGGGCAGCAGCACTCCTCGCCAGCATACTGCCTGCCGCCGGGGCGTCTCACTCCTCGCAACGAGGCTTGGCTAATCAGCTGCATGCTTACCTGGCGCACCTAAGAACCCACCAACACAACAGTGCCGGAGGGGCCCCGCTTCACCCTACCAGCAGCGACGTCCGTGCCTTTACAGTCCTGCAGGGTCTCTATCGTCTAGTGCAACAAGGGCCCAACCGTTCTTCCCCAAGTTTCAAGAGCCACACACCCTAGCCCCCCAAAACCTTATCTGCACACCTTCTATACCCCAATCCAAATTCGCATGCCTCCCATCCGTTACATACACCCTTTTCCCTTCACAGCCAGATCCAAAGCAGTCCTTGTTTGCTCCTCCATCTCACCCAGCCCCTCTCTCCTCCCCTCCCTATCACCACCACCCCGCTCAGTCATTGAGTGTGATGTCCCAGGGGATCTCCGCCTCCCGCACCGCCTCACCCTCCACCACCTCCACCCCACCACCACCCTGCTGCCCCACCCGCTCCCGCTCCCGCTCCTTCATCACCGCCTCCGCCTCCCGCAGGAACACCCGCCCGTTCAGCCGCGACAGCTGCCCCGGCACCTGCACCGCCGTCAGCACCAGCGGCACCTCGTCAAACAGCCGCAGGTGCAGCGGCAGACTCACCGGCTGCAGCCCATGTGGGTTGCGCACCTCGGGCAGCGACCGCACCCAGGTGGCCAGATCAGGCACGTCCTCGCTGCTGCCGCCGGGGCCGCCGCCTGTGCCGCCAAAGCCGCCGCCGCCACCCCTCCCGCCTCGGTTGCCACCACCCCCGCGGTTGTTGCCGCCGTCCCTGCCTCCTCTGCCGCCGCCGGCCCCACGCTGCCGACCATGCTGCCGCTGCTGCGACCGCTGGTGCTGATCAGCAGCAGAAGAAGACGAACCGCCGTCCTCCTCAGCTGCCGCCGACCCAGGGGTCACACTGAGGACCCTGGCAGCCGGGTTCCACGCCGCCTCGTACGGCACCCCCAGATCCTGATCCAGGTACAGCGTCAGCTCGCAGCCGAACTCGGTGAGGTAGAGGGTGAGGTAGCGCTCTCCGTTGACGCTGCAGATGGTACCCAGTGTGACGAGCGGGTGGCGGCGCAGCATGACGCAGAGGTAGAGGCGCAGCGAGCCGTCCTGCGCGTTTCGGGCGTTGATGCGGCGCTCGTTGCAGTGCACGGAGACCTTGTCTGTGGGGGGTTGGGGGGAGGAGGGGGGGGAGAGAGGGAGAGCAGGGTCAGAACGAGGGTGAAGGGATGGGGAGGTAGGGGTACCGGTAACTAGGGCGTGTAGGGTGTCGGCGCAAGCGCTGATTGTGGGAGCACGCGGCTTCCCTCCCCCTCCCGCACTGGATGTTCTTCGTCTCCCGTCCTCCCACCTGTCAGTTCCGTGTCCAGCAGGCGGTGTCGATGCGCCACCCCGGCAGCCAGCGACAAGGCACCTCCCCCACTGCCGCCTCCCTCGCCCCCTCCTTGCTGCTGCTCCCTCCCTCCCTGCTGCTGCAGCTGCCGCAGCTCCAGCGCCGCCGCCAGCAGCCGGTGCACCACCACATCCGGGTAGCGCCGGATGGGCGAGGTGAAGTGCGTGTAGGCGCCCACGGCTAGCGCGTAGTGCCTGAGGGGGGGGAGGGGGGAGGGGAAGAGGGGGGAGGGGGGAAGCAAATTAGACCAAGGAGGAGGAAGCTGCCGCCCGCTGTATGCCAAGGGGCCTGCACCCACAGGGGTTGCCATGCTGGACCATCATGCCCATCCCACCCCAGCAGAAAGGGTGGCAGACAGGGGAGGAGGAGCGGTGGGTGGTGAAACCCCACGCAAGCAGCAGTCCCCTTCCGTCCCACTGCCCCCCTCCACACCAGTACTGCTAGTACCGGTTCTGCCACCTCACCCGAGTTAGCCCCCCCACTCCCTCTCCGCTGCTACCTAACATTACCTCTCTGTATACAACTACGCCCCTACAACCATCCCTCTACAACGGCGCAACATCCCCAGCCATTCGCGCTATAACCCCTAACCTCCCCCCCGCCCCCCCCCGCCTCCCCACCTCCATCCCTCCCTGTCCTCCAGTTTGCCCGTGCAAAAGTACTCGGCCAGCAGCTGCGGCCGGGTGGCCAGCATCACCAGCACCTCCACCACCCGCCGGGGCCGGTCGGCGGGGGAGAAGCCGGGGGAGCAGGGAGGTGGGCGACATGGTGATGATGATGATGATGATGATGATGATGCAGCAGGAGTGGTAGTAGTGAGGGAGGTGGAGGAGGAGGAGGTGGAGCCCTGGGCGGCTGCCGCCGCTGCTGCCGCCGCTGCTGCTGCCTGCCTTGCCGCCGAAATGCCTCGCTCCAGAGCGCCCGCGGAGGCGGTGTCAATGGGGTATCCCGCCTCCTCCGCGGCCTGGCGGAAGGTCTTGAGCTTCTCCACCAGGGGGGGAGGGTGGCGTCTGGGGAGTAGGGGGGAGGGAGGGGGTGGGAGATGGGAGGAGTGAGGGAGGGGAGGCAGGGGAGGGTATGGTGGTAGAGGGGTAGTGCGGGCGCGGTCCACACCCCTACATGGCACCGGCAGCCTCCGAGCTGACCCCCTCTCCAGCTGCCTACGCAGCACAGGCGCCCTAAAGGGCCCTCAAGCCCCTCTAGACGGGGGGTAGCCCAGGAAACCCCCCCCAGAAGGGCGCTCTGGACTGAGGCAACCGCCCAGTTCACCATAGCCCCCCTGCCACCTCCTCCTCGCCGTCCACGCACGCCTCCTAGCCCCCCTCGCACCCAAACCCCGTCGCTTTGCCCTAACCAGCGACCTGTGACCCGCCTCTGACCCACCATACACCCCCCCCCTCACCCCCTCTTCCCCCCTCCCCCTCACCCCCTCTTCCCCCTCCCCCTCACCCCCTCTTCCCCCTCCCCCTCACCCCCTCCTCCCCCCACCTCAGCATGGCCCGCTCCGGGAACACCTCGCTGATGCACTCCGCCACGCTGCGGTTGGCCAGCAGCATGAACTCCTCCACCAGCTGGTTGGACTCCTGGGGGGGGAGAGGGGGGGAGAGTAAGGGGGCGGGGGGGGGAGGAGGAATCTTAAAATTGACCGAACCATAGGAAACCACAAAGTAGGGGAGGGGAGCTTGTGTGGGGGAGAGCAGGAAAGGAGGCCGGGCCGCTGGGGGAGGCCGGGCCGCTGGCCCAGGCCTGACCCCAGCAGAGCTCGTTTGGCAGCGGTCGGCTTGCTGTCCTGTAGGACCGCCCCTCCCTGCCGCCCCTCAGTCGATGTGAGCTGGCCCCGCCTGCCCTGCCCTCATCCACCTACCTCCACCCATATCGAGCTAAAAACGCACGGCCCCCCCTCCCCTCCCCCCCCGCCCCACCTTCTGCACGTACGGCGCCGCGCTGACAGGGTTGCCGTCCTTGTCCAGCTGGAATGCCAGCCGCACGTTGTCCAGCTTCAGCGCACCCGAGGCGAAGCGGGCGGCGCGCATGCGACTGGCCAGGGACCACAGCGCCAGGCAGTCGCCCTCCACCTACAGGGTGGGGGGAGGGGGGGAGGGGGGGAAAGAGGAGGGGAGTAAGAGGAAACAACTAACTGACTGAGGGATAAGGCGTCAACATGGGTGGGTAGGGGGAAAAAAGAAATTCCAAAGTGTGGTGTGATAACGATATAAGGGGAGGGTGGGAAGGATGGGAAGATGGCGGGTTAATGGTGCTCGCTGCGGAGCTCATGAGGCGCATGAGCGCAGGTAAGGGGCCGGTAGAGGGCGGTAAGGAGGTGGGGGGTGCAGGTCGGTGCATGCAGTCGCTCACAAGCCCCCCGCCCCCCCGCCCCCCGCCCCCCCCCACCTGGTCCCATCCCACCCCCTCCCCGTGCAGCTCCACTCCGCAGTCGGGCCCGCTGAAGCGCCCCTCGATCATGGCCTGCACATGCGGGTAGGCCAGCTTGGCGCAGGAGCGGATGAGCGAGCGGCCAAACCAGGTGGAGCGGATGGAGGCTGGAGAGGGGAGGGAGAGGAGGGAGGGGGGGCGTCAAAGTCAAAGTCAGGTCAAGTGAGGAATGCGGCCGCCCGTCTTTATACAGCGGGCGGGACAAGGCCAGGTTGCACGTATAGATGCGATGCGGTGCCTTGTTATACCGGTAACAGTAGCCCTTCTACCACCGTTCTCGAGTACCCCCCTGCACACCACCCTCTCCTTCCCTCTCCCCTCACCCCCCCGCCTCCCCCCCCTCACCATCCTCGTTCATGTCCCACACCACGCTGAACGCCAGCCGCTCCACCCCCGGGTTGAGGCTGCACAGCTCCTCGCACAGCAGCGGCGGCAGCATGGGCAGCATGCGCTGAACCACGTAGGTGCTGGTGGCGCGGCGGCCCGCCTCGATGTCGAGCTCGCTGGGGGGGAGGGGAGGGGAGGGGAGGGGAGGGGGGAGGGAATGAGTCACAGGCAGAAGGGTCATAAGCGTGCGACAGTGGGTTTGGGGGTGCCGGCACCCCCAAAGGAATGCGGCGTAAAGCCATGCGGTCATGCGGGTCGCGCGAAGGAGGATCAGGAACAGCAGGAGGAGCAGGAGGAGGCTTTGCAGCCCGCATCCGGAACAACCTGCGACTGCCCCCCATGTGAAGGCTGTAACATGCGGTGCATGCACACACAGGGTGCGCGCTCACTGCACCTGGCTGTACTGCCGTACGTGCGCACTGCCCCCTGCCGTACAGTCCTCCCCCCTCCCCCTGCCCCCCCCCCCCCCCCCCCGCGCACCTGAACGGCGGTATGAAGTGCGCCACATCCGCGATGTGCACCCCCACTCGCCAGCCGCCCCCCGGCAGCGGGGTGATGGACAGCGCGTCGTCCAGGTCCTTGGCGGTGGGCGGGTCGATGGAGAAGACGCGACAGGACCTGGGGGCGGAGGGGGGGGGGTAGTAGGATTTCATATTCCGCAGTAGGCTGAATTAGTAGCAGCGCTCAAAAGTCAGTAGCATCACATGGGGGGGGAGAAATTCCAATGTGTGGTGTGGTAATGATACAATTTGCTGACAATCCCTGGTGGAAACAACCGTGCGTCGTGGTCCGAAAAGGAGGGAGGAGAGGGAGGCAAGGTGAGGTATTGAGGTAATGAGAAGGAAGGGGGCGATAAGGAGGAAGGGAGGGAGCGGAGGGGAGAGGCGGCATGGGAAACGCAGTGATAAGGAGAGAGGAAGGCGACCCAAATGGAGTGCGAGGAGCGTCCCCCGCCCCTCCCTACCCCGCCCGCTCCCTCCCCCTATCACCCTTAACGCATTGGAGCCTCATCTTCCCCCCCACCTGAAGTCCCTGCGCTTGTCCCGCTCCTCCTGCGAGATGCTCCAGGGGGTGGGCGGCAGGCAGGCCAGCACCTCGGGCGGGAACTCCGGCCCCGAGATGCCCTCCATCTCCAGCAGCGCAGCGGTCTCCGGCTCGATCTCGCCCGCCTGCCCCAGCGAGCCGCGCAGGCTGACGGCGGGCTGGGAGTGGGTGGAGGACCACTCGAAGATGCGGGCGGACATGAGCGTCCTGGGGGGGGGGAGGAGGAGGGGGGGGGTGGGGGGGGGAGGAGGAGGGGGGGGGGGTAAGAAGCAATAAGTAAGGAAAATGAAGCAACGGAGGGAGGAGTAGGGAGGAGGAGTGGAGGGAAAGCAACGTGCGGAATGCCCCTCCTCCGCCTCTACATGCAGACGGCATCCTTCCCCCCTTCCCGCACCTCCCGCCCCCCCCGCACCTGGCCTCCGCGCTCTCCCCCCGCCTCAGCTCCTCAATCAGCGCGGGCGGCAGGTTGCGCAGCTCCCCCGGGCGCACCACGCAGCGCGGCATGCGCGGGTCGAGGGGCACCAGGTAGCAGGTGGGCAGCTGGGGAAGGGGGGCGGGGCAGGACTCGGAGGCGGAGGAGGTGGAGGTGGAGGAGGTGGCGGGCGGGGCCGGTGCCGCCGCGGGTGCAGCAGCGGGCGCCAGGCTGGTCGGGGTGGTGGGTGCCAGCTGCAGCAGCCCCACCAGATGGTCGCGCTTGGGGGAGGGGGTCAGGATGGCCACCACACGGCCTGGGGGAGGGGGGCGGGGAGGCGAGATGGGCATGAAGGGTGGAAGGGGCTACGAGCGGTAGCGTAGGTGCAGCGTAGGGGAAGGCGTCCGGCATGCCGGATCAGGTGATCTGGAAAGGCGACCTGTCAGCCCGTCCTACTCCTGACCATAGCCGTGCTGCTTTCACCCCCCCCCTTAAAGCACACGCACACCCTTGCATCCCCTGCCCCATCCCCACGCTCCCCCCTCCCCTCCCCCCCACCTGTGACCCTCAGCTCGGGCCGCGCCGCCAGGATGCGCCGCACCAGCGCCTTCACCTCCTCCGCCCCGCCGCTGCAGGAGCGCCAGGGGGCCTCCTCGCGCGACAGCAGCGCAGCCAACTCCACGTCAGCAGACGAGCCGGCGATGGGGGCGGGGGCGGCGGAAGCGGGTACTTCAGCTCCCTGCGGGGGACACAGGCGGCACCAGCCCCAGTGCAGCAGCAGGGCCACAACGGGACCGCACCTCGCCGTTGGAGTTGTGAACGGTGCTATTGCTAATTAAGTGAGGAGGAGAGATCAACAGCGGCAATCCCTGCTGCGCATGCCGCCTCTTTCCGCCTCTTTCCTCTTCCCTTACCACACAACGCCCCCCCCACCTCTTCCCCCACCTGCTGCTCCCGCTGCTGCCTCTCGCGCTGCTCCCGCTGCTGCTGCGCAAGGCGGTTCACGGTGAACCAGCTGGGCACGGGTAGCAGCTGCAGCGCCACCTCGTCGCCCTCCAGGCTGCGGTTCTGAGCCAGGTCGCCGCGCACCAACACGTCGTGCGGCAGGCCGGGGATGGGGGCGTAGGCCTGGGGGAGGGAGGGGGAGGGAATGGAGGGGGGGAGGGAAGGAAGGGGAGCAGGGAGAGGGCCCGGGAGGGAGGGAGGAAGGGGTGACGGCGGTGTGCGTGCAGGAACCAGCGGGGCATACGCGGGTCGTCGGTGCTACTATCCCAGTGTATGTAAAGAAAACGCCTGGCCTGCCCTGCACGCATCGGAACCGTTTATGCGACTCCAGGAGTGGAAGCCTCCCCACCCGCGCCCCTGCCTTGCCCCGCCCCACCTCCCGCCTGTCCCCCGGGTTGACTCGTATCTTGACGCGGAAGAGCTGCCCGCTCTTGAGGCCCTGCTGCAGCTCACTCTGCCCCAGGTGCTCCTGGGAGAGAGGTCGGGTGGGGTGGTAAAAAGAAGGAAAGGGTGGGGGTGGGGGGTCGGAGAGTGGCAGGGACGGAACATGATGCAGAGGGCAGGAGGCATAGCGGACGTGACAGGTGGGCGCTTGCTAGACTGTAAGCGGCGCGTCCCAATCACCCAATCTGCATCCCTGCCTCATTAGATACCCCTCCAAGAGCATCGGCTCCGTACCACGACCGCCCATGGGCCCCCCAGCACCCAAACACCTACCGGGTACCGCCCCGGCGATGCCTCCTTAGCCGCCTCCTGCCCGCCGCCCTCGCCACCCCCACCCCCACCCCCACGTCCCGACGACTTGCCGCCGCCCTTCCCGCGCACCGCCGCAGCCGCCACCGCGCCCACCGCGCTGGCCGCCGCTGACGTCGCGGAGGAGGCCGCCGTCGCGGCAGCGGCAGCGGTCGCAGCTACCGCCGCTGCTGCCGCCTCCGCTGCTGCCTTCCCCTTCGCAACAGCGGCAGCCACCTTGGACCCCGACTTGTCCTTCCCGGCAGCCTCTGCCGCTGGCGCTTTGGTCTCCTTGGGAGCCGCGGGCTTCTCCTTTGCCGCAGGAGCCCCGGCTGCTGCAGACGTCCCTGCTGCCGCTGCTGCTGCTGCCGGCCGCTCGCCTGAGGAGGAGCGCTCCGGTAGCTGGTGCTTGCGACGACCCAGATCCGTGTCAGGCTTCAGCTCGGGCTGCTTACCACCACCGCTGCCACCGCTGTTACCGGCGCCTGCAGCATCGCCGCCGCCTCGCCGGGAGGGCTGAGGGGGCGGCTGAGGGGCCGCAGAGCCGTCGGGGCCGGAGCCGCCGCGACGTGGTGCTGTGGAGGAGGAGGGGCCAGCGGCGCCGGACTCGGGAGGCTCTGTGGGGGGCCTCTGAGGCGGGGCTGGAGGGGGCGGGGGCGGAGGTGCGGGTGCCTCTGTGGTGAGGGCGCGGCTGGTAGGCGGCTGCGGTTGCGGGGATAAGCCCAGGCGGGACATGCCAGAGGTGGCTGCGAGCACAGAACCCCGCGCGGCTGCCTCTAGGGCGGCCTGGTAGGCAGGGTCGTTCGCAAAGGTGGATCGGCCTGAAGGCCTGCAGGGAGGAGGATATAAGAAGATGGTGGACTCGACATCATTGGTCGCAGGGCGGGATGGGTCCCGTGGATAGAAGAAAAAAGTTCACAGGAGAGGTCAACGAAAAAACGGCATAGCGATTTATGGTGTAAAGCTGCTCAACCTAGATCGTGAGTGAGCATGGGAACTAGGCCGGGCAATGCATGACCGTTAGATCTAATGTATGGCCAAGCTAGCGCTAGGCTGCCGACCTGAACAATAAATGATTCCCTTGCAGTCGTCACTTATGAAACACAGCTTTTCATACCTGTCCATGATGCGTCGCCGGGCCTCCGTTAAGCTCGAGATGAAGCCGACAGAGAGGGGCTTTCCTAAGTGATGTAAGTTTATCTTTTGTTCCCTAAATGCCGAAAGCAATGGGTGCCTAAATGCACGAAAGATTGCTAACGCACTTTGCTCGCACGCTGTGACGTGCAGAAGAGTGCCCAATAACATGAGTACTAGCGAAGCGCAGACGACATACTGTCAACATAATGCTATTGGATCGCATATGCATTAACACATGTAGTGATGGCCATTAGAAGGCCACGCCACATCGTTGCCAGCAATGCATGCCGTCCATACTCGTCACGTAATGCCAGTCCTCTATTGCATACAAGCTTGCACAATGAGTATCATATAGACGATGGGCTTTCCTTACCATCCACCTCTGCGCCACGGGAAGTAATTGGAGAGCAAGGCTGCTGGGAGCTCGCTAATGTCGTTGTGGTTCAGCCCCAGTTTGGACTGTTTTAGTTAATCCTTGGAACCGAGGACCACAAGTTGCATCGTTGACATCAATGGCATGCTCTTCTCTGACGTGACCCACGGTTCCAGGAGCTATCGCCGAGTCTGCAATGCGGATTCCGCCGTTCCATATCGCACTCGGCGCGGCTAGCACGAGATATCGCGGTTGATAGGAGTCCCCATGCGATTGCTGCATTAGGTGTCTTGTGGCGGGGTTGCTGGCTTTTGACTTGGTAGGAGTGGCTCGTTCAATGTAGGCGACAGCGTTTCCGTGGCAGGGCGGTTCGCATAGTATACAAGGCGCAGATTAATCGTTGACAGTTGAACAAGTCGGTGGGGCTTGAGAGACGGCGATAGGCAAAACTAAGAACGTGCGGCCCTCATGTTGGCAGCATGTGCCTGCCAAGGGGCCTTTCGGGGAATTTGCACGTAAGCGAGTGCAAGGCTATGTTGCGCATAGGCACGATGCATCAGCCAAGGGGCCGGCAGAAAGACTTTGTGTTCCCTGTTTTCCTGGGTTCCTACATCGTGTCATGGAGTTACTGTCTTGCCCAAGGAAGATCTGCCAATTACGGAGGTGAACCCACCTACGATACTGCCCTTTCCCATCCATGTCATGCCCAGCTTGACTCGCTTGTTCAAAGCTTTCAGTACAAGCTGAGCACGCTTGGCACGGCGTCGCTCACCAGGGCCTCACCATGGCACCCAAAACCCCCTAATATCTAAACTGCACCTTCTGCATGCCACTCGCTTGACAATTATTTCGCCCGTGTGTGTATCCCACCGCGCAAGAGGTCGGCAACTGAGGTGTTGCGACACTGTCTACGATGCTGCGATGCTATTATAACTACCATATAGTGCGTTAAAGCCACACTGTGTTTGGACAGCAAGCAAGACGCTGCAGTACAAGCGGGCAGCGGACCACTCGAATCTCTAACGACAACTTCATATCTAAATCGTGTCCCGGCAAAAGCACAGGCGCCAGGCGGACTTCAACGCCATGGTTACTTTAAACTGATGTTAGACCAGGCTCTCCTTATGCTCAAGATACAGCATGTCAGTTGGCGTCGGGCCGTTCAACGATTAAAGGGTAAAGCTTAAGAGTACCTGATTCAGTATCGCGAGTCACAAAATTACCTGCATGAACAGATTTGCCACAGTACTGCATGCAGTCGGAAGACGTAGGACGGCGAACAGCAGGCAGGCGAAAAGCTGGTCCGTTTGAGTCCCAAGTAGGACAACAGTTTACTTTCAACACATAACACGCTTCGCATGAAAACGTTTCAAGCTGTGCGTCTAACGAGCACGTATATGATTAATCGAGCCGTACATCCTGGTCGACAGATGACAGGCCTGAGTTCCACCTTCGGACCCTTATACCTTTACATGTTTTACAATATGATCACGCGTATTAGAAATTGATTTTACTATGTCACCAGATTAGAGAATAACCATGTCAGCTGTCTTAGCAGTTTTACTGTTATGCATCTTGGGAGTCCCACAGGGCTCTCAAGGGCAAACCATCCTAAATAGTATTAAGCCTACCATAGGTTCGTTAGCTGGCGGGACAAGGTAGGGCAGCTTCCATGGCATTGCCGGCATTGTTCAGCAATGTCTTTAGCATTTCGGCTAAGCTTGACGAAATTGGTGCGCACGTCCAGGATTTCCATCTATGGCACCGGTTTTGGCGACATGTATACGTCAAGCAGGGTTGTCTTTATAGGGCCCTACCCATGCTCCATCATTTCTCACCTAAGCAGCAGTTCGGTGGTAAGTTGTTGTGAGCTTGAGGAAAGGAATATGCTGGCGTGGTATGGAAGTTAACTCTTTGACTTGCTTGCTGCAGCTTACCTGCGAGACTGCTCCTGGCTTGGCTGGCACCTACTTCCTGACGATATCCGTCGACGGTGCTGACCCAACTTCATATTGGGGCTATACCTACTACAACGATATCACTCCCAGTAAGTGTCGCTCAGGAAATCTGCTCCGGGACTGAGTATAAACCCTCGGCGTGTGTGCATTGGGGCCCCAGCCCAGGTTGCTGCCTCTATACAGGACGGCCCACCACCTTGCGCCTTGCCTTCATGCGCCAGTCTCTAAAGCCCTTCGTTACTCGTGATGTTTCTAGCATGTGTTGCAGCACTGGTGCTAAACTTCCTTACCTGCTTTCGCAGCCTTTAAAGCCGTTACTCCCCATGCGGGACCTCCTGGGACGCTGGCGTACCTTTACGGCGATACGACCTGGTACCTGCGTTACCGCGACTGCGTCGAATCAACTTGGGGTGACATCGACTGCGTGGGCAGCATCTTGTTTGGAGATTATCTCTGCAGGCAAGACCCTACCGACGCTGACACAGCAATCACGTTCAATGGCGCCGACAGCCAGCGCTATGGGTACTCCGTGTACCGAATCGGCTGTACCCTACCCACACCAGACGCAAGTAACTCCCAGGTCTGTATGGGGCCTTTATGCTGGTCGTGCGCAACGTGTTGTTTCCATGCATGCGGTTAAACACGTGTCTCCTACATGCTCGCAGCCCGCTATTGGTACGGCGGGTAATTTCAATGCTACCGTCCACTTCGAAGCGAGTATGTTCGGTGGCATGCCGCTGACCCTGCTTTCGTCGTACATGTACGACACGAAAGGCCAGCCGTACCACTTCCAGCTCTACCCGGAGGTCTCCAGCATCTCCCCAGCTATCGGCTCCATTGCTGGTGGTACTCTGGTTCAGATTACTGGGCGCGGCTTTCCCACGTCGGCCCTGGGCCTCAGCGATGCGGTTAACGTATCCATTGCGGGAGTGCCATGCATCATTGTGAACAGCACTTATGACACGGTGTTTTGCGTCACGGGACCTAAGGCCGCCGCAGCGTCCTCCTCTGCCACGCCTATTGGAGGCCTCTACACAGCCATGCGAGGCCTGGAGTACGAGTTCTATAATATTTCAAGCACCCTCTACTTCAGCCAGCTGTGGAGGCTCAACAAGACAATATTTCTGAACAACACAGCTGGGACGGGTTCGTACAAAACCGTGCTGACAAGCGTAGCTGAAGGCCCTGACTACACGAAATCGTACTACTGCAGCCGCATGAAGGCCTTTTTCACAGCGCCACACACGGGAAACTACAGGTGCGCCTTGGTACAACCATTTTCCGTATTCTCGCACGTGCCCTTGCATGGTCGGCTTGCTACGGTTTGCAGCATGCTGTCCTGGGAAACGGCAAACCTCATCTGGGTCGTCGCCAGTGCCGGTGCGGCCAGAGCGATACGCTAGGGGGGCTCCGTACACCTTCTTTTGCACTGTTTCCGTCACGACTTAATGCGGCACGCTACCATTGCAGTAAGAGGACGGAGGCCCGCCGGGCCTTGTGCGGCAAGGGTGCACGTTGCGTTACGCTTCCGTTTTCTTCCTTTCGTCCCTCTACCCCACAGGTTCTACATGCAGGCGGACGACTATGGACAGCTGAATGGCACATGGCGGCAGGTGGGTGCGGCCGGATCCTTCGCATATAGTTTTGTTGGCCCTGTGCCTGTGCCCCGGTGCATTGCTGTCTTCTCGAGTCCTGGTTTCGTCGTTATGTTCGTCCGAAGAGCATTCCGCCTAAGGAAGGCCTAATGGCTGTCAGTTGCACCCAGTTGCTATGCATTAGCGGATTTGGCGCAATGCGACCCAGCCGCTTCACTGCCTTTCCCGCATCTCCGTCTCTGAAGGCTAGATCTGTATCGTTCATGAACCCCCCTTTGCCTTTCCTTTCCTTCCAACCGCGCAGAGCAACGGCATTGAAGTAACCCAGATGCTGATCAACCTCACCACCTGGACCCCGGTCGACACCTGGTTCATGCGCTCGATCCAGGTCTCCCCACCGGTTAATCTTGCAGCCAACCAGCGTATCCTGCTGGAGTCGTCCCACTGTAACGGGCCCAGCGTTGGCAACCAGCAGATTGGTGTGCAGATGCCTGTTCCCCAGCCACAGGCAAACTCCATGGCGGAGATCCAGAAGGTGACCGTGACGTCAAGCTTTGCTCCACATCAGCTGTACATCAAGTACATGTACGGTGCCGGCGACAACACCACCGCCTACACAGTTACCGTGGCTGTGGATGATGATTCCAAGCTGAACAATTCGGCACTGGGGCTGCAGCTCACCTTCAATGGAGGGTCACCAACCGTCGTGCTGCCGGTCACTGCGACTGGCGCTGCGATGAGCGGCCTCATCGAGGCTGGGTTTGGCGGCAAGAACTCGCTGGGTAGCACCTCGGGTCTCTTTGGCGTCCGCAAGACCCGGTCGGAGGGCACGTTGACCCTAGAAATCGGCATGAGTTCGAGTCTGGCTGATGCCATTGGCTTTGAGGTCACGCTGGCACGCGCCGTCACCATCTTCACCAGCAACTTCACCCCAACGGCATGCAGCGATAATTACACCCTGGTAAACGCGCAGCCGTCGGCCTCGCCGTCAGTTACGGATGTTACAGACGGTGTCCTTGTCATCATCGCCCCCACTCTGCCGGTACCTGCCGTACTTCCTGGTGGCTTCTTCCAGCTTGGCCTGACTACCACAACAGACCCCTTGGTCCTGTCGTACGACACCAACGCGACCGTGATGTATAACGCCATACGAAACCTAACGGGCCTGGACACTACAATCACCTTAAACAGCATGTGGCGTGAGGGCACCTACTTTGCCCGTGTCTGGGTAATTACTTTTGCCGTGTCACTCCTTGACAACGTGCCAGCTCTGGTTGTCAGCCCTTATGGCGATACCCCGACGGGAGTCATCCTCACCACCGAAGTTCGCCCTGCAAACCCAGCGTTGACCGGCCACTTCGCATTGTCGTATGGCGACAGCTGCGAATCCGTAAACATCAGTTTAACAGATACTTCGGAGGCAGTGCGCTTAAAACTGGCCAACTTACCGTACATGGCTGCCCCGCAGAGTGTGGACGTAACTGGCAGTTCGACCTATGGCTACACGTACACCATTACCTTTGATCCGATCCGCAACCCTGGTGACCAGCCACCGCTGCGCGTAGCCGACATCAGCGGCCTGCAGGGCACCCTACCAACGGTCACCGTCTCGACCGTTAGGAACGGCTCCACTGACGCCTTCTATGCGCCCATCACCACCGAGTTCTTGAAGCTCGCAGTTGCGACTCCTGGGACTATTGACTTGTCGGTCAACGGCGTGCCGGCTGCCTGCGTGCACCCTTCTGGCCTTTGCAAGTTCGACTATGCCGCAGCAGCCACGCCGTTGATTACGTCAGTGACGCCCACCACCATGTCTTTTGTCAGCGACACCAGCCTGCCGCTGACAATTACCGGCAGCGGCTTCGACGGTGGCTCAGGCGTGGATGTCATGGTTGGGAACACGGAATGTGCTATCAACACTTTATCCGCGACCCAAATCGTCTGCTCTCTGCCTGACAGTGTACCTGCGGGCGTCCGGCTGGTTACCGTCAATGTTGGAGGCCTGGGCTTCGCGCAGGGCTCTATCAATATAACGGTGGAGACGTTGTACGTGACGGGTTCTTCACCTGCATCCCTGTCAGTCTCCAGCAGCGGCTTGTCCGTGGTCAAGTTCCAAGGCAAGGGGTTTGACCGCGTTAACTGCGCCAACAACAAGGTACTCATTGGCGACGTGCAGTGCGGTGTAGCGGATTGCGGTGCTGACTACATAACTGTTATCTATCCTGGCAACGGCGGAACCAACGTGGCGGCGGCCAACGTCACCGCCCAGGTCTACGAGCGGAGCAGCCTCATTGACCAAGACATCCCTGACAGCGTTAAGGTTCGGGTCTCCGGGACTGCGCCCATGATTACCGGCATCACCAGTTCGTCAAGCATGCCTGCCTCGGGAGGCCTGGTCTCCGTGGACCTCGCAGGAATTGCACAAGGCAGCAGCGTGACTTCCATGTATTTGCTGCCCTACGTGCCATCGTACACCAACTACACAGCGCTGTCTGCAGCCTTTGCGGGCCGTACGACCTGCGACGACATGGTGGTGGCAGCGGATGGCTCCAGCGCTGCCTGCAACAGCACTGCCATGCCTAGTGGCAGGTACCATGTGCTGGTGGTCATGTCGTCTGGTCTGCAGCTACTCTCCGGCGATACCGTCGTGTACGATCTGTTCATGACCAGCGTCTCACCCAGCTTGGGCAGCATCGGTGGTGGCACCCTCCTCGTCATCACAGGTGGAGGCTTTAGCACTGTGGTATCAGAAAACGTGGTCTTCCTATCAGTACCCGTGTCCACCACCTTCATCAACGGTCTTGTCGAGTGCATCGGTGTGGCCGTTACACCAACGCAGCTTACTTGCCGTACACAGCCCCATTTAGCCACGAACGCTGATGCGGATGACCCCAACGCAAAGGACGTTATGCCAGTTGCTACAGCGCCAGCGCCTGTGGTTGTCGTACTTTGCAACGCCAACTATAATACCACTCTCCTGCGCCAGTATTGCTGGTCACTGCAATCCACGGCGCACTCACGATGCGTTGGGGGCCCATGCACTTACGGGTGAGTTTTTCGCACTTGTATGCCACGCGGGCAAAGGGTGGCCTGCCTAACTAGCCAGCGCGTCACAGGTTCTGGCCATGCGGTTCACACGGAGTCCCGTACATGTTCATCTGTTGTGCGTGAAAAGCGCTTTCTTTGCGTGTTTCCGAGAGCAGAGCCGATTGTGTACAATGCTAGAGTCATGCCGTGCCATGCAATTATGTTGCATACATACCCGCTTGTGCGCTCTCGTCCCGTGCTAAGTCCCTGCCGTTGCAACCCTGGTGTGCCGCTGTACATGCAGTTATGACACGGCGCTCACCCCTGCCGTTGCGGGCATTTCGCCGAGTCGTGGCTTTGGCGGATCCACCGTTGCTGTGTCTGGCGTCAACCTCCAAGACATCACCGTGGTCGAGTTCATGCAGGGCGGCGTAGTGAGGGGCGTCGGGAGGGACGTAGCAGCCTTTATCGACACAAGCGCAGGCACCTCGTACGGCGGCCACATTACCTGCGTCGCGCCTGACCTACCGGCCGGGGTCTACACCATTCGGTTGAAGAAGGCCAATGGCGAGATGTCCGTGGATCCTCTTGGCGTAGGTGTCTTTACCTACACCGCCACCATCGCCGCCTTGTCAGGCAATGCTGGCTCTCTTGCGGGCGGTTTGCCGCTAGTGGTAACAGTCGGCGGCACGGGGCTTGCCACTGGCAATGCTACAGCCAACACGGTGACAATCTCCGGGTTACCCTGCCCTGTTTTGTCCATGGATAACGCTACGCAGCTTACGTGCCTTGCACCCGGTATCAACGGCTACGTTTATGCGGAGTACTGGAATTTGGCTGTAAACACCTTCTCCATGCCCAACGTCCTCTCCTTCTCGAAACCAGGTGCGCATCCGGCTCATTAGTAGGAGTGTTTGGCAGTGGGCACGTTGGCATTCGGGATTGCATTCGCATATATGAACATTGCCCAGTTGCCTGTGTATGGGATCTGCGTTGTCATGTGGCTGTTGGGTTACCGGTATGCAGCTTCACCTGGCCCTCATCGCGTGTACCCCATGCAGATCTGGCCCGCCTTGAAAAGGGCATAGCCTTTGAGTGGACTAATGGCTCGCCTTTGCTAGGAACCATACAGGCGGACTACTTTGCTGCGCGCTATACCTTCTACCTGCAGGTATGGGGTGTTAGCCGGGTCCTTGGCAGCGTTGGACTGCCGTTTCCTTAGCAATGCCATAACTGGATTCATCACTTTGCTCATCTTACGCACAAAGCACTCTACGTACGGCCGGGGTGAGTAAACGTTTGGCCAATCATTGAATCCTTCTTGGCCGCCTGCCATGTGGTTTACCATCACTTTTGGATGTAGAGACCCATGGGTCAGCTACGTGTTGCACACGTCAGATCACCTCTAATCCTTTAACGTTTTGCCTCTTGATATAAGCATACATGCATGCACATTCCGCTCCACTAATCATTAACGCTCTGCGCATTTCTTGGTTTGTTTCTGCCCTGCTTCCTTGCAGATCGACCAACCCGAAAACGTCACATTCCTGGTCTCTGCTGACGACGCTGCACGCTTATACATCGATGACGTCCTTCTGGGATCCCAAGGCGCGTACCTCAACACCCTCCTCACGGTTGGTGTCCACAAGGTTGTGGTCACCTACACCGAGTACGCCGGTTATGCCAGCGTGAAGCTCTCGTCAGCCGTCGTCACGGGTAGCGGTGCCCTCACGTTCTCTGCCTTAGAGTGGCAGAAGGTCACACCTTTCCCTCCGGGAGTGGCACTCCCAGTGGTACTCACGGTTAACGGAGTGGCCGCGGATCCGGACTGCCCCATCACCCCTCTCACGCTACGGCTCCCCAACCAGCCGCAGTTGCCCGCTGAGCCAGCCCAAGTGACGCTGCCACAGGGCGCGTGCGCTTATGTCTACACCTCGTACCGCACGCCCACGCTTACTGCGGTCAGGCCGACTCCCGTAAGCGGCTTGACTCAGCCATCTTTCATCGGGCTGAACACCGCAATCAGCATCTATGGAAACTTCCTCGTGGATCCTAGTTCTGGTGCGGGCCAGATCAGCGTCACCATTGCCAACCAGTCGTGCGCGATTACTGACTTCGCCATGTTCAATGCTACTACCAACACGACGCGAATCACCTGTACGGCACCTGCCGTACCTGCGGGAACGTGGCCGGTACGTATTGCCGTGGCTGACCTAGGGCTAACGCGCCCAACCGCATCAGCGACGACCGACATGCCCGTCATCACCTACTCCCTGAAGGTTGTGACCTACAACAGCCCGTCCCTTTCGTCTCCAATTACGAACTGCCAGTTCTCCATGTTTGGCGGCGGCACGCTGAACATCAGCGGCTACGGCTTCGTGCGGGGCTTGGTGGACTCCGCCCTTCAGCGCAACATGACTGCCTTGTGGGACAGCACCACGTGCACCTCCACCAGCACCAGCACGCCCACGTGTGAAGCAGCCACTAGCGGGCGCCTCAACCTTACTGCGGCAGCGTGCGATGGGCCCACAGCGGTGTTCCGGCTTTCACGCTTCACAACTACCAATCCACAAAGCTTTGCGGGTAACAACAGTGCAAAGGCTACCTTGCGCTACAAGCCGCGTGTCTACAGCACCGGTGTTACCCCGGCTACGTACGTGGAGACCCAGAGCGCTGAGCAGCTTCAGTTTTGCGGAGGCCGAACGCCAGCCCTTTCCAACATCTCACCTGCCACTGTGGCTCCTGACGTGGGTGCCGCCGGAGCCGCCACTCTTTCTCTGACGTGGTACCTGGCGGGCGTTGGCAGCAACAACAATACAATTATGGCCACCGCGGCAGGCTCTGCGAGCAATGCTACTGTGGAATTTGCCAGTGGGCCAACGCTGCTGCCTTGCTCGAGCCCGGTTGTCACCTCCTCAACGATTGGGGCATCAACTTACACGGAGTCCGTTTCCTGCACGTTGCCTGCATACATGCCGGCCTCCAATTACACTCTGTGGCTCTGCATCCAACCCTTTGGTTGCGGCTTTACGCCAGTGTACTCTGTACCCCTGACCGTCTCATCTGCTGGACCCAGTGTTGGTAGCAGTGCTGGCGGTATCCCCGTGACTATCACTGGAAAGGGTTTCGATACGAACGCCGCCCTCGTCTCCATTCGCTTCGGCAACAGCACGTGCCGTGTTGTCAGCAGCTCCCCTACCTCCGTTACTTGTGTCACCGGCGCGCTGGTCAGCAAGCCAGTCAGCCCCATCGTTGCGCCACTGTCCATTACACCCACCATTGGCGCCAGCGAGATCACCTACCCCGGCTTGACCTTCACGTTTGATCCTTCACTGGAGTCGACCCTGCTGTCCATCACCCCTGCACGTGGCTCGACGGAGGGCGGGACACCAGTTACCCTTAAGGGCAGCAACTTCCTCACGGGTGTGGCTACAACCGTTACCGTTGGCGAGACGGCCTGCGGTTCAGTCGTAGTGGTCAATGACACCACCATACAGTGTACGACGGGCAAGCCGCCATCCTCTGTCTTGCGTGTACCGCTACCAGTAACAGTGTACCAGGAGGGCCGGGGCAACGCACGCAGCTTGGCCTCCTACAAGTACATCGACCTGTGGAGCCGCAACAGCACTTGGGGAGGTGGAGCACTGCCCGGGTACGGGGACTCCGTCATGATCCCAAGCGGTGTGACGGTGCTGCTCGACATGAGCCCGCCCAAGCTCTATATGCTGGTGCTGGAGGGCAACCTGGAATTTGACGATACGCAGCCGTACATTAACCTGCAAGCTCACTATATCCTGGTGAAGGGCGGCAACTTCACCATTGGCTCCACGGACAAGCCGTACCCTGGTCGTGCTAACATCACGATGCATGGCTTGCCTGATAGCCTGGACCTGCCGATGTACGGTGCGAAGTCCTTGGGTGTGCGCCAAGGTGTTGTGACCTTCTTCGGCCAGCCTAAAGTTCCCGTTTACACCGTCCTTAATCGAACCGTGGACCCAGGCGCTACATCCATTACGGTCAACGGAATGGTCAACTGGCAGGTGTGTAGTATGCGTATGGGCGGTATCACTGGGGTGGGGCGGGTTATGGGGTTGATTTACGGGATATGAAGAGAACTGTCACGCTCAGTTTAGGGAAAGCCTGCTGATATGCCAGTACTGTTTTGAATGATGCACAATTGGGTTCCGGTGTACTGCGTTGTACACCTTCATAGCATACCTGCGCTTAGGATCCATCCTCTAAGCAAAGCATCCACATCATATCAAGCAACCAGTGTTTTCGGTGCTAGCCCTAAGTTTGCCATACCCTTGTCGTACCGTCTGCAGATTGGTGACAAGATTGTTATTGCCAGCAGCAGCTTTATGCCTGACGAGGTTGACGAGGCGGCCATCACTGGATTAGACAATGCTACCATCCCTGGCTGCACCATCATTAGCCTTGATACCCCGATGCAGTACACCCACCTGGGTGAAGTTCACAAGCAGGCCGGCGCGCCCACTCCTCTTGACATGCGCGCCGAAGTGGCAGTGCTGACACGTAATATCGTGCTGCAAGGAGATTACGACAGCGCCAAGTACATGTACGGCGTCCAAGTTATGGTTAACAGCCCTTCATACCTGCCACGGGCACTTGTTCGCTTCGACAATGTTGAAATCACGCAGTCGGGCCAGGCATTCCGGCTTGGCCGCTACTCCATGCATTGGCACATGCATGGCGACGTGGCTTTCCAGTCTTGGGTCCGCGGATGCTCCATTCACCACACCTACAACCGGGCTATCACCATCCACGGCACTCACCATGCGATCATCCAGAACACTGTGGCGTACAACACGATGGGCCACACGTTCTTCCTTGAGGTGCGTGGGCTTGTTGGGAAGCGGCGGTACCATGAAGGCTATGTGGGTTTGATGAGGACAATCTGCGGTTTGATTGATAGGAATGCTTTCATGCACGCTGTACGGTGTGCCTTTCCTCGCCTTTTGCACATGCATGCAATGGCCGCTTGGTTGCACTCGTGATGAGGACCTTCTCGTCATCCTTCTCGCAGGATGGAATCGAATCGGGCAACTTGATTGAGAACAACATCGCCATATATGGCAAGGCCTCAGATGCGCTGCTCATTTCGGACACCACTCCCGCCCAGTACTGGATTACCAACCCTAACAACACTGTGCGCAACAATGTGGCTACGGGTTCCGAGGCGTACGGCTACTGGTACCGCATGCTGGTAAGTTGGTTGTGTGCCTGCGGATTGTCGCCTAGAGCCACACAGCAAACGCAGACGACAACTGTTCTGGCTCGCGGCCTGAGTGCGCCTTTGTGCGGGGAACTCTTGCGGCCAACCCATGCCGAGTGTTAGCTTTCCGGACGCCTAACGTAAGGCGCCGTTGTTTTCCTCCTGCCCTACAGGATAACCCTGACGGCCCATCAACAACCACGACGGTCTGCCCGAAGTTCACCCCTCTCCTGGAATTCACCAACAACACAGCTCACTCCAACCAGTTCTACGGTTTCCGTATACATCCCGAGTACTACCCAAGGAACGTTCCATGCAACGCTTTTTCGTCGCCCTTTTCACAGCAGCCCGCTGTGTTCAGAGGCTTCAGGGCATACAAGAACGGCGTCAAGGGTTTCATTGGCACCCAGGTACGTTTCACTCGTACCCGTGGTACAGCGGGTCCCCTTTCTGCGTCACGGCGACCCGTTATTGCAGTATGGGGCAGCCTGCAAAGGCATGCTGTTTGCCTGCATGTCTTCTACATACGCGTTACTGGCTTACCGGTAATCCAGTCAAACCCATCCTCGCTGAGCGTCCTAGGCCGCTTCGTGTCGTGGTTTAGACCTGATTGCATTAGTAATGGTTCGATTGGCCTTAACATGCGCACCCTTGCTGCGACCCTTAACGCCTGTCATGCACGCAGATGGGGTTGGTTCAGCTCGTCGACGTGGTTATGGGCGACAACGGTGGGGGCCCCAGGTCACATATTATCAGCGGCAAGGACAACGGCGCCAACTGGGAGATCTCCTGGGTCACTGACGACCGCGACCGTTATGATGTCGCACTAACCCAGATGGCCGGCCTCTTCAACGCCACTCTATACGCACGCACCACGACGGGCATGCATGGTACCGCTGGCCAGTGGCCCTCAGATCGCCGCATCACCGGCATCATCGCACAGAGTCCTGTCCTGGGCGACTCCAAGCACTCGGCGCTCATGACCGTAGCCAACGTAACCTTTGTGGACTACACCCCCAGCACCGGTGCCAACATTTACGCTCTGGAGCACTGCGGCAAGTGCAAGGCCTTCCAGGGCGGTGCCACTTGCTTCACGTCCAACCTGACGTTCGTCTCCGCGGATGGCAGCCGGCCGGCCCTATCCAACTGGACTTGGGGCCACCAAGGCATCTTCCTGGACACGGATGGCTCGCTCATCAACAACTATACGCTGCCTTTGGAGCTGCTGCCGGGCGCGGCCGCCAACTGGACGTACGGACCTGGGGCCACTTTGCATTCAGCCGTGGACAACGAGCTGTTTGATCCCTCGGAGTGTTTCTACATGCCCAACACGAGTGCGAGCCCCAATGGCGTTTACTGCAGCCCTGCCTTAACCTTCCGTCGTGTGATGCTGAATGATCACCAGCCCGAGGTATGTGCGGTTTAGCGTTACCGGGGCCAAGGCATGGGATCGGTATATGTGATGGTGCGGGTGCCTAGTGTAACCCTGATGTGAATGCCTAGGATAGTCCTACATTGCTGAGCCTTAGAGTACCTAGGGTATCCTAGCAGACTATGGACACGCTCATTCTTTGCCATATGGCACGTGCGCAGGTGCTTACGGCCAAGAATCTTGTAGTGGTGTCACTGGCTACCAACCGCTCCTCAAGGGTTCACCAAACTCACTACAACGAGGATGGCTACCAGTTTACGGTTGCAACCGGGCGGGACTACTGGTTGCAATGGGACATGCCGTACCGTCTCGATCCAGTGAGCTACACGTAAGTGCACGTGGTGGAGGAGTTATCAGGAGGCTTACAGGGTAGCTAGTTCAACCGCATGCGCGATCCTTAATACCTTCGGGCACCTGAGTTCTGAAACGGTGAATGCCTCTTGTTAGTCGCACCGCTGTTTGCTTCCTTAGCATGCAACCGTTACATGGGATGTGCGTGGATGTTGCCCTGGGCTTGTCTGCTGCTAAATGCGAATCCCTGCGGTGCTTATCCCTCTGCAGGCTTCACAAAATGGACTTGATGGACGTCCCGCACTTCGTCCACCTGACCAACAAGATTGTCCAGGTTGAGGACCACTTCACAGTTAACGGCCAGTACTCCAATCTGACAAGCCTGCCTGCTCCTTTTCCCAACACGACCCATGGGTCGTTCTACTACAACAAGTCCCTGGCCGTTAACAGTTGGTGGTGGGGCAACACCACGTACAACGACACCAAGTTTACGGTGTTCGTGGCCGGTCGCAGTGACAAGTCCCTGCAAATCGCCTCCTTTGCTTGCCCGGACGGCGGTTGCTCGGAAGTTCCTGATACAGTTGTGGACATCCGCGCCGGCACCCTCCTTTGGTCTGATGCGTCGACCTGGACCAGCCGTGGCAACAAGCCCAAGGAGGGTGAAAACGTTACCATCCCCTACGGCTGGGACCTTATCATTGATGAGTCCCCACCGCTGCTGCAGCTGTTGGTCATCCAGGGCAGTGTGCGGTTCGATCCAACGAAGAACATCACGCTCACGGCGACCTACATTGTGGTCATGGGGCAGGGATCACTTCGTGCAGGCAACGCCTCCACGCCCCACCCAACCGTGGCTACTATCGTGCTCAACGGTACTCGCGACAACCCGGACCTCGCCATCGATAAGAACCTTAACTTGGGTTCCAAGGTGCTTGCGGCGATTTCTGGTGGCACTATCGAATTGTTCGGTCGCCAGGTACGGAGTGGGTGCTGGATTGGTTTGCTGCTCGTGCACAGCATGCGTGCATTGAATGTCAGTAGTGCGGTGCCCACGGCGGGGCTTCCTTGTGCGGGTTATCTTAGCCATACCCATCGACACGCCGTTAATGCTTTAAACTAATTGCTGATACTGATACATAGTTAATTTGCATGAGGAGAGGCCATGACCTGTCTAGGGCACGGGGCCTGTGAATATGGGGGTCCCTCATGCTTTGTCCGCTGTAAACGCTAGCCCAGCTACCCTTTGCTGTGTACGGGAGCATGGGGCAAACATTCCTACCTCACGACCTGCGCCGTGCTGGTGAACGTAATACCGTACCTCCCATCGGCATGCCGTGTACAGGTTCAGCAACGTTGGACTCGCCTCAATACCCCCGCGGTACCCAACGACACCAGCATCACCGTCTCCAACCCTAACCACGGCTGGCGTGTGGGCGACAAGGTCCTCATTGCCTCCACCAGCTACAACGTATGGCAGACCGAGATCCGCAGCATCACCGCCATCCTAGGAAACGGCGCCACGCTTCAGTTGGACTCCCCGCTTCGCTATCCGCACGGCGCGGTGCTGAAAGCCTATCCCGGCGGCCCAACAGTGGACATGCGTGCCGAGGTTGGCCTGTTATCGTCAAACATCTTGATCACTGCCATTGACGGGCCTTCAACACACGCCTTTGCTGGCGAGTACTTTGGCGCTCGCATGGTGGTGTCTGGCAACTCGACAGGCCGCTTCAACAACATCGCAATGGAGTACTGCGGCCAAGCGGGCCTGACCGATCGTGCATGTGTCTTCTTCGACCGCCTTGCCAGTGTGCGTGTCAGCCAGGACAACAGCTCGGACTCTGGCGCCGGTAGCCTTGACGCGCTCGTGTCGAACCCCAGCTTCCTGCGCAGCAGTGCTCTGGTATGGGGCCTATACACCAACGTGCGTGTGGGTGGAGTCCCAAAGACCGCAGATCCTGTCGAAGTCTCCGGCAACGTCATGTTTGAGGCGTACGACATGCATAGCGTGGATGTGGATACGACGTAAGTCCTTCTAATTAGGATGGTGGGTCTTGTGTATGTCGCATTGGGTCATGTTGTAACCTCTTTGCTGTTGCAGTGTCTCTAGCAGGCGCTTGCTGCCGTAGTAGGGTCTAACTGCTACTTCACCTGACATTGCCATGTCTATACACTACCTACCCTGCCCCCAGCAACAACACGATACGCGGCAACCTGGTTCTTGGGACCATCAAGGAAATGGGAGGGAAGAGCACTAGCGACACCTTCCAGGTGGCGACATTCAACATCCTCTCCCCCGCCAACTGGGTTGAGGACAACGTTGCTGGCGGCTCTGAGCGCTACGGCTATACCTACTACGGCACTCCTTGCAGCGCGTCCTTCTTGGCAGGCTCCTTCCGCAACAACACGGCGCACTCGTCCTTGGCGGGCATGTGGCTGCGCGCAAGCAACGAGTCACTGCTGGATGGCTGTACGGCTGTACGGAACTTCACGACGTACATGAACTGGGGTAAGTATAATTCTCATTGGACCGCCAGGGAGAAGCGGCTTCTAGCTAGTGCACCGTAAGCATGTGATTAAGTCATGTGATAAGAAGGACAGCTTCGATTTGCACCAAGGGTTTTGCGCGGGATGTGGCCTGCTAAGGTTAACATGCGTTGCCAAAATGTTGTGACCCATGGGTCACCGGTTGTGCGTCAGCCTGCGGTTGTCTTACACTTGGCACCAAATATGGTCAGCTATCTTCCTGTGCTGCGCTGTGTACTGTGAGCGGCATTCCCCGTGCCGCCGTACGACATTGGACAACGAATGCTACGACTAGACATTTGTCACCACTTTCCCGTTGCGCCCATTGGCAGACTTCGGCATTATCTCCATACGCGGCATCGCCACGGACGTCTTGCTTGAGAACGTCAATGTCTTGGACAACAAGCATGCTGGAGTAACTATCTTGCGCCTCGGCAATGCGATTACGGACGTCGCTAGCGCCCGGTGGCAAGGGGGCCTGCTAGCGGGGCAGTCGAGTCCCGACGTTTGCTCCGCCTGTGCTACCCTCTCCGATGTTGGCTGCCACAAGAAGCTTTCTCTCATGTCGTACAACCAGGATACGCCTTTTACTCCGGCTGTGGGCCTACAGTCAGCTCAGTTCAACCTCTTCTTCGCCGATGGCCCTGAGCGGAAGCCGTACGACATGGCCAAGGGCTACCCCCTTGTCCACGTAAGTTGGCACGCCAGGATAGTGGTAACGGGTCGGGTTGCTTGGACGCATGTCGCTGACCCTAGGACCTGGAATGCTTACTTTTTGCATGTGCATCATACGTGTCCCGTAAAAGGAGGCGTGAAAGGTTTGTTCCTTACTGCATCATGGCGCCTCACTTTATCTGCAGTTGGCCGTTAAGGCTTTACCTTTGAACCTTCTGCAGGGTATGTTCAACGTCTCCGGCGTCACCCTGGCCGACTTTTACGGGAAGGATGGTTGCGGCGGCTCAGCTGTAGGCACGTACGCCCTGAGCAACCACCAGCTCGGATACGACGTCTTCTACCCTCACCTCTTTTCCAACATGAACATCGTCAATGTGTCCACAGGGTATGTGCAGGTGGCGTGATAAGGGGCATAAACAGTTAGGGGCCACAACTAGGGGACGGCTTGTCAGCTCTAACCTTGCTTCCATCACCTTTCCCATGAGATCCTCACAATTTCCCACCTGCCCTCGCAGGGCATCGCAAGGCCTGGTGTTTCACAATCCCGCTGATCCCAACTGGCGCAACGAACGCGACTGTTACGACATTGACTACACGCGCCCCGACGGCAGCGTCATTCCCCTCAACTGCGCGGGCCCTAAGCACGTGTACTGGCGCGACCTTGACGGGTCGCTCTTTGGTAACCTTGCTGCAACTAGCACCATTGCGGGCGCCTTCCATAGTGGTCCCCGCACCTTCCCCATGGACCAGGGCACCCCCGTGCTCCCCGGCCCGTGCACCTACTCGTCCGTCCTAAAGGCCTACAGCTGCATAAAGGGTTCGACGAGCTTCTTGTTGGACGAGAGGCTTAAGCCCAACCCCATTCCTGCAACTGGTATCTTTGGCGACCCGCAGCATTTTGTGCTGGAGAGCCGTGACAAGGACGCTGAGACTCGGAACTTCAGCCCAGTCTTCTTCAACGTGTCAGGCTCAATCGACTTGGGTGTACCAACTAGGGACTACGGCTGCTGCTTTTCCTACGGTTGCCAGAAGCGGCTGTCGACGTTCTGGACGTATCTCCCTAGCGGTCAGACGGTGTACATCACCTTCCAGGGCACCCCGGCTCAGAACTTCCGGCTTTGGTTCCCATACGCGGATCCGGACAAGGAGATTGTTGTCGTCATCAACTATGTACATACGGTCAACCGCCGATATGTGTATCTGGCCCCTGGGAGTGGCCCTTACTCTGGCCGGGTGGCGCCGCAGAACGAACCGGTCAGGATTGGCGATGGCTTGGGCCATGGTGCCTATTACTGGGACCAGAACAACACCCTGCTGTACGTCAAGCTGATGGGCGGCATGTCGCTGGAGATCAGGACGGAGAGCGCTGTGCTGGTGAGTGCTGGAGTTCAGGGTTTCTCATATGACACCGGCAGGTAGCATCTTGTAGCCGGATTCCGTAAAAAATGGCTGTACAAGGGGTTGGGATTGCGCTGCTGCGAGTCCGGTATACGTGCTGTACGGCCCTTCGCCTACGAGGAGACCGGGTAAAGTAGAGAACTTGGTAATTTAAAGCCCCTGCCTTTGGCATTGCATGCCAAAACCCGTACCTCCCAACCACCAAACAATGCCCGTCCGCTCCTTTGCCCTTGCAGATTTCCCAGTCGTTTGCGCTCACTGTCGACCAGTTCTACTCCACCGCGGCGTTGTTCCTAGCCAACCTCGCAAATGTCATGGGTGTCGACCTGAGCCGTCTCTACATTGCCAAGATTGTCCCGGGCTCCTCCATGGTGACAACCGGCATCACCCCGCCCACTACGTACACGGAGCCGCTGGCTGAGGCGAGCTTCTCACAGGGCACTGACCCTGGCGACCCGCTTCCGCCATCCGAACCGGCCTCGTCCCCGCCTCCTCCAGCGTCCTACAGCAATACGGTATTGGCGGACCTGGTCAGCGCTGTGGTTGCCTACAACAGGGCAGTGTCGGACCCTGATGCCGCTTCCACCCTGGGAGTCGCCCCGCTTGGGCCCCCAGTTACGGACGTCAGCGGCTTGTCTGGTGTAGACGCAACCCTGGCAGCAGCTGTTTCGCAGTCACTGGAAGTGGCAGGTATCAAGGTTACGGACACGAGTACCACTACAGCATCACCGCCGCCTTCGTCTCCACCACCACCACCATCTCCTTCTGAAGTGCCGCTCCCTCCGTCGCCTGCCCCACCAAGCCCGAGCATGACCCTCTATTGGTCTGATGTGCTCACCTGGACCACCTTGGGCGGCAAGCCTACTGAGGGTGATAACGTCACTATTCCCTACGGTTGGGACCTCGTCATCGATGAGTCTCCCCCGCCCCTCCAAGTGCTCACCATCCTCGGCAACGTGCGCTTTGACCCCACCCAAGACATCACGCTCATTGCGACACACATTCTTGTCATGGGCAAGGGTGCGCTGCGTGCTGGCACCCCATCAGCCCCGCACCCGTCATTGGTCAACATACAGCTCAACGGCTCCCGTGACATCCCGGTAATGACGATTGAGGGCAGCTTGCTGGGCTCCAAGACGCTGGCTGCCATCCTTGGTGGCACCATTGACCTGCACGGACGCCAGGTGGGCCCCAAGCACAGCGATAGCGTGGGACAGAGTGATGGGTTGGGGCAGCTTGGGCATTCTCGTACAGTAAGGTCGTGATACGGTTGTATGGCCGACGTCACATGATTGTAGCCAAGACCTCTTGACATGAAAGCACGGGTCAGCCATGAAAGCTGCATGTAACGCACTGACAACTTTCCTGCTTTACTTCTCAGGTTGGCCAGCGTTGGACCCGCCTCAACACCCCTGCTCTACCTGATGACACCAGCATCACCGTCTCCAACCCTAACCACGGCTGGCGTGTGGGCGACAAGGTCCTCATTGCCTCCACCACCTACAACGTGTGGCAGACCGAGATCCGCAGCATCACAGCCATCCTAGACGACGACGTAACGCTCCAGCTTGACTCTCCACTGCTGTACCCGCACGGCGCGGTGCTGAAGGCCTATCCCGACGGCCCGACAGTGGACATGCGTGCCGAGGTCGGCCTGCTGTCATCCACGGTCACCATCACAGGCCGCAATGATTCCATGTCAGAAGCGTTCAGCAGCGACTTGTATGGGGCGCGCGTGGTGGTGTCCGGCAACTCAGTCGCTCGCTTCAGCGGTGTCACCTTGGACTATTGTGGTCAGGCGGGCGCAGCGGACCGCGCTTGCATCCTGTTTGACCAGCTGGGCAACGTCCGTGCAGCGTCGATCGATAGCGCTGCGAATGCGAACACGCTCATCCGCAACCCTAGCATACTCCGTAACTGCGCCCTGGTATGGGGTGTGAACAGCAACGTGCGTGTTACTGGCGGCGCCAACTCGGATTCCGTTGACATCTCGGGCAACGTCCTCTTTGTATCGTACGACAGCCACAGCGTGGACATCGCTACAAGGTGAGCTCATAAGCAAGGTCGCGTGAACGTTGATGGGGGCACGTAGCCATCTGTGGCGGATTGAACTTGGGCTGATGTTGAACGTTAGCCTAGTACGACAGGGGCCCATATGCGGCCCATTTTCGAGCGGCCTGGCATGATGCCCTTGCTGTCGGGTTATATCCCTCCATCCGTCGCCTCTCGCAGCAACAACACCGTCAAGGGCAACCTGGTCCTCGGAACCATGAAGGAGATGAGCGGCAACCACTCGGCTGATGTGGCAATGCCTTCATCCTTCAACATCCTCTCCCCCGCCAACTGGGTTGAGGACAACGTTGCTGGCGGCTCTGAGCGCTACGGCTATACCTACTACGGCACTCCTTGCAGCGCGTCCTTCTTGGCAGGCTCCTTCCGCAACAACACGGCGCACTCGTGCTTGGCGGGCATGTGGCTGCGCGCAAGCAACGAGTCACTGCTGGATGGCTGTACGGCTGTACGGAACTTCACGACGTACATGAACTGGGGTGAGTTGGAGGCCTGCAATGCGTACATTGTGCCATCTGTAAACTCGATTCACAGTCTCCCTAACCTGAAAGACTAAGCCAATGAGCGTTGCTAAGGCCGTCTAGACGGGCGTCAATGACGGCCATCTATCAAACATGCTGGCACGCAGCATAAGGAAGGACGACACCCATTCTGATCCCAAGACCTGTTGTCCTTGCCCTCCTGCCCATGCAGACTTCGGTTTGATCTCCGCACGTGGAATACCCACTCACGTCCTGTTCCAAGACGTCAATGTGCTAGACGTGAAGCACTCGGGCGTCACAATCCTGCGTTCGGGCAGCATGTGGCAGCAGGCTAACGTGCGGTGGCACGGTGGCCTCTTGGCAGGCCAGTCCCACCCTGACGTGTGCTCCGCCTGCAGCAACCTGACGGATATGGGCTGCCACCCTAAGCCCTGCACCCAGTCCTTCAATATTAAGTCACCCTTCACGCCGGCTGTGGGCTTGCAGTCTGCCCAGTTCGCTCTGGGCTTCACGGTCGGCCCCGAGGCGCAGCCATGGGACGAGCCCACCGGTTATGCACTTGTCCACGTGAGTTTGGGCACGCATTGTTGAGTTGCATGTTCTTTCGCTCACGTGTACCAGAGCTCCCTTTGTCAACATGGGTTGTTTGGCGTTCCTCAGCTGCTATTGTTTTCCTGACACCCGGTGCTGGCTCCGCAGGGGAACTTCAACATCACCGGTGTGACACTGGCGGACTTCCCGGGACCCAACGGTTGTGGTGGCACCACTGCGGGAGCATATGCGCTGGCGAACCATCCGGCGGCCCCTGACGCCTTCCACCCGCACTTCTTCTCTGGCATGAACGTCGTGAACGTCGGCTCAGGGTACGTCTTTGACCAGGGGTTCCCAATAGGCATGTGTGCATTACGTTACCAGTATACGCCGCATACTCCCACAGCATCGATAGACAGCATCCTCGGTGCTACCACGTAACTCATCTGCTTTGTTTCCCTTCCCTACTCCCAGCAGTTCATCGCAAGGCCTGTTCTTGCACACCCCGCCCAACCCCACCTGGCGGACCGAGGCCAGATGCGGTGTTGCCAACTACACGCGCCCCGACGGCAGCAGCATACCTCTCAACTGTGCGGGTCCAGCACATGTGTACTGGCGCGACCTGGACGGATCGCTGCTCTCGGATGTGGGCGCCATTGCCGGCATCTTCGCAGCAGGGCCCCGCACCTTCCCCATGGATCAGGGCACTCCCGTGCTCCCCGGCCCGTGCAGCTACTCAGCTGAGTACATGTCGTACAACTGTACGGTTGGTTCGTCTGCATTCCTGCTGGACGAACAGCTGAAGCCCAGCCCTATACCTACGAGTGGCATCTTTGGCGACCCGCAGCATTTCGTGCTGGAGAGCCGTGACAATGATACCGAGTCGAGGAACTGCGGTCCAGTTCTCTTCAATGTATCCGGCTCAATCGATCTGGTAACATCATCAATGAACCGCGGGTCATGCGTTGCCAACAGCACCTGTGTGAAGCGGCTGTCAACATTCTGGACGTACCTTCCTAGCGGTCAGACCGTCTATGTCAACTTCACAGGCACTCCGCCGCGCAGCCTCCGGATGTGGTATCCGTATGCTGATCCAGGCACGGAGCTGGTGGTTGTACTAAACTATCCTACCGCAAGGAACCGGAAGTACGTCTATGTGCCTTCTGGCAACGGCAACGCCACTGGCGGCATGACAGGGGAGGCGCAGCCGGTCAGCATTGGTGATGGTACTGGCCATGGCGCCAACTACTGGGATGGGGACAGCGCGCAGCTGTACGTCAAGGTCACGGGCGGCAAGTCGCTCGAGGTTCGGACAGAGAGCGCTTTACTGGTGAGTGGGGCACGATGAGGAACAGGCCTGGGGAGAACGGCATCAGACGTAGTCGGGGAACATACAACATAACAGCTCGGGAGTCGGGTGAAGACTCAACACAGTGGCTTGAAAGGGAATAACTCAGCTTCATGTGCCCAGCACCGCAGGTGTCTTACACTACCTAGTTCCTATAGGCTTGCACTTTTGTTTCTAAGTATGCAATGCAGATGGACGTTGCTTAAAGGTGGCCCGTCTCTCGTTCTTCCATGTTATCATACAGGTTTCCCAAGCTTTCACGCTCACAGTGGACCAGTTCTATGCAACGTCGGCGTCATTCCTCACCAACCTCGCCGCCGCTATGGGCATAGACGCTAGGCGCATGTACATAACCAAGGTCGTGCCGGGATCGACGGTGGTTACCACCAGCATTGGTGCCGCCCCGTCCAGCGCGGGAGATCTGCCCGAGCCCGCCTTCTCGGCCGCTGTGTCGCCCTCGCCTTCTCGCCGTCTCGCAGCGTCCACAAGCAATGAGGCTACCGACCTCTATAACGCGGTTCTTGCGTTCCAGGTGGCGATGTCTAACTCGGCAGCCGCGTCCACGCTTGGCGTCACTCCGCTGGGTTCATTCTCTGTGGATATTGGCCTGCTCAGCAGTACAGACACCACTCTGGCCCAGGCGGTCTCTCAGTACCTGTCCAGTGCCGGAATAACCGTCGTGGATTCCAGCCAGCCATCTTCCGAGGCCAAGTCAACTGACTCAACCCCGCCGCCTCCGTCGCCTACCGTATCGCCATCTCTGCCCACCGATGCTCTACCGAACATCGCCCCTGCTGCATCTCCTGGCACTGCTGATGGTTCCACCCCTACCAACACTGACGGCAGCGGTGGCTCCCCACCCTCGACAACAACCTCGCCGTCCCCGTCGCCATCAGGTGGCTCCTCCAGTACGAACTATACCCCCATCATTGCTGGCGTTGTCATTGCTTGTGCTGTTGTTGGCATGATGATTGCAGCTGCCGTCATCGTCGTCAAGCGCCGCAGTACCAAGCGCACGCACCCGGAGCCGCCGAGCGAGGTCCAACCACCGCCTGGCACTGAGATCGCGACATCCCCACGTGGCAGTGGCGGCAGCGCCAGCAGCAACGTGCGCGAGGCTTTCATGACAACCAGCCCTGCCAAACAGCAACCCACTGAGCACGCGCAACTGCCAAGCACTGCACCAACGTCAGACCCACCGCCAGCCCCTGCGCCACTGCAGCAGCCGGTCGATGTGGTTGTCAGCCCTGGTGCTGCTCCTGAAATGCCGCGCTCCCCCTCCCTTGCTGCTGGTGTACTCGCGCCAAGTCGCCCGGTGGAGTTGATTCGTCCGCTCGTGTCAACCCACAAGCAGCCGCACAGCGCCCCGCTTGTGCCGGCAGTGCCACTGGGTCCGCCGGTGAGCAGCAGCCGGACGGCACTCCCCGACATGCCGACCAAAGCACCAGCTGAACTGAAGCCGAGCAGCAGCTCGTCACGAAGCTCAGGGCCCAGCATATCATCCCAGGGCCAGCCCGTGCGCCGTACGGACTCCACGCCTGAGTCAGCCTTCGCATCCGCTCCTGCCGCCGCCCTGGCTGCTCAAGCGGGCGAGCGCTCTGCTGAGAGGGCAAGTAGCGGCAATGGAGGCCACTCTGGCAGTGCGCCCCAAGCCCCGCGTGAGCCAGCTGGCCTCAGCGCCCTGGAGCCAGAGTGCCCAGCTGAGGAGAAGGCCGATGATGCAGTTCAGCGGGAGACCCCAGGCGGAGAGACGCAGGTGGTGCCTGTACAACACACCCTGACGACGCAGGATTCAATCATCTCTCACCCCAAGCAGCGCCCTGGTAGCAAAGGCAATGACACGGCCTCGTCTGGCAGCCACGAGCTCCGTTCCCCTGGACCAGACATCGCCCAGGCCGGGCAAGGTGCCCACCCGGACTCACGCCGGCCGACCATGCTACTGCCCGGCGGCATGGTGGAGTTCGAAGCGTCGCCCTCACTCCTGCGCAGCGAGGTTGCGGCCCTGATGCTGGCGGCTGGCGGGGCCACGGATGGGCTCATGCGCTCACCACATGCAGCGGAGGGAGAGGCGGTGCAGGCGAGTGGGGCATCGATGCATGCGCGCTCCCCGGCCGGCCTGCACAGCGACAGCATGCGCAAGCTTGAGCGTATGACGGCAGATTAGTAAGTGTTGGAGAGCAGCCGCTATGGGGTTGTGATAGAGTATTAGGGTTTAACATGTTCTTGCTCGTCGCCAGCGGTCGCAGGAGTAACAGTGTGCGGGTATGTCTATTTTGCTTTAGAACACGTGTGCTTGCGTTCTGCGTAGCTCTTTCTTTTCTGCTTGCGAGGTGTTTAGGTCCTTGAGAGCTGTCTCTGTCATTCTTTTCCTTAATAAGCTTGTACGGCAACATTGTACTGCATGCACCTAGTGCGATTTTGCTTTTCACGGCATGTGTTACCCCCGTAAGTGTTCCACACACTGAACTTAATAAGGGTAGATGTCGGACATACATGCATTGCCTGTTCTCCACGCTTTGCCATGCGGCACCACCCTAGCCTGCCCAAATACGCAGTGAGCTGTTATGCATCCACGCCGGTTATATACCTGGCTTTACCGGTAGCGATGGACGAGGTGAGGGGACGATTCACACCCCTGTGTATAGAGGGCGTTGAAGTTAATGACGGAGTGTTGACGACGTTCCAGACGATGCTTCGTGAAAGCAGTAAGCAAGTGCTCTTTTCATTTGCCGTTTATGTAGTTCGTCTTCCGATGCTGTTAGTATGGTTGTGTACAGCGAGGTTGTACAGGCGACAAGGCCTCATGAGCTGGGATGGGACCGTAGAACTAAGATGTTGCGACCTGTCATCACGGCACGTCGCTATTAGGCATGATGATGCCATTTCACCTTTAGGCAACCTCTGGAACGTCTGGGAAGCGTTCTATAAGACATGGCCGGGATTGTGGGGCATGGTTAGTGTGACGTTATGCCCATGATGCCAAGTAGTTCCTGCGAAAAGGGACGCTTTGTAAATGGGCCATGTATAAGCGGCCCGGGAACCTAGGTACGAGTGGAGGTGTCAGGCTGGCACGTGAGGTTATGGTTGAAGTGCCGAAGCTGTCTGCGGCGTCGGAGGGAGCTGAACCAAGCCCCCCCGTCTGGGCTAATAAGGTGGCCCTTTTCTATAGGGCATGTTATACTGTAGACCCCCCTGGTAAATCTGTTTTCGTTCTGTAAACCAGTGTTGCATGCTATCATGCCACCGTATGCCTTGCTAACAGTGGGCTCGAAGGCTAACTATGAAATAATTATCGGTCCGCTTGCGAAGCGCTCTCAGGACTTCGATTTACGGCCGCTGGCATGGAAAAGTGTATCAACCTTTGGATCCAATATAAGAGTCAAGATTGGAATCGGGGTTGGAGGCACGGCTCGCGCCCGAGGAAAGCAAACTAGGTTAGGGGCCATTCACATTGAGGCTGAAATAGCTGAGGCTGTAACCGAAAGTGACCAATCGAGAAGAGTTTCTGGGCATTAGGAAGCAAGTTTGGTATATAAAAAATAATGCGTTTTTGTCGGGGAGTTGGGAGGCTCCCCGTGTAAGAGAGAAAGCCGTGCATTTGGGCCTCCCCGCGGCAGGAAAAGTCCGACACGGGGAGCCGTCCATAGCTCTCGCAGCCTCAGTCGCTCAAGCGAGCTGACACCTTCCTGCAGCTTCCTTTGTCGTAGAGGGGGACAACTGAAAACGGTACGCAAAGGAACACAATTGAGCACGTACAGCCGCTGGTCAGTTTGCGTAGTATAAATGCTGGCAGGGCAAAGGCGGATCCTGGCTAAAGTCGCAAGAAGGCTAATTGTACTGCATTGTCACAGCGAGCAACCAGGATGACCACCGTTACCCCCAGGTCCGGAGCGACCTAGGCGTACGGCACCAGCCATAAGAATTTCCGCTTTCGTAAGCATTTTTGCTTTACTAGCTGCCCAATAATTATTGGAAGTGATTGGTGTCATTTCGGCACAAACCACTATTGTTGCGCGCTTGCGACCGCGTCGTCAGCCCTCCCCATCCAGCAAAGCTCAGATGGCTTCCCCATTCACTGACAGCAAGGAAAATGTCTATAACCTGGACAACGTATTTACTCAGCAGGCAAGATCCCTGTACTCTGTTTGCTCTGCGCCATGGTTCCGCGCGCAACCTGGCATGATGCATGTGCTCGCTTCCGGAGAGTTGTATTGAACCGAGCACTCAATTCAGGCGCCGTCCTCGTTTAATGAAAGGCTGACTGCTGTTGGCGACGGCTTTATGATGCCGCTCAGCGCGCCTGCCCTTGCCACCGGGGGGGGGGGGGGGGGGGGGGGGGTCACCATGGTACCCCTGTCCACGACATGTTTCCCCACATGTGCTTGCCCGCCCCTCCCAGTGACCGGTGCCTTTGCACCCAGGCCATTTAACCTCAACTTTGGGTTACCTAACAGGAACCATTCCCTAAATTTCAGCGCAAAAGGCAATGGTCGGTTTTCCCAGGCGGTGGCTTGGGGGGGCTTTCAGGGTAGGGGGGAGGCCCTCTAAAGTGCAGATGGCCAACCGACCATCAAATTTTGTCACGCCCGTTTAACCCCACCTTTATGTTATCTAAAAAGGCACCATTCCCAAAGTTTCGGCGCAAAAGGCAACGATCGGTTTTCCCAGGTGGTGGCTTGGGGGGCCTTCAAGACAGGGGTGGAGGCCCTCTGAAGTGCAAAGGACCGAAAACCTACCAGCCACTTCACCGACAGGTGGCCCATCCTTGTGCCCGCGAGAGGTATCCTGCGCACATACAAAGCAACCGTGCGGTTTGCTTGCCAAAGAAGGTTACGGGGCGTGATGTGCTGCGGCTTCTGTTGACACATGGTAGCCTGTCTATACGCAGCATGGGGCATAGAAACCTTCTGGTAAGTTGCCTGAAGTGTCCTCGTCATCCAAATCATCAACCTCCTACGGCACAGAGGTGCATGACGTTATCAGGGTATCCGCTTAAGTAAACGCATGGGGGAATGCGGTAGGGGAATGGCGCATACACTCCTAAAGGAATGGGGGGCGGCTATATACAGCACGGAAGTACATACCTTGTGTTAAGGAGAATGAAGGGAATACCCAGTGGGAGTGCAGTTGGAATCACAGACAGGGAAAGTAAAGCATAAGGGAAACCGTATGGCGGAGCGATACTCACGAAGACGCCTACGTCAATGAAGGGGTATGTGTCCCCAACAGCTGCAGCCTGCCCCAACTCCACCATATCCCTCTAGCCGGCATTCTCGGCTTCTTCCGATGATACTTCCTCGGTGAGTGATAGGTCGTCCTCGAAACCTTCAGTGGCATCTTTATATGCGTCATCATCGTCACTGTGGTAGTCGGAAGCGTACTCAGAGGACATACTACCGCCATCTTCGCTTGCCATGGACCTACTGTTTGCTAAATTTGTCCGGTATCCTTATGACATGTAATTAGCCTTGAAATGGTATAACGGCTCAGGACGGCTCGGCAAAAGCCACATTTCCGCAAACTTTCGTCTAATAAACTGACTTAGCTCTTAGGTCTTGCTTACAAAACATTGCTACCATAACGGTACATGCGACATGCGTCTTTTGCTGGGGAAATGCGCTGACAGACTTGCAAGCGGACTTTTCAAGTGGGCGAGGCTGATTTAAGCGACCATTCACCTGGCACTTAGGAAGACACAGTCAATAGTTGCAAAAAGACTAGAATAAAGGAAAAAGCAAAAACGGGGCCGTACGCCTAGGTCGCTCCGGACCTGGGGGCAGCGGCACCCATGCGAGCAACCAGCAGCTCCTCTCATAGCGCTCGGTAGTGCTAGGCAAACGCTGAAAATAATGTTAAAGCAAAGCTACAGAAGATGCGAATGGCCTAAACTTTAGCATCGACGCCACCGACATGCGCTCAACAAGTGCAGTCTCTTTCCTGACCACACAACACTGGCAACATTCGGTCTATCCGTGGCTGCGAAGTACATATCCAGTTGCAACAGTAACTTGCATGCATAAGACCTGCGCTTGAGCACGGACGCCATGCCAACAAAAATGTGCAACTTAAGCGACAATACAGAGGAGCAACGGCAAAAACAAAAAGATGCATTCAAGGAAAGCTAAGCGTACTGCAATCCCCAAGGAATTGCAACAACAGGGCACTTATAGCAAGGGGAATGGGGGGAATGGTGCAACAACAGGTTGGAGGCAACGAATTTCAAGAGCAAACGTTTATCCCTTGATGCATCGAAGGCGTTTGCAGGGTAGCACCTTGTACGCATGCATGTAAGGGGGGATGGGGGTATGGGGGAAGGGGCACCAGCCCCTTCCCCCACCAAGATGCATACGGTGCCAGGGGAGGCAAGAGCTCCACAGACGGCTGCGACACTCCACGCTAGTTCTATGTATCGAGATGGGCTCGCACGGCGCTGGGTCCTTGTTCTCTGTCCGGACCGCCGTACGGCTTGGCCAACAGAGGACTGCTAAAACGAGCTTCCTTTTAACCAAAAGACCGACTCAGGGGGTCTATGCCAAGTAGTGGGTGGTTGTTTCTCGATTTGTTTGCAAACTTTGCGCTCAATCTCTGGTAACCACACCACCTAGCTGCATTATAAAGCCCAAACCGGCGCAATGTACCTCAAACCCTATTTTTATTTAATTCTGGTTGAGTTGCTTGGACACCCCGGACCGCCCAATGAAAGAGAACGGGGGTTCTACACGCATGTCAAGCCCATGTCCATAGGAAACGAGGTTTGAAGTTTTGCAGACTTGCAAGGTTGAAATTTGGTATTGGACCGGGGTAATTTTCAAGCGCGGCATGTGCCATGCATGCGACAAGGGAATCGAGAAACACGAATTGAGATTATTGCAGTTCCTTGTTATAGTCATTAAATGGAGTATGGGAGTGCTTTTCCCGTCGCGAAATTCGTTCTGGCTGTCGATCAGCATGCAACCGCGTTTGCAGGGTATTAGTTGGAGGGGCCTTCAGGGGCCTTCCGGGTATGTGGCTGGTCCCGGAGAGGGGTCCGGAAACACGATTTGAGTTGATTGCAGTTCCTTGTTATAGTCATTGAGTGAAGTTTGGGAGTGCTTTTCCCGTTGCGAAATTCGTTCTTGCTAGCGAGCAGCATGAGGACCCTTGCAGTTGAGCCTCACACAGCACTGGCACCGAAGTTCCTAGCATAACCGTCCAAACCAGGTAGATGCTGAACCATGTCTATGCACGTGCATGCATTCATGTACGATTTCACCTTGCCTCACACCATGCCAGCACCTTAGGTTTGTTGCCTTCATCGTATCCATTAACGACGACAACCCTATGGTAGTAAGAACCCATTATGACGAGGACAGACTGATGCCGTGGTGATGCTGGGGGAGTGTCAACAATAAGCGCGCGGGGCTCACGGCCACGTAAGGGATGAACCCGTACAGGGTCCAACTTGTTTCGCCTCCCGCCAGATGCTACCGGTACTGGATCCTAGTCCCAATTTTTCCATCAAGCTTTGTAAGGAAACCAAGCTTATCAGGATGCTTGGTGGCCACGACAAGCTTCTGCTCACTGCACATTGGGCTGATAACGGTATATTGGGATGATAATATTTATGAAGGCGGGCTAGTAGCCGGGTGCAGCCGTGTTGCAGCCCCTAAGTGGCGTGGCAGGAAGGGCGTCAGGTAGGTCCTGAACGTCTCCGCCATGTACAGTTTGGGAAGGCTGACGTCCATCCCCAACACCAGCCGGTGCTGCGCCATTCTGCATGCCAGCCGGAACTTGGCCAAGAGGTGCTTGTGAATGACGTTGCTGTCCCTGTGAGTATAGTGAACCAGTGAATCCCAAACCCAACGTCACCCGTAAAAGATAAGGAGAGGGGCTATTTAGTATGCCGCCAGCTCTTCCACGTGTCTGGTAACTGGTAACTGGCTGCGTCCTCAAAGTCATACGTTCATGCGTTCTGCTGCATGTAAAAGGGTAGCCTGGGTAGAATGGACCGCGTCGAAAAGTGCTGAGCTGGCAAACGGCTGGTACATTGATCGCGTGGGGATGATTTATGCCGCCCTTAGTCTAGCCGCTATCTGCATTTTGCTAGAATAAATAACAAGGTAACTTGCGGCCTACAACTGGGAAAACCGGTGTGGGTCTAGGCGCAGCCCTTATTACCACCGTCTTCCCGACCCGTGGGTCACAACCGCTTCCGGGAAACCCTGCAACATCGATCGCTTCAGGCCCACACCCTAAGGCAAGGGTACATGCGCATAGGAAACCGTTATCCGCCGCCCAGCTGGGGACCTCCCGACCCAAGGGCCCAACCCTGATCTTGTTCATTGTGTCTGACTCTCATTGTATGGGGGCTGCAAGCGGGATGGCTGCCGTAGCTCACTTAGACCCCAACATACGGTACATACATGTACCGTGTACCCTATACCCTTCCCGAGGCCCTACCCCCGAAGACCTTTGGCATGCAGAGGTTTCGGTGTTTCCAACCGCAAGCCACACCACCTTTCCAGCACTCTTCGCTAACTGGATGTCGTTTCGACAGCAAAGGGTTTGCCCGTTCCGTAGCCTAAGCTGATCACCCATTCATTGGAGCACCCACTGCACATCCACTGGGTAACGACCCCCGCGAATGGGAAACTCAGGCCCCTTCCTCGTTAGGCCTCGTTAGCCTCACAGCTTCCTTAGCCTAACAACCAGCGCGAGGCCTCCTTCGCTTGTGATCTCCCCTCCAAACCGAGCTTCCCCCCTTCCAACACTATGGCCACGGTACACGAGGACGTGGGAGGGAACACGCCAGCCGCAGGTAGAGCTCAAGCGCCTCCGGGAAAGCACACCGATGCGAACACACGCGGCCACCAGCTTGCCAACGTAACGTCTCTCCTTACTTAACAACCCTAGTTGGTGACTTCAGAGGTAGCCCGCCATACCGCATCACGGCCAGCCATGCAAGGCGACCCAGCAGCCGTTCCAAGTAAGCCAACCTTACTCGTACAACCCGGCCCCCCGAGCGATGCCGCCATTGTCCCAAAAGGGCACTCCATCACACCCGTGTTAGCGGCTACACCCCCCAGCAACCCCCGACACCGGTAACCTCCATTAATAGCCAAGCGAGGAAACTCCATCCACATGGGACGCAGTACGTACGAGCGCTTCCCCGCTTCCTCACCATCAACCCCGCCTCACCATCAACCCCGCCTCACCATCAGCCCCGCACCAGCGCCTGCACCGCCCCCGCCACATCACACTTGCAGTTGTGCACGTGCGCGTAGGCGCGGCGCAGCAGCGGGTCCGCCGCCGCCAGCAGCGCCGCCGCCTGCTGCCGCGCCTCCTCACGCCGGCTGGCCAGGGGGAGCAGCAGGGACACCACCCTTGGGTGGGGGGGGGAGAGCGGGGGGGGGGGGTCAACGACCGTACCATACCATAGGAAGCCACAGGTTAGGGCAAAGCCAAGGTAGGGGTGAGAGGGGGGGAAGCGATGGGGGGTGGGTTGCTTTGGGCCCCGTGGGCCCCCTGGGAGAGCAGAGCCTCTTCCTCTACAGCTGCAGGAGAGCAGGACGTCACCCAGCTCCCACGCAAGCTGCCGCATTGGCTATCAGGCATGCCCTTGAACATGCGAGTGGCAGCAGCTCGGGATCCGTACTTGGGTGGAGCATGCTCACAAGAAGGAGGGTCAGGAGGCGGCCAAGGCCCGCCCATGCATGCGCATTCTCGCCCTGCCCGTCCAACCGGCCCCCACGCCCCCTCTCCCCGGCCTCTCACCTGTCCCTCGACTGGGTGTTGGTCACCGCACTGACGTGTCCCGGCGACGTAACGCCCGCCAGCAGCAGCCGCCCACTCGCATTGGCGCGACGCAGCAGCTCCGCATTGAGTTCCTCCGCGTTGATGCCGTGCAGCACTGACCCACGGGTCGAGAGCTGCAGAATGCCGCTGCCGCTGCCTCCGGTACTGCTGCTGCTGCTGCCGCCTAGCGCCCCCGACGCCTCCTCCCCGCTGTTGCCCCACACACCCAACACCTCCAACCTCTCGTTGCCAGCAATCAGCGCCGCCACCTCCCCACCACATCCTCCTCTTCCTCCTCCTCCTTCTCACCGCTGCCCGCCTCGGCTGGCGCTCCCTCTGCCCCCGTCCCGCCCTCACCCGCCAGCTCCGTTTCTCGATGCACCGCCCGAAGCGCCCCCTCATCCTCCTCCTCCTTTGCCCCCCCATCCCCGGCCCCCGCACCCTCCCCTTCTCCTCCCCCTCCCCCTCCCGCTGCCCCCTCCCCCGCCACCCCTACCACGCCCCCCCGCTGCTGCTGCTGCAGCACCTCCGCCTCAAACGCGCGCTTCAGTCGCCGTACGGCAGCCTCCTCGCTGCCTATGAGCACCAGGCAGCTGCGGGGCGGACCCTCCCAGGGGCCCTCCAGACTGCACTCCACTCGGCGCCGGCCGCTGAGGTGGAAGGTGAAGCGTCGCGAGCGGCACTCGGACACCCACAGCACGCCCTTGCTGCGGAGCAGGGCTGAGAGCGAGGAGGAGGGTGCGGAGGAGGTGGGAGGGGTGACGGGTAAAGTGTGGGGGGGGGAGGGTGAGTGCGGGGTGTAGGGTGGTGGCGGGTGGGAGAGGGCGTGAGGGGCTGAGGTGTGCAGGGGCCGCAGGTTTGGGATATGAGGCGCCGCGCCCCACCTACACATCTGGTCCGGTGCGTTAGTTGGCATAACGTACATGTAACGGGCATGGCATATGCGCCCATCTGCTTTCTCCCTACTTCCCTCCCGGCCCCCATTGCATCCGGTTTTTACACCCCCTTACCTCCGCCCCACCCCGCATGCAGCTCCCAGCGCCTCCCCCCCCCCTCCCTCGCCTACCTGGCTCCCGCACCAGCCGCTTCAGCACCCATTCCGCAAAGCTCCGCAGACCCACGGGTCGGCCCTCCACCGCCAGGGACTGCGTGTGGAAGCCGCTGTGCAGGTGGGCGTGCGAGTGCAGGTGGGCGTGCGGGTGCGAGTGAGGGTGCGAGTGCGAGTGCGGGGAAGTATCGTTGTGATGCTAGTGCGGCTGGTCCGGGGGTGCGTGTGGGGAAGCGCTAGGGGGCGCTGGGGCTGGGGCTGCTGTAGATGCGGGTGTGGTAGCTGTGCGGCGCTGGGTGTGGCGGGAGGCACCTGTGACCGCACCGTCCCGGGTGAGCGGCCCTGTCCATGCGGTGGGGGGGAGGGGAGGGTGAGGGCGGGTGAGGGCGGTGCCTTGAGTACGTGCCTGGCCCGATGTCGGTGATGGGTACCGTAGTGCGCGGCTATTCGGCTTCCATCACAGCCCATCAGGAGGAAGGGAGCTGCCGGGCCCCACCGCCTGCTTCAGACCCATCCCTACTCCCCGCCACCTCACCTGCCCTCAGTCGGTAGCCTCCCCGCCCGCCGCTAGCCGCCGCGGAGGGAAGCGACTCGTGAGACATGAAACCCTCACCACAACCACCACCTCCTCCACCTCCACCGCCTCCTTCTCCTCCACCGCCGCCACCGCTGCTGTCAGGTGCCGTACCCCCGGCAGCCCCACCGCCCCCACTGCCGTACTGCTGCTGCGGGGCCCTCCCCCCCGCCGCCTCCTGCTCCTCCGTACCGACGGGCTCCACATCGAGTACGGCAGTCAGTGGGACCTGGGGGCGGTGGGGGAGTGGGTGGGGGGCGGTGGGGTGGGGTAGGGTTGCCGTTGCCGGTGTAGCAGGGAGCAGGGGGCAGGCGGCTGGCACTGAGAGGGACCCATGCGCGACATGCAGGGCGGGTGCGGCTCCTCTCACCTTCCCCCCATCACCTCCCCCCCCCCTTTCCCTCACCTCTCCGAACCGCGCCCTCAGCAGCCGCACCCCGGGCGCCATCTCACTCAGCGCATCCTCCAGCTCCGACAGCGGCCCCAGACCCCCTCCCCCCCTCCCCCTCCCCCTCCCCCGCCAGCTCCCGGGGCCAGCAGGTCGCACTTGTTGAGCACCACCACATCCGCACAGCACACCTGCGGGGGGGGGGAGGGGGAGGGGGAGAGGAGAGGAGAGGACGGGAAGGGAAAAGGACGGGAAGAAGGGTCAGGGAGGGTCAGAGAGAACGCAAGAACCGTCCTCAGGGGGTGAACACAACACCTTTATCGCCTCCCCTTCCCCAGCCCTAGCCCCTTCCCCTTCCTCAGCCCCAGCCCCTTCCCCTTCCTCAGCCCCAGCCCCCTCCCACCTGCGCCCGCGCCACCGGCAGCTGCAGCGCCGCCCGCCCCGCCTCCGCATCCACCACCGCCACCACCGCATCCAGCCGGAAGCCGCCAGCCACCAGCGCGTCGGCAAGGGGGCCCGCGTCGGCAGCGCCGGAGGTCTGGGGGCAGGGGGTGAGGTGGGCAGGGAGGTGGTGGGCAGAGGAGGTGATGACACGGTGTGTGTGTGTGTGTTAAAATAACTGGCCGCGAGTAGGAACGTACTGTGTGTGTGTGTGTTAAAATAACTGGCCGCGAGTAGGAACATACTGGGATGTCGGAAGATGAAGTCCCCACAGAACCGCCGCAGGAGCCGAGGAATAGGGTAGCGTATGTACATATAGAAGTCCAATACTGGTGCTGAGAGTAAGTAGGACGTAAGAAGCACTCTCGTAAAGCGACCGGACCGAAGGCCCGTAGTAGTAAGTTGAGAGTATGTAGTAGCTGACAATATCGAGTAAAGTAGGTAGGTAGATAGGCTGGAACTGCTGCTGAACAGGTAGCAAAACAGGGGAGCATGCCGAGACGTCGCAGTGCATGCGCGAGCAAAACAAGACAGGCAAAGCAAGTGCAAGACCACTATGTGCGGATGTTACCGTAGACTGACCTGCAGGCAGGAACGAAAGCATCCGGCAGCCAGCAACCAGTGTCAATAACCGACGGCAAGAAGAGGAACATGCGAGGGCGGGAGAAAAGCAGGAACACACGTGAGCGTGTGTGTGTGTGTGTGTGTGTGTGTGTGTGTGTGATGGTGGCACGATAATGGTGGCATGAAGAGACTTAGGAGGCAGGGTGGGACGTGGCGGTGGTGGGCCATAGGCTGTGTGGTTGGGGTGTCGTGCAACATGGCTGCATGACTGTTCGTAGGGCAACTGGGAGCCGCCAGGGTGTGCCGCCCCCACCCACCTCCACCAGCAAGTAGTCGCAGGGCGGACCGGCAGCTGCTGCTGCCGCCCCCTCTGCTGCTGCCCCCCCTGCCGCCCCCGGCTCCCTCAGCCGCCTCAGCGCCGCCTGCAGGTCCTCCGACCGAGAGCAGCACACGCAGCCGCCCGACAGGTCGGAGGCGGGCACACCCAGAGCAGCGTTACTCTGCAAAGGCGGCAGCGGCAGCGGCCAGGGGGGATAAAAGCAGGGAAGATCTCGATAAGGTTAGGGGTTAGTCGGCTAAGGGCAGAGTAGGCGTGCGGACAGGAGGCCCATCCAGCCCAACTCCGCTCCTTCACCGCTGCTTGATCAGCTGCTGCGGGGCGCTCCCTCCTTCACCTGCTTGGCGTTGAGCAGCTGCGAGTCCACATCGATGTGCCCCACCTCGTTCACCAGCACCGCAATGCGCAGGGAGCCCCTGGGTGGGGCGGGAGGAGGAGAGGGAGGAGCAGCAGGAGGAGGAGGGGGGGCAGGAGGAGGAGGAGCCAGGAATGTTACAAAGCTACGCAGTGCGTGGCAGCAGGGCAGAACGTGGCAAAGTGACGTCAGCGCAGTGCATGCTCACGTAGTGCATCCCGACCCGCGGGTCCGAGCCGCCCCCAGCCCCGCGGCCATGCACACCCGCGCACACTCCCCGCAATCACGTCACAGTACGCTCCGACTCGCCGCCACTGTTTCCTCAACACACACATAACTCCCCCGGCGGGGCTGGGGTGCACAGGGGCCCCTGTCCGGCCTGCCCCCTGTCCCGCTCCGCCCCAGAGCCACCTGTTCCTGAGGACGTGCTGCACCAGGGTGGTCTTGCCGCTGCCCAGGAAACCCGTGATAACCACCGCGGGGATGACTGCAGTGGGGGAACAGATTAGACAATCCAGTGGAGGGAGGGGGACAAAGATCATAGCAGTACCCAACCGCACGAAACCACAACACAAGTGCAGTGGCGGCAGGGTCGCAAGGACAGGGAGAGAGGCAGATGCACGCGGTCAGACTTGTTTATTCTAGCTTCTGCTTCGTCCATCCGACGATTGGGGTAAAGGGGGGAAGGCGCGGCAGCTCTTGCGTGGCCAACCGTCGCGCACATGTCGTCTTCGCGGTGCGAACTTCCTTACCGCTCGGCCTGGACGTGTCGCCGGACAGCAGCTGCTGCTCGTAGCGCGAGAACAGGTTGGTCTGGTGCTCCTCTGACATCGCTCCTGCGCTGCCCTGTGATGGATTAGCTGGAGTACAGCAAGTGAGACGTAGGGAAGTTGGTTGGTGAGCAGAGGACCAAAGAAAAGAATCGAGACTGGGCTAAAACATGGCTAAAACATGGATTGCTCAGGACTGCGTTTCCTGCTTGTTCACATCGCGTCTTTACTTGGCTCGTGCTCCGAAACACACGAGCGGCTTCGTCAGGCAAACACGCTTTAGGGTTTGCTGCCTTCTCCAAGCTTATTGTGCTAGGCAGCTAGCATAAAGAACGTAACAAGGCGACTAGCATAGGTATCAAGTCATTTGTTGTGACGAAAGCTGCAAGTAAACGAACGAGCCTCACAAGTAACCTGGTGTGGAGCGTGCCAGAGGAACAAAAACCAACAGCATCATGTCAAACTATGCTCAAGCGTGGGTCTCAGCTTCTTAGCGCGGCCAACCCACTCAACCCTCGACGGTAGCGGTCCATCCAAAGGAGCCGTGAGGCCTTGCCTGACTCTCACCGATCCATTCAGCCTGATGAGCAAGCGACGTGTACAGTCCAACCTAAGCGGTGCAAGATCCAAAGCAGCTAAATAGGCTGCTGCCGTTGGGGCCCTGCCCGCCCTGCTGGGCCCCTTGCGCCCCTTTGCCCCGCTCACAGTGCCCGCTGTGTCATCACGGTGTCGTCATGCAGCCGCTCCACACACCCAGGTGCCACGACTTGGGTGTCCCTGCCCTGCCAGAACAAGGAGCGGTAGGTCATGGGGGTGGGGCAGTCCCGACGCATTTACTGGCATCTGTGGGGTACTGCGTGTGGGGCGGAGACACCTTACACAATTTGGGACGTTGTCATTGTTCGCACCCCAACACTGGCTTTGAACATCTACCGAGGATGGTGGACTGGCGGGTGGGGAGGGGAGGGGCTGCGGGCGGGGAGGTGCTGTGGCAGGCGGGCCAGCAGCAGTCGCAGGGGGCTGCAAGCGGGATGGCTGCTGCAGACGCCCCACAAACATGCATGGATACTGTCGCCCCTTCCCTTCTGGAACCAGGCTGACCTGACCCGGCTGGTAAACAAAAGAGAGAAACCCGAGTGCAGAAGAGCGACAACTGGAGCTCCGATGTGGAGGCTAGGGCCAGTCAGGTAGCATTCTGGGGTCGGGGTCTTCGTTATGGTAAATGGCGTGAACAGGATTACACTGCCAAGAGATGCATGCAGACTATCCTTTGAGTCAGCCCTGAGTAAGAGAAGCAAGAGCATCCAAATAACACCACCAACCAACCAGCAAACAAACAACAATGGCAACATTATCAGCGGGCAAATCCGCTGTCCCATATGCTGGCATATACTGCAAGCAATGCACAGCGCACAACAACACAGGACAGCGCCCTGCTGGGACAGAGGTAAGGTCTGCGCGGAACCTCCTGCTGCAGCTGCTAGCAGTGTAGTTGCTGGTGCAGCGGCTCGTGTTGCTTGCTGCTGCTTGTCAGGGCCTGACCCAAGGGAACCAACCCTAGCTAGCGCCCAGCCCAGCCCTAGCCCGCACCGAATCCACTACTAGCATGTGTAGTCTGTACATTGTGCAATCCTTCATTTCAGCACACAGCCACACCTCATAGAACACAGATGCACACAGAAGTGAACACTGCATGCGCATGTACGCCTGCAACGCTACCGCCATAGACGCTCCATCCTATAATGGATAGAGGAAATCGGACACAATGTCAAAGCAGCGTATAGACGTGCACACCCCTCATATACACACAGCGAGTACCAACCGGCGGGGCCAAGCTTCTGGCCTTCAAAGCCTACAGCAGGGCTTTGTACACCTTGCCCTTGTCAAGGCGAACCCTTTCCACTGCACCAAGTCCCAATGCACTAGCCCCCTTGCGCCCTATCTATGCCTGCAACCCTCTTGCACACATGAACGACTGGCAGAAGTACGGCAGCATGGGTTCACTGTACCCTCACAGCGCTCAGCACTTGCCACCGCCCCTTCCTTGTCTCCCCAGCCACCTCATCATCAGGGGTCCTGCTGGGGCGGCTGCAGGCCCAGGTTCTCCTGCATCCAACCCCACAGCCGCCTCACATGAAAGTTACCTGCATCACGCAACACAAATATCCGCTGCATGCCCTCCAGCGCCGCCTCCGCCGTCATGGGATAACCTGCTGCCAGCAGCCAGCTCAGCACCGCAATGCAAGGACGGCTGTATTGGAGGAGGTCCTTGAGGAGGCGTCCAGGCGGGCCCCAGGGGCAGCCCAGCTGCTTCAGGTAGGCCAGGGTAGCCAGGTCGTTGTTGCGTACAGCTTCCAGGTATGGGTAACCATTGTCCTGGAATGGAACGAGGAATGTGGGTCACTAGTTGGTACGGCTGCACATCACATGTAAGGGAGACCATTGTCCTGGGATGTGGGTCACACGCATCATAGTAGGTAGGGCTAGTAAAAAGGGCAGCATATCACAGCCATCCCCAGGCAGCAAGGCGCTGGGACTTTGCTTGGAGGAAAATGGACTTAGGCAAACAACCCGCAGTACCACAGGTAGGGCTTCATCTCCAGCTGTTAAGCATGCCCCTTCACGACACTGTACAACCTATCCAAACGGATTTAGGAGGTGAACGACGCCAGCAGGTGACACCTCCCTAGTTAGACATCTACCTGCACAGTACTCACCGGCATGGGGCAGCCCCGCTCCACTAGCCACTCTAGTACCTCTTCACAGCCTGACCTCGCAGCACATCTGATGGTATCACGATCCCAGGGGCAGCCCCTCTCACGCAGCAACCTCAGCAGCTCCAGGTTGCCTGAATAGGCAGCACTGCTTAACCCCTCTGCGCCCAGCTGCAGTGCTGCGCCCAGCGTCTCCACCAGCCAGACCACAACATGCAGGTGCCCCTCCCTTGCTGCAGCCCCGACTGTCTCAACGTTCATTTGGCAGCCATGGGCATGCAGCAGGGCGAGCGCTCCCAGGCTGCCACACCCAGCGGCCTCCCTACCGCATTCCGAACTGGGCTTGATACCCTCAGAAAGCAGCAGGTAATGGAGCACCTCCACGTTGCCCCGTCTGGCTGCCACAACAGCAACACAATGCCCCAGAGGGTAGCCCTGCCCTCGCAGCCACCTCAATCGTTCCAGAGCGTCTGGGCAGGAGGCGGCGCTCCAGCAAGCATCTGTGCCAGGGAAGCCCTGCGCCTCCAGCCATACTAGCTTGTCCTGCCAGTCAGGTGTGGAGCTCCTGGCCGCGGCTGCCACTATATCTTTTGCATCAAGGTCGAGCAGTGTCTGCTGCTCGCCCACCCAGTCACAGTACAGGCGCTGCAGGGTGTGCAGCTCGCAGCCGACAGCGGCTGTTTCAAGCAGCATTTTACTCCAAACATTTACACCTTCTGCCAGGCACAGCTGCAGCAGCCACTCCATCAGGCCCACATGGCCCCCTCGAGCTGCAGCGTACACAAGGTCGGGGCTCCAGGGGCAGCCGTTTGCCAGGCCCCATTTGCATATGGCCCACTGCCCAGCGCCAGCTGCCCCTTCAATAACATCATGCACGGGGTAGCCCTGCTGCTGCACCAGCCACTGGCACATCTCTAGCTGGCCTGCTTCGGCCGCAGCATGGGCAACGGAGGTATAGCCTACACACCATTTCCTATAAGGAATCCCCGTGACAGCAACTGCCACCTGGAGGTTTGGCAGGCTGCCGCTGCGGGCTGTAAGCATCTGCAGCGCCTGCCGCTGCCGGTGCGTCAGCCCACGCATGGCACCTGGTCGCTCCCATTGCTCCTTGAATGCGTGGGGCGGCACGTGGGAAGAAAGCTTCACGGTGGTGTAGCCAGGGCCACGGAACTGTGCTGCCGCGGCCTTGTTGATCAGTCGTACGGTGCAGGCGACCTCGTTGGGCGGCAGGAAGCTGATGATGTGCTTCTCAAGCTCTGGTAGCAGCTGAGGCCAGATGCATGACGGAGTTTGCGGGGAAGTGTTCGGGGGAAGCTCCGTATCAGCGGGCTCCTGTGGCTGCTGTTCCTGGGGCTGCTGCTGCTGCGTTTCTGACATTTAGGAAGTTGACAAGATTAAGATAGAGGAGTTCAGCGAACCGCCCTGCAAAGTGCTGGATGTAAAACGTTTCCGCGGCTTGACGCTGTGGCGACTCAAAAGACAAACACACAGCCCTCAAAAATTATAAAATTTTGCTACTGAGAGGGGGATTAGTGTTGTCAATTACTATTGCCCAAAGATTCGCAAGAGCTTGGTGCCACACAGAACCGTATGAAGACTGCGTCCTGTGATGCTCCTACAGGTTACACCACTATGAGTTAACGTCTAGAGTATTGTTCGCAGCCTCATTCGCAGCCTCAGTCGCTCAAGCGAGCTGACACCTTCGCGCAGCTTCCTTTGTCGTAGCACATACAACGGAAAACGGTACGCAAAGTAGCGCAGTTATGCAAAAGCAGCCGCTGGGCAATTTGAGAAATTATAATGCAGGCAAGGCAGAGGCGGATCCTGGCTAAAGTCGCAAGAAGGCTTATTGTACTGCATTGCAGCCAGCAATCACCAGCTCCTCTTAAGACACAGGTAGCGTTAGACACAACTAGCGTTATGCAAACGCTGTATCAGAAATTAACATGAAGCTACAGCGGCTGCGGAAGACCTGAACTTTTGGCATCGAAGCCATCGGCATGCGCTCAACACGCGCAGTCGCTTTCCCGACCAAAGAACACTGTCAACATCAGAAACACAAAAAGCTGCGAAAAACATATATCCAGTTACAACGGTAGCTCGCAGGCTTAAGACGTGCGCTTGAGCCATGTGCATTTTGTGCAACTACTGTATGCGAATCCAGAAGAGCAACGGTGAAAAGCCATAAGACGCACACAAGAAAAGCAACAACCTCCAAAGAATTGCAACAACAGGGCGCTTACAGCAAGGGGAATGGGGAAACAGCAGGTCGGAGGCAACGTATGTCATGAGCAAACGTTAATCCCTTAATGCATCGGAGGCGTTTGCAAGGTAGCACCTTGTACGCATGCTTTTCAGGGGGGATGGGGGTATGGGGGAAGGGGCACCAGCCCCTTCCCCCACCAAGATGCTTAAGGTGCCAAAGGAGACAAGAGCTCCACAGACGGCTGCGACACTCCACGCTAGTTCGCAGCCTCATTAGCAGCCTCAGTCGCTCAAGCAAGCTGACACCTTCGCGCAGCTTCCTGTCGTATATGGGTGACAACGGTAAACAGAATGCAAAGTATCGCCATTGAGCACAGGCAGCCGCTGGGCAGTTTGTGTAGTATAAATGCAGGCAGGGCAAAGGCGGATCCTGGCTAAAGTCGCAAGAAGGCTAATTGTACTGCATTGCAGCTACCAAACAGCAGCTCCTCCCATGACAGCAGGTAGCATTTGGCAAACGCTGCAACAGGATGAAGCATAGCTACGGCGGCTGAGGAAGACCTAAAAGTGGCTGCGAAATACATATCCAGTTGTAACAGTGCCTTGCATGCAGAAGACCTGAGCTTGAGCCCGGACGCCATGCCAACAATAATTAGCGACAATCCAGAGAAACAACGGCAAAAAGCCATAAGATGCAGACAAAGAAAGCTAAGCGTACAACAATTCCCAAGTAATTGCAACAACAGGGCACTTACAGCAAGAGGAATTGGGGAATGGTGCAATATCAGGTCGGAGGCAACGTATTTCAATAGCAAACGATTATCCCTCTTTGCATCGGATGCGTTTGCAAGGTAGCACCTTGTACGCATGCATGTAAGGGGGGATGGGGGTATGATGCATAAGGTGCCAAGGGAGACAAGAGCTCCACAGACGGCTGCGACACTCAACGCTAGTTCGCAGCCTCAGTCGCTCAAGCGAGCTGACACCTTCGCGCAGCTTCCTTGTCGTACCAGGGTCACCGGAAAAAACGGTATGCAAAGCAGCAGCATTGAGCAAATGCAGCTGCTGGGCAGTTTGACTAGTAAAAATGCAGGCAGAGCAAATGCGGATCCTGGGTAAAATCGCAAGAAGGCTTAGTGTACTGCATTGCGGCTAGCAAGCAGCAGCTCCTCTCACGACAACATGTAGCGATAAGCAAACGCTGCAACAGGAAAGTAACATAAGGCATAGCTACGGCAGCTATCGAAGACATAAGCTATAGCATCGACGCCATCGACATGCGCTCAACAAGCGCAGTTCCTTTCCCGATCAGCATCCAGGCTGCATGCGAGGAACCAGTTGCAACGGTACCTAACTTACATAACACCTGCGTTTGAGCATGGACGCTAAACCATCAAAAATTTGCAACTAAGCGACAATCCAGAGGAACAACGATAAGAAGCCATAAGATGCAGACAAGAAAGCTAAGCATTTAACATGTCAACATTTCCAAGGAATTGCAACAAGAGGTCACTTACAGTGAGGAAACCGGGCAATTGAAGGAGAAGGTGAAACAACAGGTCAGAGGCAACGATAAAAAGCGCAACCGTACTTCCCCTAATGAACCGGAGGAGTTTGAAAGGAATTAACTTTTGCGCATGCATGTAAGGGGGGATGGGGGTATGGGGGAAGGGGCACCAGCCCCTTCCCCCTCCAAGATGCATACGGTGCCAAAGGAGACAAGAGCTCCACATACGTACGGCTGCGACACTCCACTAGTTCGCAGCCTCAGTCGCTCAAGCGAGCTGACGCAAGAGTGCTCGTACCCCCTAAGGGAGTCTGAGGTCGTACAGGGCCTCCTGGCAGCGTGCTGTGCTCGCTGTGCTCAGAAGCGTGCTATGAAACATCTTAGAAAGAATGCAATTATATATGCCACATATTTCTATCTAAGTGCAGCCCATTTGGTATTCACCTCGCTATCGACCCAGCACAAGGCTTAACATAAACAGTTGTCCTTAACCTTATGCATTAACATGTAACTAAACATGAGTGATTCAGGTGTTAGTGTAGGTCTCCTAGTAGCTGAACACTCCGACAATGAAGCCGAAGCATTCCTTCGCGCTGCTCTCGGCGGGTCAGATGGCAGCGGTGGTTATGAATCTGGGCATGGTAAAAACACCCTCGTTCTTGTCTTAAAGAGTACTTCCCAAATATGTGCTTACCTAAAATCACGATTCCGGGCCCCCCTCCCACACATGCCTCTAGCCCTGCCCTTGAGCCCCCTCCAAGTGCATACCCGCTTTTTCCGTCGCGTGTAGCATCACAACCCGAATGAACCTGGGCATGGTAAAAACACCCTCGTTCTTGTCTTAAAGAGTACTTCCCAAATATGTGCTTACCTGAAATCACAATTCCGGGCCCCCCTCCCACACATGCCTCTAGCCCTACCCTTGAGCCCCCTCCAAGTGCATACCCGCTTTTTCCGTCGCGTGTAGCATCACAACCCGAATGAACCTGGGCATGGTAAAAACATCCTCGTTCTTGTCTTAAAAAGTACTTCCCAAATATGTGCTGACCTGAAATCACGATTCCGGACCCCCCTCCCACACATGCCTCTAGCCCTACCCTTGAGCCCCCTCCAAGTGCACACCGCCATCTGCTACAGCGGCGGGCGGTGCAGCACCCAGCTCTCAGCTGCCGCCAGCACCTTGTGTGCAACTTTCAAGCAGAGGGGGCAGGAGACGTGCAATGAAGCCAGGGCCACGGCAAAACCCAGGGCATCAGGCAGCAGCCGAGCAGGACTTACCAACAGGTGCATACGCTGTGCCTGCATCCGACCCAGCCCCATCCTACTCATCAGAGGCGTTCATATTCAAGTCCTTCACTTCATGCGAGGATGTTTTGTCAGCAGCCATGCAGTTGGTGCCTGAAACTCAGAAACGTAAACTTAATCCGTGCCCAGTACGTGCTGTTGTCTCCATCCGTGCTGGAGTGTTCAGCAGCACTTGCCATATGTTTGTGGCACATAACGCCTGCGTGCACTCTGTTGCGGCAGACGTATACAAGCAGTGGCATGGTACCTCAACCCCAACGTCCAACAGCTTGCAAGGCAAGGGTATGGAGCCAATAGAGACAGGGCTCTAGCCAAACAACAGCTGAAAGCAGGCCTGTGGAGGAGGTGGTTCGAGAGGTTGCCTCTCGCCTATCAGTTGATTCGCTCAAGGCTACCATCCGCAGAGCATTCGCAGCAGGCCGGAGGCCACCCACGGAACGTATGTCAGCCACGCTTGCTGCTGGACGGAGGGAGGCTGAAGCCTTGCGGTCTCTTGTCGAGTCTGCTACAGAGGGCCGGCGGCTTTGCGTATGCCAGCTGCGTCTCTTGCTGCACCATAAAAACATTGAGGTGCTGGCTTTGGCTGGTATCGTTTCGACGCCGCTCGTGACCATCCACGCAGCACTATCGGGGGCTAGCAACCTATCAGCTGACGATGTAAAGGCAGTTGTTAATGCTATGTCTGCGTGGGCAGCTTGGGTTACCCAGCGCAGCGCTGCTGCTGCAGGAGGTGAAGCCCGCTCTGATGCAGCAGCTGCGGGGCCAAGTGGTCAGGGAGCGGGCACAGCAGGGGCTAATGTGGCGCAAGACACAGCACAGCAGCAGGGTGTTACGGATGTAAATATGCATGAGGAGCTTGTTCCAGCTGACGTGGTACGCACGCAAGGTGTAAGTAACGAACGATGTACCCATGCTAAACGCGTGTATAGAAGGAACGCTGCGATTGGTGTCAAGCGGAGGCAAGGGGATTCTAGTGATAGGCAGGACGGGACTGACGGTGGTGTTGGGGTTCGTAATATCTATATCCCTGCAGACGCTTTAGTCCTAGTACCGGCAAGAAAGGGGAAGGGAACGGGAGGATCGTTGCCTATGGATACACGTGGCAAGCACAAGAGGTCAGCACATATTGCTAGTGTGCACAGATGCACAGATGTGAGACAGCAAGTATACAGGGCATCGCAAACAGCTTAATACTATCAATTAACTTCAAGACAACGTGGCACGAAACATACCTTGGGCGACTCAGGTCCTGTGGCTGCTGCTGCCGAAGAGCCGTCGCATCCACTGCTGCCATCGCCCTTCATTTTCGCACAACCATCAAGACTTTACCGCCTGTGGCACAAGCCATAAGTAGCGTTATCAAATTAGAACTAAAGTAGATCAACAAATCAAGCTTGCTACATTTTCTGTAGGTTGACACTGCAATGCACAGAAAGTCCCTGACGCTTACATTTAAAGGGATATTGGAATTCCCAGAGTAAAAGGGTGATACCAAGAACTTGTTTTGAGTTAAAAGATAAAGAATGGAAGCGCAGCACGCTGCCAGGGAGCCCTGTACGACCTCAGACTCCCTTAGGGGGTAGGGGCGCTGTACCCGAGCTGACACCTT